GTCGCCCGAAACCTGTGTCATGTTGCCCGAAATTTTAGTTGTCTCCCGAAAAAAAAAGTCAAGTCACCCGAAGAAACAAGTACTAAAATGATTAGAATTTCAGACTGTAAATAGGCAATAACGTTAAAACCTTTTTTATTACTAAAGTGTTCTTTGTTTCCGACAACACCGTGAAGATTCTTAAAGCATTGTTCGTTCCTAGCAATAAAGGGAAACGTTGTTCGTTTCCAACGACAAAATATAGCGCTTTTCGTTTGGTATGTAATCGTTGCTCACTCACGGACGTTTCGTAAGCTTGAGAAACTCTTTCTTGGTTCAAGAAATAGCATTTTAAGAAACAAGAAAGAGTTTCCCAAGCTTACGAAATGTTCGTGAGTGAGAAATGAGTACATACCAAACGAACAACGCTTTTTTTTGTCAGAAACGGAGAACGCTTCCGTTTGTTGTTAGAAGCGAACAACGCTTTTAGAGTCGATACTCAAACATATTTCAATTCCGAGCATACGATCGATTTCTGTGTAGTCAAAGTCTTCATAGTATTGTTAGAAATAAGGAAAAAGTTTCTCAAGCTTACGACTTGACTTGACTATAAACCTTTTTAGACTCACGATTATTTATTTGATAGCATCTGAAATTGAAAAGACATATACTTTTTATTGTTTTAACTAAATCAATATTGTTTACTAGTCTGATGCCATGATTTACAGGAGTATCTATTGGCTTTTTATTTAAGTTGAAGATGCCTTTTTTGATATTGTTTATTTTTTCTTTATCTTACTCATTTTTTAATCTTTTGTTTATTTTAAACGTTATTGAGCGGGAACATTTGATTCAGACAAAATAATTGATATTGTTTTCATCTATTATATTGTTAAAATCAAATGTATATGGTTTTATAACATAGCGCGCATGCTTGCCCTTTATAAGTCCTATTGAACCGCTATGAACAAAATCTTTATTTACGCACGCCCTTGCGTAAATAAGATGACGTGAGAGTTTCCTTCCTGTTAAGCTGCAGTGCAGTTTTCCTTCTCTTTGAAATATGGAAGAAACCAGCGAAGAACTGCCCAATTTTTCTATCGTCATTGACCATTTAGGTCCTGATCCAACAAGCAACAAAAATAAAGCCGAAAAAAACTCACAAGTTGCACGTTTCGCAAATTTGTCTCGATAACTTCGGGTCTTTGACTTTTAAAACACGTGACACGTGAGTTCATTTGGCTTTGATTTTTTAATTTCCCCGTCAATTTTGAGCTTTTCTCTCTCAGTTATCAGTTAACTGGCTCAAATTTTCTCGCTCAAACCAAAGTATAAAAAGTGGCGTGTTTCTGACCAGCAATAGGGACGTTTGTTTACTTTTTTTGTACGTTGTGAGAATTTTGCACTCTATCACGATAAAAGGCTTAGCTTCTTCGCGCAGATCCTTGTCATCGCTCTGTTATGAAAGAATTTGCCCATGCTTTTAGCTGTGCGTGTATCGGAAAAAAATTCACAAAGCGGCTGATAAGTTGCTTTGAGTTTATATTGAAGAAATGTGAAATGGTTTCCGTGTTTACATTGCCTGATGTAAACACTTGGGAGGTTGGGAGAACACGAGATAAGCGTAGGAAACCACGACGCGAAGCGGAGTGGTTTCCAGGTTATCGAGTGTTCTCCCAACCTCCCAAGTGTTTACATCAGGTTATGTAAACACGGAAACAATTTTACATTTCTTTTATAAAATAACTAATGAAAGAGGAACGAAAACGGTGTTTACATACGCTCATGTAAAATGGTTTTATGGCCAATCAGAGCGCGCGTACTATTTGAATTATTTTATAAATTTTTCTAGTACTGAACTAGTTTTTGAATTTATTTACAATCAAATTAATATAACACGAGTTTGCTTTTTCAAAAAAATAGTTTATCTTACTTCTTTCAGTACTGGTCGTGAAGTAAGGCGAGAAATCGATATTCACTGTTTGTGCTTCAATTTATAAGTTGACGCAATATTTGCCATGCACATTAGAGATTCTTCACAGTCAGCCATCTCTAAATTCAATGATTCATGTAGTTTACGATAGCAAGGTGATGCAAAGCGAAACACAACAACACGACATGTTGCAGAACCCGACACGCTACTCGTGCTCCAAACAAGAGTTAACGTGTTTACAAGCGTGAATGAGTTGAAGCTCGAAGCAGAAGCAATTCGGTATAGCATTGAAGTGAACACAAGTATGAAGTAAAATAAAGTACTGGACCTTAGTAGACTAGACCACAAGTAAGTAACGAATGCACGTTCAAAGTATTTTCATGTCGGTGCTTTTGGTAGAACTCATTCAAAATAGGATTTTATAGAAGCAAAGCCGACTGAAACATGCTTGCTACAACAACAGTCTCTCGTTTTCGTAAGTTTCGTTCCATATAACAAATCTTTCAAGTGAGTCTCTAAGAATTGCTTCGAACGCTCCTCTGCCGATTGCATCTCAAGTCATAGAGAGCTAGATGTTAAATCATACACTTGACATGCATGCTAATTCATGAAAGGTAGATAAAATGAATGTGCTTTTACCTTGGTGGAGGCAGTAAAGGCTTCAAAGTAAACTCTTCAATTCTGCGTCACTACAAAGTGACGCGGCACTGAAACAAATCTTAATCGCCGTGGGAATCAGACTGATTTAGCTTAAGGACAAAAGACAAGACCACGCGGCTGGACCGTTATCGACGACCAGAGTACTGGAACCTTCGAGACGTCATTTGTAAACATGGCGGCAGCTTGTGGTCTGCAAAGTGTTCGAGACGTTTTACTTACTTCTCATTAAGACGATGTAATGGAAAAAGTGAAATTTTCTTTACGAATTTTCTTTACGAATTTTCTTTACGAAAACCATTCAAGAGGAATATCCCCGTATTGAATACCGGGAAGCAACAGTAGCCACCATAGTTCCACTTCGCAGAATAGCCAAAATAGCCTAAAAAGCGGCACCTGTGAACCTGATTTCACCTCCATGATCGAAGACCTTCAGGTTTACACTACCCAAGAGGGTATAGAAGATATTAAAAATAACTCTCAGGTATGCACTACCCAGGAGGGTAAAGAAGACTATATATAAAGAACTTCGAAATAGAATCATCACTCCACCCACTGCCCAACTGAATTTTAATACTCATTTTGTTAATGATGTCTTAGAATGGAAAGAGATTTACAGATTGCCATTTCGTACTTCCTTGGACACAAAATCGCGTGAATTCCAGTATAAACTACTTAACAGGTGTCTTATCACAAATTCTTTTTTAAACAAAATTGGTATTATTCCATCCCCGGCGTGTTCCTTTTGTGGCGAAGTGAACGAATCCTTGGAGCACTTTTTTATTTCTTGTCGTTATACTAAGGATTTCTGGGCTGAGGTAATAAAGTGGTTCGATAATCAAGGCGTAAAGATAAAACACCTCTCTGAAAAAGATATAATGTTTGGTATTTTAAGGTGCGAAGACGAATTATTAATCAATCATATTTTAATAATTGCCAAACAGTATTTATATTCTTGCCGACAGAACAAATCTCTTCCTTCAATTAAAGTATTAAACCTCAAAATTAAAACGATCCACCAACTCGAGACAATGATCGCAAAATCAAATAATAAGCTAAAAGCTCATAATATGAAATGGGACAAGTACAAAAATTATTAGATGATATAGAATCTCATGTTTGTTGCTGCACTGTACTAGTATTATATTTAGAAGCCGAGGAGAGCTAAGAGGAACTGTGGATTGTGTATGTAGATATATGATGTACCGTGTCTGTCTGTTTATGTGAATTATGTTTGTTTTATGAAAAATGTATGTAACTTTGAATTAATAAAAATTAATAAAATAAAATAAAAAAAAAAAAAAAAAAAAAAAAAAAAGGAGGGTAAAGAGGAGATTTAAAATAACCCCCAGGTATACACTACCCAAAAGGGTATGGAAGATATTAAAAATAACCCTCAGGTATACACTACCCAAGAGGGTAAGGAGGAGATTAAAATTAACCCTCGGGTATACACTACCCGGGAGGGTATGCAAGAGATTAGAAATAACCCTCAGGTATACACTACCCAAAAGGGTATAGAAGATATTAAAAATAACTCTCAGGTATACGCTACCCTGGAGGGTAAAGAAGAGATTAAAAATAACCCTCAGGTATACACTACCCAAGAGGGTAAGTAGGAGATTAAAATTAACCCTCAGGTATACACTACCCGGGAGGGTATGCAAGAGATTAGAAATAACCCTCAGGTATACACTACCCAAGAGGTATACCCGTATATTATCTCAGGTATACAGGTACACACTCAGATCACGCCAAGAGATTCCGATCCAAGAATTACCGGTATTGTGTTTTCTTCTTGAAATGCGCGCTTAGGTGAAGTATTAATAACAACGTGTACCTTTAATTTATAATCAAGAGGTTTAAGTAAACCTCTTGATTATAAATTATAAAGTAATGATCAAGTTATGATCTGTCTACAAGGTTTCATGTTTTTTTTTTCATGTTTTATTATAGAAATAACTTATTGCCTCCATTGCTTCTCAATCTTTTTGTAACGAATAACCAAATTCACAACTATGGTACCAGAACAGCCAGTAATTATCGAACGCATTTGTGCCGTAAAAATCCCAAGCAATTTACAATTCTCTACCAAGGTCCTAAAATTTGGAACTCTCTTCCTATTTCAGTCACTCGTTCGTCAAATCTTCTTAGTTTTAAGACAAAAATGCAGGAGTTTTTACTTAAAGAATCACTGAATTGGCCTAGCTGCACATTTGCAGCTCTTTTTCTTTATTTTATTTATTAATGTAAGTGAGGTGGCTCTCCCATAAGCCCGGTGGCTTCCTGGGTCTCCTCGCCTTCTAGCTATAACCGCTGTAAATAAATTTTTTTGTGTTGTGTAAATAAGGCAAATAAAAAATGATGATGATGATGATGGTTTTCTCTTGCTTGCATCGGAAAGAAAGAAAATTCCTAAGAACACATTTAATGTAACAGCAAGTTTATTTGAATTATTAAAATTAAAGATCTGCGGCAATGAATTCCACAAGTTTTCTTTTATCAGACGAGCACAGAGTTTTTTTTTGTGGTCTGCTACTGATTGATCCAGCCCCCAATGTCTACATATGATAATTGAATTTACGATTGAAGCGATTCTCACTTTCAGGTTTGGGCCTGAACTTGATAAATTTTGCTCACTTGGAAGGTGATATTTAAAGCAACAATGCCTAGTATAAACTATAACAAAGCCTCTACCGTTTAGTGCATGGTTACTACTGCGAGCTCGGGATGACTTATTACCACTGCGACAGTGTCTACATCTTAGTGAGTGAGTAAGTGAGTGAGTGAGTGACTCATTTGCATATTGGAGTCTCCATAAAAACTCATTTGCACGAGTTAAAAAGGAGAAAAAACGTGATGGAAGTCTTAATGTTTCAGCACTTCTTACAACCAAATCAATAGTCGACCCATAACGTGACATTATACACTTACTGTACGGTCCCGAGAGGAACAATTAGTTTTGTTTTCCCGAGAGAACTCGAGAAACTAGTTTCCTGAGGGACCATACATTAAGTGCTTTGTTATATATTTAGACTTTCCATTAAACAATCATGTGCTGTTGTATTCGGCTCACGGGCAACAACTATGCAATTGTATCCCGGTCGGGATACATTTGAATTTGATCAGGGGCACGTGACCAAGAATCAACCAATCACATTGCTTGTTTGTTGAGTGAAGGTCTTGATATATAACAATAGACTGTGTACAGCTCCCCCCACGAAGGTTCACCGTTTCACTTGTTACGAGACTTCACTCGAACGTTGACACCAGAACACGTCAGGGTAGAAGAGATGGTCACTTCAGGCGGAATCTTTGTATCTGGCGCCACTTCAAAGCTGTATTTCTTCAGAATCCTTGCCATCGCCAGCTTCATCTCCATTTGCGCAAACCTCATTCCAATGCAGTTACGTGGTCCGTGACCAAAGGGTAGGTAAGTGTAAGGATTGCGCGACTGCTTGGCTGCAGGTAAGAAGCGATCAGGGTCAAATTTATCTGGATTGGGATAATAACGTGGGTCTCGGTGGATACTGTAAATAGGGACCACAACTGTTAAACCTTCAGCCATCTTGATTCCCTTAATGGTACACTCTTCTGTGCAGGCCCGAGCTGTAATGAATCCTACAAAATAGAAGCAGAGTCACATACAGTAATAATGCTCGTGACCAAATGAATGAGGGGTACAAGTTTGTAAAGAAACTGTGCTACCCCACTAGTGGAGGGTGTTACAAAAATAATTTGGTTTCATCAACTGAGTAGATAACGTAAATAAACCACCGTCAGCAGCTTATAAAGGTGACATTTTGAACGTTAGCTCTCAGTCAGAGCGAACAGAAATGTCAGTTTTAGAAACTCTTTACGGTGGCCAATTTACATTATCAAGTTTAGAGGGTCAAATCATTTGAAACTGAATCATGCAATCAGGGCCAGACCACAGCACTTTGAGAACTAGTTTGAGTAGTGATAATAAAATAGCAGTGCCGGTAGTATAACAGTAACAGTGTGTTGGACATGTATTTCAGCTGGATAACTGATATAAATCAATTGCGATCAATGACTTAAAATTCATTTAATGATCATACCTATTTTCTGTAATGCGAAGGAATGAATAAAGGTTTGCCAAATGGATACTAGGTGCAAATTTCTTCTAAATTATTCCATCAACCATAAAACTTTTCCTTTGAATCAGTATACTAAGTGTCTAGCTTGTGAATGCAGCCATATTTGCAATTGTCACTTCACTCCAAAACCAATTGCTATCATTATAAACACCATTTTCATTATAATGTTAAATTTGAAAAAACTGTCTCTTATACCTGGAGGGTACATTCTCAGAACTTCAGCTGCCACCATGTCTAGGTATGGCATTTCATGGACTGCATCATAGGACAACATTTGGTTTTCATCTGGCCAAACACTGTCAATCTCTTGTTGTACTTTCTCCTGAATTTCAGGATCAACTGCCAGATGATGGGACATAAAACTTAAGGTGGTGCTAGTGGTTTCATATCCAGCAGCAAGAAAGACAAAGCTTTGAGCAATAATTTCTGCATCTGAGAGCTTCTTGGACTCTGGCAGTGAAGAGTCATCTGCTGCTGAGAGCATTAAATCTAGCATGTCCTGCAATAAAAATTGCAATTGAATTAATTGAATTTATGTGACACTCTATGTCTAAATTGCACCTTAAAGATACCAGAAACTAGTAGCAAAAGAAGTGCGATCTAAGAGTAAGAAATTAGCTACCTTACATTTCATGAGAATGATATTGATGAAATTGATAGTGATAATGATAACAATGCTATCACCATTGCTTCCGTGGTGCTACGTCCACTGCAAATAATGATGATGATGATGAGTGCGACCCTGTGATTATAATTATGGTGACAATAGACAATAAAGTATTGACAGTACAGGTAACAGTAAATGTGATGGTAGCTCTGCACTACTGTGTAATCAGCAACACAGAGTAATCACAGTGTCTATGACTATGGGTGAAACAAAGTGATGATTTTGTTGATACTATTTACTTTGGATGGTGATGATGGAGAAAGTGAAAATGATTACAATGTCACATATGTTACTTTCAACATTGCTGATCCTAAAAATACGCAGGATGTGTGTCAACTATTAACCTAGAAATAGCCTAAATCAATACAGTCTCTGTAGTTCAGAGTAGAGTATCAGAGCTTACAATCTGAAGGTCTGGTGTTCACTCCTCAGGGGGAATCAAAACTTTTTTGTTGTTCCATACTCATAACAACACAATAACATCCTCCGCTAATGACAAAAACTGTTTGTAAGATCTAGAATTTGCATTTGAATTTTTTTCAGCCTATATAGTGAATATTACCTTCCTATATGATCTCCCAACACTTCCTTTCTTAGTTTGAACTATTTCCTCTGAGATCCTCAAAAGAGGTGTAAAATTTGACAGGAACAGGGCTGGAATGTTTTCCAATAGTTTCATACCAAAAGGTAACAAGGTTACACCCCCCAAAATAATTTTTTGAAAAGTAGTTTGTGACATGGTCAGTTTAGCTGCATTCAGAACTGGATCATCTGGATTATTTTGCGCATCCACTTGAAAACCAAAAACAGAGGAAAGAATGACTTCCATTGTCAGGCACTGGTGAATTCTAACAAAAACAAAAAAAAACTTCTTACTAATGGAACATGAATGCCCTACTAACTTCTTACTAACTGAGTTTGAGGACCATACTGAAAATATTGGCCAGAGGTCATGGTAGTACAGACTGAGTATAGTGAGGTCTGTTAAAAAAGGACCAAGGACCAGTATTCCCTGGTACAGCTCCAGCAAGCAAAGTTAATATATAGTTCATCACATGGCAGTCAGACCAAACTTGTTGATTGTGATTTTGCCAGCTTTCCTGAACAAAAAAATACACAGCTTGTGACTGTTTCTGTGGAAACAGTCCATATGGAAAATTTCTAGTGGCAACCAATCAGAATGCTCAGGTTTCACTCAGGCCTACCCTGCCAAATATTAATAATGATTATAGCTGTGGTTTTATGAGGTAGGCAGTTTCCATAGTTTAAGGAAGCAAGAACACACAGTACTGCAGCATTTTTGGTTACTTACTTCTGAATATCAACACTCTTTTCCGTATCAGCAAATTCCCCAAGCTTTTTGATCAAATTGTCACAGGATGCATTCATCAATGGAACCATCTGCTTCATTTTGAGAGCGCTGAAAGACGGTGTTAAAGTGTTGCGAATACGTTTCCACTGTTCTTTTTTGGCTTCTGACATCATATAACAAAGAGGTTCAGGTTGTTTAAAAAATTCCTGAAAACAATTAAAAACCAATAAATCAGGAAACTGGAAGGAGTTGTGTATAATTTTAAGCTTTCATTTCAAAGTCGTGTAAGGAACTGACAAAAAAGAAGCAAAAAGGCGAAGTCTTTCTTGGAGAGATGTTTAAAATACTATTTATTTAGAAATAAGCTAACACTCCAAAATCGTGCAGGGAACTTACAGGGCGATCGGCGAAGGAAGCGAAGTCTTTCACGAAAAGATCCCTCAGCAGGTCAGGATCGCTGACAACAATACTGCTCATGTTGCCCAAGATAAACATGGAGAACACATCGCCATATTTCTTGTAATACTCGTCAATCTGAAGATGCATTGACCCCTTGTGCTTTATAGCATCCAGCGAATGCCCGATGAACGGCAGAGGAGTTGGTCCTTTAGGATAAACGGCTTTTAGCGTCCGATATGGGACAATAAAGTACAAATAAACCAACAGAATGGATGAGGCGATTAAAATCGTTGGCCAGTGCTCAAGAAATTGCTCGGCAAAGTTTAAAATGGACATTTTCGTAGCAAAGCTTGAGAGGCTTTCCGCGTAGACCCAAAATCTCCTTGTTTACATTTAGTCTCACCTTCAAATGGTTATTGCCCAACCCCCTCTGGAATGTACGTCGCGTAAGAATACACCAAACTTTCTCCGTAATTTTGAGCTGAGAGGATTGATCATACGTGGCCAGAAATATTCACGTAGTCTTGTAAGTCCGTGCAGTACCATTCAGATTTCATCAACAAAAATTCCATGTCGATCTTGCAAAAGGTGCTCTAGATGATCTTTTGAGGCTTAATTAGGGGTTACTGGGATATGAGATGTTTGGTTAAAACATTTAAGCGATACGGGATACTCGAGGAAAAAGTTAACGGGGATACTGGCCCCCATGAACTTCCTCCCACCCAAATGGAGTCTCATTTTTAAACTGCTCAATATACTCTAAAGGATTGTCATAGCAGATGAAAGGATCATTTCACGGTTTCATCCAAATATTAAAGGCACGATATTTACAGTTTCTCCCCCGTTTTACTCTGAAGTAAAATGATAGTTACTACATTTAGACAAAATATGGAACTCTTCAAACAGACTTATTTGGCCACCATTCCAGTGCACCCGTCAACCAACCAGATGAATGGCCACAATACCCTGAGCTTCTTCTTTATTTCTCTTGTCATATTCAAAATATTGTCAGTATCTAAATTCAACCACATGTTGTGTAATGGTAGACTATTGACTACAACAACAGCAATGTTTTTTCAAGTTTTAGGTTGGATTCTTTTTTCCTCAGACTGCCTTAGGTCACCTGGTATTCTGACATTGTGAGGTTTAGTGTTAAAATTTATTTGAGTGGCTAGAAGAAATAAACGCTGTTATGATATCTCTTAGTTAGTATGTGTGTTATGATTGGTCAATTTAATGGGCCATACTTCACTTACTTACTTACTTACTTACTTACTGATTACTTACTTACAATTACATGTTTTCCCCACACTATAAGTTACATAACCTTGTCTTTCTGCTTGGATCTGTGGACCATGTGCATTGCACTTGGGCTATAAATCAGAGTGGAAAAACTTGGTCTGTAACTTAAAGTATGGACCTTGAACTCAATAAGAAAGAGGAAGATTAAAGTTGCAAGATGTATACCGGTATACATCTTGCAACTTTAATCTTCCTATTTACTACTAGAAAAAGAAAAATGTAATAGATTAAGCTAACAACAGCAAGCTTTGTCCTGAATCAGTTCTTTAATGTAAGTCAATTATCATCAGCACAAGAAGTGTTGAAAGACTTAAGACAACAGTTTTCCTAAGCATTTTCCCTTTACTTTCGTGAAGTTATTCTAACATTAACACCAGAACATGACAACGTAGATGCAACAAAAACATCAGGAGGAATCTTTGTATCTGCCGCTACTTCCAGACGATATTTCTTCAACATTCTTGCCAGCACCATCTTCATTTCCATTTGCGCAAACCTCATTCCAATACAATTGTGAGGTCCATGACCAAAAGGCATGTAGGAGTAAGGATTAATGGATTGTTTGGCTGCAGGTGAGAAGCGCTCCGGATCAAATTCATCAGGGTCTGGATAAATGGATGGGTCTCGCTGAATGCTGTACACTGGTATTACAACTATTAAACCTTCAGGTATTTTGACTCCTTTAAGAACACATGCTTTTGTACAGACACGGACTATGACAAATCCTAAAGAAGAAAAAAAAAGATTTATGCCTTCCAAGGCAAGCAAGGGTGTGGCAAAGGAGATCCTCATGTGTGAGGCTCACTGAGCCCTTCATTGTTAGGACCAAGTGTCAATCAAAAATAATAATAAATATAATAAATATAATAATAATAATAATAATAGCAATAATAATTATAATCATAATAGTGATAAAAAACCTGGAAGGCTCCTGGGTGGCCAGAGAATGGTGGAGTAAGAATTCACCTACCAGAGTTTTCACCTAGACACCCCTGGCAGAACATAAAAAATAACCTAAAAGAAAAGACAACCATCTGCTCTTGAGTCTTCTAGCCCTCATCCCCAGAGCCTATCCTTTTTTTTTTCTGCAGCATAAAGTGACAAAAGCATTGCCCGTGAATAAATGGCTAACCCGTAATTTCCGGTCGTTTACCCGCGGGTAATCTGTTGATTTTGCATTAAACGCGCGCCACTGCGGGTAATAGGGAGGTGCGGGTTATGTGACAATTTTAAAATCCAGTGGTAGTTGAATTAAAAAAAAATATCACCAACATGCGTTTCCACCTCTCAAGTAAATTTTATTGTGTTGATAGTGCCGCAAAGCGGCACGAAAACACGATGCCGACTCGAGTTTATTTCACGCATAATTAGTTGCGCGACGAACAAATTATTATCGGCACGCGTGAAAACAAAACCTTGATGGTGACAAAAATTATCCATAGATATCCGGCGCATCAGTAACAAATTTCCATTTAACACTAGCTTGAGCTAAAGAGAATTTTCCCGTTTTTAGGAACTTGTTAGGCCCAATAGAACCGGCGATCTCGATTTTTTTCAGAAATCGCCGACAGTACTTTATAATTCAAGTTTTAATACTCACCCAGCTTTTTTTCAACAAATCAAAATGGCGCTGAACGATCGCTCGCACAAAATGTGGCCACAAATTCGCATTCTGTCAAGTATGAAACGTTGAGATTTGGGCATGGGCCGCTAGTGTTTTTACTGTATAATCTTATCAACAAAGTACATGCTAATATTGACACAGAATTGTGCACGCGTCTGAATTTCTTTGACCTTTAAACTCGACAAAGACGCTTTCAAGTTTTCGAAAGTTGGATCAGATAACTTTTAAAAGACTGAAATGTATCACCTTAATGTCACGTTTTCGCCACCAAAAAGATGAATAACAACGTGCGGGTTATCCACCAGTGCGGGTAATCTGTTGACTTTTTTTTTCGCCGTATGCAATAATCGGCCGGTGCGGGTAATCGGCCGTGCGGGTAAACGACCGGAAATTACGGTAAGTCCACCATAGCCTAACCCTGCCATTTCATTTTGCATGCTAGTAGTTATGCCCCTGAGTGGAGAGACACTGTGACAGTTAAGTATCATGACCAGGGCTCAAACCCAGACCTCTCCCAACCCAGCCCAGCATGCTATCAACCAGGCCACTGCCCCTCCCACATAAGGGTTCATGTACACTGCTGGTTTCAGTGAAATACGACTTGTCTTTGATACCTGGAGGGTACATTCTCAAACTTTCAGCCAAGACCATGTCCAGGTATGGCATTTCATGGACTGTTTCATAGGACAACATTTGGTTTTCATCTGGCCAAACACTGTCAATCTCTTGTTGTAGTTTATCCTGAATTTCAGGATTTATGGCTAGATGATGGGAAACAAAACTTAAAGTGGTACTGGTGGTTTCATATCCTGCAGCAAGAAAGACAAGGCTTTGTGCTATGACTTCCATGTCTGAGAGCTTCTTTGTTTCTGGTACTGAAGGGTCATCTGAGGCTGCCAGCATCAAATCAAGCATGTCCTATAAAATGTAAGCATTATAAGTAAAATTATATGCAATTGCTAAATTTTCAGTGTTGGTGAAAAAATTACAGCAAAAAAATGAACTGGAGTAAATGGAGTGATTTTCTAGTTAAAGGGTGGTTCTGAAAAGAACTGTTGACAGTTAATCCTTTAACCCTCATGAGTGACCAAGACAGAATTTCTCCTTACAATATCAATACAATTTCAAGCAGACAAGTGATGAGAAGGAATATAGGAGAAAAGAAGTGTCAATTAGGGGATAATTATTAGTTGATCCAATACAAAATTCTCTTAACTAACATGAAAAGAATTGTATGGTAAACAGCAAAGAGAATCACTAAGATGATCTCACACTTGAACAACCTGAGCACAATAAGTCTATATCAGTATACAAGACAAGTTGTTTGTCCTTCTAGTCTGGTTTGTGAAAACTACTCAGACAGTTTTGATCTAGGCTTCTCTTTGGCTAGGTTTTAAAGACACAACACCCAAAAAATTAGAGCGTCTATCCTTTAATTACCTAATTACATAAAGTAAAACCAAAAGATTGCTACCTTCCTAGTGCTAGAGCTTCCACCACTCTCTCTTTTGGTGTGAACTATTTCTTCTGTAATGTTCAGGAGAGGAATATTATTTGACATCCACAAACTTGGTATCTTCTCCATGATCTTTGCCCCAAATGGCATTGTAGATAGAAATGTCAGCAGAATTTTCTGAGAAGTTGACTGGTTCATTGCTTTCTTAGCTGCTTTAAGAACAGGATCATCAGGATTGTTCTGTGAGTTCACTTGAAAACCAAATGCAGCAGAAACGATAGCATCCATTGTTAAACACTGGTGAAGTCTATAAGAAAAAGATAGGTACAAGTTACCAATCTGTATATCATGAGAGGTGTGTGTCATGTTGTTTACTGAATATCTCAAGCTATAATTTTTGAAGCATCATATCTTAATGGCAAAGGGGTTTGCTTTGCTGGAGGATTATTGTCTGTACTGCAGCATAATTGCATCTAGCACACTTATGTTTATTTTTTAAAGCCTATTTCTGAATATATTACAAGCCCTTTGTCTGACAAAATTGGTTGTATTTCTTTTTGGTAGATATAACTTATTTTTAAGATGTATTTTTAGGCAGATGTATTTTGCAGATGAGGAGCTACCTTATGAAAATGCTGAATAAATGTAGAAAAGTATATTTCCCCACAAAACACCCTTTTAAAGCAAATATAATTACATTACATTGACAAGTGTCAAAAAGCTATTTAAAAATTTTAATTTTTGGTAAATATTTCTGTACTTACTTCTTAATGTCAACACTTTCCTCTTTATCAGCAAATTCACCAAGCTTTTTGATCAAATTGTCACAACAAATATTCATCAAGGGCACAATCTGTTTCATCTTCAAAGCACTGAAAGCTGGTGACAAAGTGTTACGAATACGTTTCCACTTGTCTTTGGTAGCAATTGTCAACATGCTGTTCAGAGGTTCAGGTAGCTTAAAAAATACCTTTAAATGATAAAAAGAATCCTAACTATCAGTTAAGTGAGAGAATTCAGTCAATATTGACATCCACATGTAGCTCAGGCAGGATGCATGTGTAAGTTTTGGGTAGATGGGTGTCCACCTCTCCAAACAATACCCCATTCTTAAATTAGTTTAGGGATATGGTTCTGTCCATTTTTAATATCCAACTCTAAAAATTTTTGACAATGTCAGCAATTTTGTCAAAGCATATTCTCCTGAAAAAATTTATTCTCCCTCCCACACCCCATCCGAACTTAATTTTAAAGTGCTGACTGTGCAATTAAGCACTTGACATCTGACCAAAATGCAAAGGTGAACGCCTTCTACTACATCAAAGACTCAAAGCTGACAAAAAGTGAAAAAACTGCACATTAACAAAAGACAGTCGGTGGCGATTACCGTAATTGATAAAAGGTTTATGTATGTTGAGCTTACCGGGCGATCAGCAAAAGAGCCAAACTCTTTGACGAAAATGTCTCTCAGCATTTCTGGGTCCGAGATTATTATGCATGGTTTGCTGCCAAAGGTAAGCATGGAGTATACTTGGCCGTATTTTTTGCAATATTCGTCCATTTGCAGATGTACCAATCCCTTGTGTTTTACAGTATCCCACAAATGACCGATGAACGGTAACGGGATTGGTCCCTTGGGGTAAATAGCTCTAGCCGCCCGATATGGCACAATCCAGTAAAAATAAACTAAAAATATGGCAGAAGCAATTAAAATTGTCTGCCAATGCACAAGAAGCGGTTCTAATAGGTCTAACAATGCCATTGCAACTGCAATAAAACTCGATCTGACGAGGACTCGCTTCTAATCCAACTACAGTTTCTTAGCTGCTCAGTTTCCCTAGTCAGCATTTCTTCCTTCTCTTCCCAGACTCCTGTCCGTTTGGAGGATTGCACCACTGATTGTAAATGGACTCAATATCAAGTGTAATATTCCCTCCGACACGACACTCTATGAATAAATTAATTTTAACTCATCTTCAGTTACATATATCACTTACTGTGTTTTAGACCTTGAAGATAACTTATTAACAAAAAATAATTGAGTTTCTCTTTCTCCATATTTTGTCCTATTTTCTTTGCAATCCTCATACAAGTGTAAATGAAGTCAAAACTCAAACATTTTTAAAAAAAAGGGATGGACTTCAAAAGAAAAACAAATTTCTTTTTTTTTTCCAGTTTAATAAATATATAACAACATTTTATACTTCAAATATAACAAATATGTAATTATTTGTGCCCACTGAAGGTCTCACAATAAATATTGACACAGTGACTACTCTTTCTTGAAAAGGTATTGGTGAAATAATGATGGGGAAAATCAAAAATAAAAACTGCGATTTTACTTGAAGTAATATAAATGTATATATGGAAGTCATTGGACCAAGCAGGGTCCATTTTGCCACCAACAAGATGATATTAACTAAGGTAAATTTGGATAAGCACATTATGTGTACAACATTGATTAAGAGGAGTTTGATTCTCTCTTGAAATAAATGAAAAAAATTCTTGACCCTCAAAGGCCAGCACAAAAATCTTTGCTTTTAAATACATCCCAAATCATATAATATGAAAGTTGACTTTGGTGGTGAAAAAAATGACATTTTTGTTAAAACAAAGTGTTTTCCTGTTTGTACAAAGTGGTTTATCAATATTGTTGCTAAAATCAAAGCAGTAAATAGTTTTCAGTGGCCACTCTTAAAATTATTTGTTACAAGCATAATGGATCAAAAGAACCTTGAAAATACATTCTGTTCAAGTGCATCACCATGCCAGAGAAACTTCAAGAAAACCAAATATTCATCCATTTTTTGTCATTTAAATAGAAAACAAAGAGCTCTGAAATAATTCAATATTTGTAAAGATTTTGAGGCAAATCCTGTTCCTTCCATCCTTGAAATGTTGAATAAACAATCCTCTGTTCATATTTAGCTGCCACGTTCAAAGAACATGAAATCCTGTAAGTACCAACAACAGAAAAGCTATTAGATGATTCCATCAAATGACTGCAAAACCAGGCATCATATTCCATAGAAATTTCTTCCATGTTTTTCAAAACCAAAGTTATTCTTTCATTGTGCTCAAGAAAAAAAAGGACAAATGAAAATCATGATTTGAACATCACACCTCTAAATAATACATTTAGCTGCTTGCATTAGCTGGTTGGCTACCTGAATCAATCACAAAATCTGCTCTGTTTACTCTTGTACCTTAAACTGTACACTTCTTAAGTCCAGAAAAAGAAAAAAACTGCTTTAAGGTGAGTTTTGGTCATGCAATTTATCCTTAATTGACTTATTGTTCAATCAGCATGAGTGTCTGTACTTATTTCAAATAAGATATTTAACCCTTTAACTCCCAAGATCAAATTATTATTTCTCCCCTTAAACTGTTACAAATTTCTTTGTGAAGTAGTAATGAGAATTTGGTGTTAGATCAAGATAAAAAATTCTACTTGATAAGTTTTAATATTCTCATTACCTATTTGCTGGTTCATGTTAGGATATTATGGGGAGAAGTTTCATGTTGATCACTTCTGGGAGTTAAAGGGTTAAAATGAACTTACAACAAGGAAGACTGCTCCCAGTAAAATGGCTTTGAACTTGATCTCCAAATCTAAAGGGACTAAAGTTGGAATAAAACAATCAGATCAAATAGCGTTTGGAAAAATTTATTCACTAAATATTTAACTGTCAAAATATGACACTGACTGCTGCTGCAGAAATGTGTGTCACTGATATTAATTACTGCATAACACTTATCAAAAACTCATTACATTGGATGCCAAAGTTTGCTGCATCAGTGAATGTCTCTCGGGTACATCCGGTCCACTGTTTGGTTATCATTCCAATTTCACTGCTTCCGTCAGCTGAAAAAACCTGCATGTTGAGAAAGAAGCAATTTAATTTTTTTTCTCCCAGAGGTTGTTGACAGGTAACCAGCTCAAGCTATTGCACAATTTTAATACCTTTTATAGCAATGGAATGGTGATTATTAACAATCACATCAGTTCACTGATATTTTGTTTAAACACAAATTCTCCTAACAACTTTACAATGGGTTGCATACTGCTCTGTGGGAAAATTATTGCTCAGATCATGGGTTTTAAAGGGTTAAGAAGATCAGATCTTTTGAATACTAAATAACCACTTCTGTTACTGTTGTGGACACCATATATACACTTATACCTTTAGTGAATTCAGCATTCGTATTTCTTTTAACAATTGCAGTGTAAATAAATAGGTGTCTTCAATTTATGTTACTAGGACTCACAGGGAACTCAATGTCTGAACAGCCACAAGGACAGCATGGTCCATTGATTGTCATGATGTGCTGATGCTGAGAATCTTGAATTTCTAGCTTTATTTTCCATGGAGACGGCCTGAGGAACAATTATGGCCAATATCAACTTATAACAGCTTGTATTGCACTGTAGGGCTTCTTCTCTACAATTTTAGGCCCCCTTAAGAAATAAAGTGCCATGATAATATATCTCTGATATGATCAATTGACAGTTGGTTTGAATTTCATCTTGTGTCAGGCTATTGATAATGTGAGACTGAACTGGCTTCAACTCCAAGGACAATTATTCTAAAAATTTAAGCCTTGAAAGCCAGGATGAATTATACCAAGATAAATTAATGCAAATTTCAACAGACAATCTAGTCTGGAATACAGTATGCGCATTGCACCAATAAAAGCTGAACAATGACCTTTATATATTTTTAAGTTTGGCTCCTAAAAATATCAATACTTTCTACACAGAGGGATTTTTCATTGCCCATTATGCATGAATTTTCTCCATGGCTGTGACTTACATCATACCTTCAAATATTTCAGGCAGGTAAGGAATATTATTTACTATCCATGATGGATTCTATAACACAGTCATAGGGGTTTCCTTAAAACTTGTGTAACTACCAGTTTAGTTATTATGACCATGATTTAATTTCTCAGCTGAGAGAAAAAAATATTAAATTTTATATCATCACTTTTGCTGCACATAGCCTATGACTGTTCCAGGGGGGGCTTGTATTTCAATCTCTTGAAGACAACAGGGCCACCAACAGCACTGGCACCGCACAGGGCGGGAGAGGTGCATCACTTCTCTTTGCATGTTATCAACAATTCTCATCTCAAATGGACGACCTGGACCACAGCACTGTCGAGTACAGCAGTCTGTGTCTGACAAGACAACAGAGTTAACCCTTTTACTCCTATGAGTGACCAAGACAGAATTTCTCCTTACAACATCTACACTATAGCAACTAGATAAGTGATGAGAATAAAGAAAAATATCAATTTGGGGATACCTGTATTTACTCACGTATAAGTCGATCTTTTATGACCCATTAAAAAATCAACCCAAAAAATCACCCTTGACTTACACATAAGTCATACACAAAGACCTGACCCAAGCAATCCAAGAAATTAGCATAACAATCACCTGAAGTCCATTAGGAAAACCGAGTTTATAAAACCATTTTTAGCACATTCTTCGTCAACAAAAAATTTTGAAATAATAAATTTTAAGTGGCTTAACAAAAGGCTACTGGAGCTGATTTCTATTGTGTCTTTGGACTGTAGAGTAGACTTTTTTGCCAGCAGCTTCGCTGCAGTTTACGGTGCTGAACTTTTGTTTTCATTGAATGATTACAGTGGCTTAGTGAGCTGGCTCACACAGTCTTAATTGTTATGTGTGATCCTTATCAAGGTACTTCAGTACTGACCTTCGGGCTAATTAATCTCCTTTCAAAAACATCAAGATAAAAGTTATTTAAATGCAAGAAGATTTCATTTTAAATGTGATTTACAAAATATGGTATAATACTTCTCCAGTGGTGATATCAACAAGTGCTAATAAACTTCACAGCACACAGTTACATTTTGCTCTGCATTTTTTTTAATTCCCTGTATTTTCAATACATTTTCAGAAATAAGAGATTAACTTCTTTGACTAGAAATGATGAAAAATCAGATTTTTGATCTTGAAAATGGGGGGTTGACTTATACACAAGTAAATACGATAATTAGTTGATCCAATACTAAATTCTCTGAACAAACAGAAGTTGTATAGTTAACAGTAAGGAAAATGACAAATTTGATCTGGGAGTTAAAGGGTTAAACTGGATGGAGATACTTAGTTCCTGATTAGTCTCAGGGTAAGCTTAAACAAGTATGAGCTGCAGGTAAACAGGGAATTGTTTTCTGGTTCTTGAAACTAAGGGGGTTGGGGACTTGGGTCAATTTTTGCTTGATTTGTATCCCTGCCTCTTGGAATCTTAGTCACTTTTGGGCAACTGTGATTTTCCTAATCTTAACTTGGTCACTTTCTGTATATGAATCTACAACAGCTTGAAATACCTGCAGATTTTTCCCTTTTTATATCCTTACTTACCAGAATCTTCTTACCCAAAAATTCTGAAAATGTGCTACTTTGTTCTAGTAACTCTACTGAAAATGCAAACCCTGATTATATTCAATTCAGTTGTGAAAATGGGAGGCCATGTAGGGCTACATCCCCACTAGCCAATCACTAGGAATACCCCTCCCACTCTCTTAGGTATTCAATGAGTTGACTTAAATCATGGAGGAGAAAATGATAGATTTTTTCTTAACATGGGGTCAAGGTTTCTAGGCACCGTGGCTCTTTCCACCCCAACAAAATTCCAACAGGTGACGCCCTATTTTCTACTAAGATGTGTTACATTTGGCATTATTAAACTTGGTAGCTAAGAAACAAAACAAAAAAATACAGAGCTATGTTTACCTTCAAGAGCAAAGTATATTTGTTGACTCATGGTATTGCAAATCCTGTACTTATTAGTTCTTTCACATCCAGTCAAAACTTTGAAATAAAAAGATGAAGAACTAAGATCAATATGACTTAATATTGTCATTTTAGTAATGAAATCACTTTCGGCCAGAGAAACAAAAGGTTTATTATCTATCTTTTTAACTGTTGATAACGTTATGCTATAATAAATCCCCTGACTACTCAGATCAAGAACAGGTTCAGATAATGTTTGGTTCCAGAATTATAAGATGACATGTCGGGTGACAAGGACTGCTTTGATTTGGTAATTAACATTACATACAGTGACTAATTTTCGATTCAGCAGGTGCAGAAGCTATCTAATTTCATCTTTCTCCATCTTTTTTTTTTTCCTTTCAGTCAGAACACCTAGGCTTCTCTGACTCTCAGAATAAGTTTCGGTCAACGGTTGTTGTGGTTTAGCGTAAACTCGTGCTTGAATGAATCACTTAGCTACAAAGCTACCTTCGACAAGGTCGACCTGTTGATGAATCAGTATTTGATCGACGGCCGATAAATATTCCAGTCCTTGAGGGCAGCCCATTGGCACTTGAGGTGCAGGCATCCAACTCACTTGTCCGGGGACCCCTACGCTCAAAAATTGCAAAATCAATTTTTTTCTCGTGAATTACGCATTGGCGACGTAATGATGGATAAAACAACTTTTTAATTCTACAAATGCATCGAAATAAATGATTATCATCAGCGAATCTGTCAAGGAAAAGTTCCTGTAGCTGTGTAACAAGCTTACAGCTGGAGTTGAGCTGAGGTTGCGGCGGGCAAGCTGCGGTGAAGCTTTCCTCAGAACACTTGCAAATTTTGGCGGGTGTTGTCAAGTCGTTCTGTCTTAACATCTAAACTGGTGGTGAGTAACATTAGTATTTCACAGAAAGCGTTATTTCATCGAACGTTTAAAAGTACACCATTTCCTGGAAAAGCTGTGAGGTTGTTTCGATTTACCTGGTTGTTGTTGAATGACAGGTTGCTGTGGTTGTTGATATCCATAACCTTGAGGCCACTCGTGAGGCTCACTTGCCATTCTTTTCAAGCTGAATCAAGGTTTTAGGAGTCTAAATCAGTCTTTTTTCGTCTTAAAGAACTTGCAAGTATGTAGAGTTCAGTCAGAAAGAAGACTAACCGCGTAAACAGACAGCGCGATAGGTGCGGTTTCTCGCTACCGGAAGAGGAATTTTGAAAACGTAAGAGTGGAACGGACTTTAAACTAAGGACCACGGACTACGAACAATCGTCTTACTTTGAGATACAAGTATGAAACATGGACTTGAGGTATACCAGAAGGGCTAGAGTACTAAAATTAAGAAAAACAAAAAACAAAACAAAACAAAACAAAAAAAAAACAACAAACCAGAAAAACAAACAAAGAGTAAAAATTAAAATATTTTCCTCAACAGTAAAGTAGAACATTTAAACAATGCATTCAAAACTGAATTTTAAATTCTTCAAAGGTTCTGATTTCCTGTTGTGTTACAAAAATTTGACCTCTTGGTACAAGAGAGCACAAGCTCATGTTCTCTTTTCTTGATTTTGAGGGTTGGGACATCCTTGTGCACACAAAGATTTCCTCTTAAAATAGTTCTGTTCTATATCTTTTCTTATCTACTTTTACCCTTGTGTTTTGATTCACAAGGAGAGCTCATAGTTTTAATTAGGACATTGGTGAATTGGCAAATTGAAGAGGCTTTTGTAATCTTCTGGATTTCTCTCGCTCAAAAATTCATTCAACTCATTGTCCAACTGACTGAACTGAGAGTATCAGCATAAATATGAGGCAGAAAAACAGAGGCCCTTTATCACCCCAAATTTCTGAAAAAAAAGCCACGTTTGGCAATTTCAAATTTTATGGACTGTAACTCTATCAGTCCTATAAACAGGAAAACTGGCGCATACAACCTTCCCTTTAAGGATCATTGATTGAGATGAATGATATCATAGGAAGATTTGGTTGCAGATATCTTTTCCTAAATTAATCCTTAAGTTTTTCCATGGTGGTCTTGTTATGCAAAGGAGAAAATATCCTTGATCTCAACTATTTGGACTATGCTGTCTGAAATTTCACCTATCACATTATTGTTAAGGAGGCAAGGTTTCTATGTGGTTTGAAAAGGTAAACAATAGGAAAGGCAAAACAAAAGAAATTTTGTTTATTTTGAAGTCAAGTACATAACTGTTGAGAAATGGAATCAGTTAGGTTGTTCAGGACTGGTCTTCAGATCTAGAATAAGTGTTCAAAAATCCCTGAATGAAGCACTAAAATAATTTACCATCTCTTCAGTATCAAAATGCTTTCTTTGAGTATTGTGCTGCATCTTGCCTCACCATGTAAGGTTCACAAGAATAAAATTTGGATTACAGTTTCTTTACAAAGGCACACTAGTGAGACTGTGGGCTGAAGCTCTGGTGCTACTGAATCACAAGCTCAGTACCCTGTGGCACTCCACAGACATCCCTATGTTCATAGAATAACTCCCTCAACTTCTGTGCATACTCAGAATGCAGTTTATTTATTTGTTCCTTGCTTGGATTTTCCACTCTTTCCACAGAGATGGGTGATCCAACTGAAAAATGTTACACAGTAATAATCTGGGTCAAATTAAATGCAATGTTGGTCTGTAATATGTCTGTTTTATACATACATACATAAATACATATATATATATAAAGAAACATGTACTAGTAAGTAATGGAAGCTGGTTGAAAGGGTTTACTCTACCTCATTATTTTAGAAATTTGCTTGAATTTTCTGTAATTTATAACAAAGTAACTTTAGGTTCTAAAATGGAAAACAACTTACCAACAACAGTTATGGGTGTGGAATAAGGCATTACACAATATTGTGCATATGGCAGTACCGAACAGCTCTTCAAGAAAACTTTTATCCACTTCTCCCATTTGCTGCGACCAATGTGATAAGCAGTCAGGAGGCCGTTCAGCTTAAGCTGACGACTAATCACATTGTTCTGTCCAAAAGCAAAAACTGGAACTAAATGAGCCCTACCATCATAAAGGAAAAAAAAAAACTCAGGCTTGACCCATACACATTTGATGCTTGGTAATTGTGAAATCAGCCCACCATTCTATACATTCAGTGTTGCTGTCCATAGCTTCTGGGGGTTAAGGAATAAACTTCCCATGACCATTTTTTGCATAATCTTTAGGGTACAGGTACTGCCTCCCTCATTTATTTTGCTGACCATGAGTGAGACCCAGTAACCAGTCACAGAGCTCAATAATTTTCACCTCTTTTTTAACCAGACTTTTTATTTTAAAATTGCACAAACCCACTGTAGCTAATCAGCATCTTAACCTCTCCATACTTGTGACCTCCTATGTTGCAGTTTAACACAGAAAATTGACCTCTTACCCAGTCTCCAAGGCCAGCTGAACAAAACCCTTACGCCTCTCAAGAGTTATGACATAAGAGTCACGGTTCATGTTAAGTATATCACATGTTCCACCAATTGCTATGACAACAGAATGTCCAGGTCCTTGCTGAGTCAATACAAACTTGCAGCTGTCACGATGGACATTTATGACGCCAAGAGCCATGGCAATTTCACGAAAAATTGGGGATCTACTCATAACTACAACACAAAGTGAATCAATCAGCAAATTGAGATAATAGATCATTGAAAAATTGATTGAATGATTAATCATGGCATGAATTTCCTGATTATCATCTAGAGAAAGGGAGACTGTTAAGCATGCTATCACTCTGGGTAGGAGTAAGCTATCAACTCAACAAAAATCAATTAGACATGAATAAGAAAGCGGAAAGGGAGTGAAAATTACAGGGATTTAGTAACGCTAAGCCACTGCGTTTTTTTACATGGTTAAAATTATTCACAGTTTTAAACGATCAGCCTATTCTTGATCTGATCTCCGTCGCAAATGTTTCCTGAGATGTCACGCAGTGAAATTTACGCTTTTTGACGTTGCGTTGTTACGTGACGTCGTTTCGTGACAAAACATGGAATTGACGCTACCACCCGAAATGAAAAATATACATGATAAATAGAAGACTTTCATAATTTTATGGTATACGTACAAGAGTGTGCCCCAATGTAAGGAACAATCCCTGGAAAAATTTTACTGAACTGCAAGGCTTCTGATCCGAAGCTCAAGGCCAGGCCATCAGGGAACATGCCGTGAGGATGGTAACCAAATAAGTAGTTTTTGGAAGAGTCTAAATCTGTGGTCTTAAGTAACGTGACTGGGAAATAATCTCGCATGTACCTAAAGAAAACGTTATTTCTCACAAACTCTGCTCTTCTTCCTCCACGGTTAGGAGTCTCCAAATCAACTAAATACCACCAGGCTATGTAGGCAAAACCGAGCGGCCAACTAAAGTGGAAGCATCGATAAAGTCCGTAAAAGAATAATGGGCCACAGAAGAAGAGAGTTCCAGACAACAAGATGAAGTAGAAAATTATAACGCTTGCTCCCTGAAGACATCGTGATCCGTGATCAGCCATAGAGGCTGAAAGTTGAGTCAGTTCAGTTTAAAGGTTGGTCTTTGATCGTAAAGTACGAGTTGCTTGTTATTACATAAGTGGTCCACCGCTGACCACAAGCAGTCTCAGATGGAAGGTTCGTTTAAGTAGAGCAAATAATAGTTTGGAACAAACCCAGAGGACAAATTAGAATACATTCTTAGTTCATCGAAAGCGAGCTCTATGATGTAACATTTTTCTGATAGAAAATTGCATGCATGAGAGTGATATTTTGCCTGATGATGTACTTAGAGAAGTCCTTACCATATGCATGATATAAGCATCAAGACTGCTCCAGTCAATATCAATACCGTATAATATATGAATTCCAAAAATAAAAAAGTACCTTACTCATGATGGTTATTTCACAACAGCAATTAACCACCATATGGTTGATAATGCAGCAAAGAGCAAATTTAACATGAGGTCTTTCCCGGCGACTTTACTTGCTTTCATTCATGACTCATTTCCCAAAAATGTACATGTTTTGTAACTGTAGTTTTCTTTAACAATGGAATAACTGTCTTGTTTCTGTTTGGGACCATTATTGATTATACTTAAGGGAATTAGGGCGAAGAAGTCATGCAGGAAACTGCAATAAGAACGGAGACGGCTCGTATAGTGATGGGAGTGGATGTAATAAGGTTGGACGGGAAGGAGAGTGTTTCAAAAGATATGAATAAAATCGTTATTATAAGTTTATTGCCTTATCAATAGTAAATAGTAAAATATAGATTTATTACAAACATGTCTGAAACTTAAGGTTTATAAATATTATAACAAGGCTGATATGTATAATAACGATGCAGCTGGTCAGTGGTAATTCTCCAAAAATGGGACCCTTGAATGAACGGCATCGATTTTAGAAGAGAGTTTCCAACGGAGACAAGACAGTTCTTCACTTTTGGGGAAAGAAAAGACATTCATGCACTTATAGGCGACAGCTGATCCTCACTTCTGCTAAGATTCCTCGACGACTGTGAACTTTGGTCCTTCCGGCAAACTAAATTTTGCATGTGTCAAAGTTTTCCCAGTTGGGGACTGGGGACGTGTACACCATTTTGGAGATAGCATCAAACTGAGAACAGGTTTCCATTGCCGTGAGATCACCTGACCGTCTACCCGTAGCAATTGGAGATAATCATGCTGCAACAGAAACACTGTGTTCAAAATTAACTGACATTTTTTAAAATAAAGAGGAAATGGATGGTAGCATTTTAGCTGTAATATGGCGAAACATAAACATTCATCTTAAAGTCAAGAAAATAGAATGAAGATGGAGGTTATACAGCGAATGCCAGCTATCATAAGAGTTTCATCTTTACTAGTTAGAATACAGGGGATAGTCAACGCAATGGACAGAGGTGGAAAACATGGATTGGGAGAAGAAATTCTGCTTAATAAGCCTTCTGTTATTACGGGCACTCAAAGGTTTTTTTACCTTGAAAGGTGGAAGCATACTGATCGTCATATATCGATGGTCGAAGCGTGAATATCTGAAAAACATGTGAACCAAAAGCACAGAAGACAATAATGAAGAACAAACTTTACGACTTCAAACAGAAATCGTAAAAAACAAAACGACAATTATCGAAGACCGAAATGAATGACGTTGCCATTTCTTTTCTTATCTTTTTGTCTAGTATGCTACCGGTGCGTCTTGAGTTATATTTATGGGTGGAGCGAGACGAGCCACTGAGAAATGATGTAGCTCGCACGGCGTCACGAATGGGATTTGGGGAAGGAAAAGGAGAAAGAGAAAGGTTAAATTTCTCTTCTCTTGTTCAACGCGACATCTCACTTGTTCGCTGCGCTCACTCGTGAGCTATCGAGTTAAAAACTCAGAGAGAAATTCCGTATCTACACGCGCCTATGTATTATTCTCTATTTATCAATACTACTCAATATTGTTACTAGTAATATTATTATGGTGTATGATTTTGACCAGTTCAGTTTATATTGCTGTAATTAGCGAGTTCTACATATACCTATATTGATTGTAAAGAGCATCTGACCTTGAAATGGTAAATTGATATTTGCCTACTATAAATTAATAAATATTATTAAATATTATTATTAATTTTGTAAGAACTTGCATCGTCCCCCTTCGCTCTTTATGCAACATTCAGTGGACATGAGACAGTAATGAACTCTTAACGTTCTTTCGTGTGATTATATCACCATCTCGTTGAGTTACTACAACAACTGCTGACCAGCTCTGCTGCTCTACCCTGCTCTTGAAAGTATCAAATACAGTTAGTCGCTTTCATTTTATTTGACAAGATAAAACAATAAGCATAAAAGGAAAAGTGCATGAGTGGTATACGATACGGCTAAGATATCGCCATTCATTTGGCATCTCTGAGATATGGACTTCAAGCGACAGACTTGTCATTAGAGTGTGATATTTCTTCTCTAAGATATGGATTTCATATTTTAGATCTGAAATAGGAACTTATATCACAGATCTGAGATACTTTTTATAACACAAATCTGAGATAATGTGAGTACGATACCACAGATTTGCGATATGGCTGATATATCTTGGGTCTGAGATTTGGATTTCATATCACAGATTTGAGATAAGGGTTTTTCTATCACAAATCCGAGATACGAGTGTTAAAATCACAGATCAAAGAGAAAATTGTTTTATCAGAATATCTGAGGTATGAATGCTGTACCACAGTACTCCAGGTGTTATGCCACAGATCTAAAGTATGTAGAATATACGTTAGATCCAAGGCATTGATGTTATGCCACAAATGTTTCGGAATGTTGGTGATACCAACTTGAAAGAGTAAAGCATCAATTAGCACTTGAGAACGTAGATCTAAATAGACTAAAGAAAGTAGATTAGTATAACTAGTTGCCTGCAAAAAGGTTTGTTAACTTAAAATTGAGCGATCAAATGTTGGAGACGAACGTAGACGGTTGAAATTTTGAGGTAGTGAAATCAATTTTAGAGAGAATCTTAACCATGATGACATCTCACCACAAAAATTATGTAATAACGATGGTAATGATTATAAGGACGATAAAAAGACGAAAATTTAGCGTGAAAATGTGAAATATATAATAATAACAATAGCGAAGACGATAAAAATAATGTAAAGACAACTTTCAAGATAACAATATTTTTAACCATCACTCCATTGACAAAAAGACAATGAAAATAACGAAAACAGTGATGGTAATGATAACAATAAATTCTGGTAGATGTTTCCTGGAGTCAACGCGAAGCAGGGCATACTTATTTTTCTCGGATCTATTTTCTCACCTACTGAACAATCAGGTGACTGGCGGGTCTCTTCACAGGTGCATTGGTTGGGTCCAGTGCAGGTGCCATGATTTGAACAGTTGTTCACTAATTTACAGTTCACTGTGTTAAAACGCAAAATAGATAATTGATCAGTTGTAAAAATTGTAACGATGATAACTAATGCCTTTTTCAGACCTATGTCATTATCTGAGCAACTACGTACCCACCCCTCCCTCAACCCAACATTAACCCTAACTTGATAGCAGTTGACTGTCATTGGATTATGGGAGTGGTACCCTAAGTGCGCAGTTACTCAGATACTGAAACCGATCCCCTTCTTCTTACCTGGTAAACCCGTTTAACCGTTTCGTCGTGGGGCCACAGAGGAAAAAGTAAATTTGAACGTTTCACATTTATCTTACCTCCAGAGCAGTTCAATCCTTGGGAACCGACGTAGCATGAACAAACATTAGGTCCGATACAGTCACCACGATAAGAACAGTGATCTCGAAGTTCACAGGTTGCTTAAACGAAAACGAAAATACAAAGAAAAGATTTGTTAAAGATGCATCCATAGAAAGGACGAGGAATGATAATTTTGAAACACAGAGACTGGCTGAACTAGTTACAGAAGATGTATGATATGCCAGTTATGATAACTAACATTCAAAGGTTCGAAAAAATCCCTCTTTCCCTCTCTTCTCTCACAAAATAACAGCATGCACCAAGGGGAAGAGTACCTACGCAACAGTGTCCTCGGGCTCCGTATTGGACAGCGTTTTAGTCTTAGCATTTACGTACCGGCTAAAACTACAATTTGACAATTCATTTCATTTGTTCCAGATTGTAGAAGGCGGTTAATCAAAGAATTATTTGACTTTTTTGCATTTATTTTTACTGGGAAAACTAGAGATTAATGAAGCCTTTTCATTGAGAACGATGCATGCTTTACTTTTTAGAGGGCCAATAAGAGTGGGAAACATTCCGGGGTTTAATTAACCTTTATATAACGTTTAATCAAAATTGGTATTTATAAAGTTGTCACTAATTCAGAAAATAAAATGTCAGTTACCTTGTGAGCACCCGACACTTTTGTATCCATCTTCACAGGTACAAACATTAGGGCCGGTACAGTTTCCTCTTCCGGAGCAACTATTTACTTCTTCACAGGAAACTGTTATTACAGTTGAAAAGTGAGAGTATAAAGATAAAAGAGGTAAGACATGATGCAATGAAATGATCTTGCAAAATAAAGGGAGAGAAAGTAACACTGAACAAACTGAAGTAGGAAACAAACCCGTTGAGCAATCAAGAGATCCTTTGAATCCACTATCACAATCACAGGTATTTACTTCTATACAACTTCCATGCTTGGAACAGTTGTTCACTGCCTCACAAGTCACTGAAACAACAAAAACATGTTGGGTCCTTAATTTTTCAAGAGTTAAAAAGTAAGAAAAGTTCTCAGGGCGACTTCAAGCCATTAGGATATCTTTGAGATTTCTACCTGCAAGGAGAAGATTGAGAACAGGCGAACAAATCAAGTTAGCTACGAGCGAGGCAGATAAACGGTTGGGTGAAAAGAAATCTTAGTGTGAAGGAAATAGAACAGCGCCATGTAGCTCAAGTCGACGAGAGCCAAACCCAAATAAAACGGGTGCAGTTGTAGCAAGTGAAGTTTGCAGCAAGGAAACAAGGATTGGAGTAACCACAACCAAACTGTTTCCAGTCTGCGTATAATTACTTTGCTTTGACTCTGCTTATAGCTGTTTTCTTTTTAAAAAGCTCAACTCTTGACTTTGCCGCCCACATGAACCAACGAATCCCAGATCGTATGCCCCAATTTTCTTCGTTTACCCCTACCAACTCGATTTTCTGAATTCCTGTCCTTCATCCAATAACTCAAAAGAGGGACTCCAGTCAGGGCCCAATCCCCGAATAATTAAAGGTCATTAACCCCCAGTCATACATGGAAATCACTGTGAGCAAGACTATCCTCTGCTTATGGGGTGTTTTCTTCCAAAAAGCTCAACTCTTGACTTTGCCGTCAGCATGAACCAACGAGTATGCCCAAATTTTTCTTCGTTTACCCCTACTAACTCGATTTTCTGAATGCCTGTCCTTTATCCAATAACTCAGAAAAGGGACTCCAGTCAAGGTCCAATCCCCGAATGATTAAAGGTCCTTAAACCACAGTCATACATGGAAATCACCGTGAACAAGACTACGCTTTGACGGTTTTGTAACCAAATCTCGGTGTCACAAGACTTACCACAGAATGTAACATTAACATCAGCTGTTTGGTTTGCTTGGTCTCCATTGAATCTTTCCTCTGCCGTGGCAATTACTCTTAGCACGAATGGTTTTAAAGTCTCGTTTATTGAAATAAACAAACGGGACGCGTCTGGAGGGGCTCTTGTATTACTTCTGTTCACCAAGCTCGTGCCATTCACGTGAACCAATCGATAGCCCGTCGGTAAACCCGAAAAGACGATTGCTAGATTTTCTGATCCATCTTGGTCATTCAGATGGGCTTCTAGGAACACTGGAATAAGCTTTTCACTGCTGTTCCAATGGTGACACGGCACACTGACATTAAGAAATGGAACATCTGCAACGGCTGTGATGTTTATTTCAATATGTCTAGAGACCGCTTTAGTTTCTATTGGGGTGGAGACTATTGCCGTAATGTTAAACCTCGCGAGTCCTGAGAAATCTTTCTGGGGTATCATCCATATATCGCCAAAATCTGCAGGCTCTAACACAATACGATCGCCGCTCCTGTTTCCTTTACTAAAAGCGATTCCTTCGGAAATTTCATGGATTATGAGTTTCAGGGTGAAATTTTTAGTGTAGCTGCTAATGCCAAAATCCGGAACAAAAGCGGAGAGATATAACTGAGCGGGCACGTCCTCAATTGTGTCACTGTACATAGCATTGATTATCGGGGGCTCAAATCGTAGAGGAAAATCTGCAAATGAATTAATAACATGATTAAAATCATTGTATGAACTAGGTGGCATAATAAGATAATGGATTTAGTCTATTAAGCTCTCATAATTATTACTATTGTAATCATTATAATTATCATCATTCAAAAACAAATGTTAACCAGTGAATGAAAGCATCAATAATTTCATTCATATCATATTCAACAAACTATCTCGTTCCAACGCTTTCTGCTCGAAAATACTCACCACGTGAGCAGTTAAGGCCATAAGATCCACTTTCACAAACACAGAAATTCAAAACAGTACAGTTTCCGCGGCCGGAGCAGTTGTTTAGCCGTTCACACGATGCTGCGATGAAAACGAAAAAAAAAGAAAAGAAACGGAAAATAAAACAAAAATTAATGAATATAATATAATTTAATGCTCGTGAATTTTCAGGTTAATATGATTGTCGTCGTGAATAATAGTAGCAGTAATAGTAGATCGACTTGATGTTTTCTCTTGAGTAAACACGCAGATAGCCACAAGTCTAAACTGAAGTTAACGATGGAGGTCAAAGGATAACATTTGATTTGTTGATTGGGATTTTATACATAAAGTGCAAAATGTTGTGAAAAAATTTTGAAAAAAAAGTTAACGGAACAATGTACGATAGACAAAAAACCAGCGAGGTGGTAAACAAGCGCAAAAAGTGTCACATGTAACTATTTGATTGTTTACTGTGTTAAACAAATATGTTAAGTTACATGACTCTTTACAAGGCTTGCAAGGTTTTATGGCTCAAAACTGAAGATGTTAAATGTGCGTCATTTTGTTGATTATAATGAACCATGTTTGACTGCATGAGACGCACGTGTCGGCAATGAGAAGTCCACTGCGATTGCACGATTCCACTCCATCAGTTGTCTGTTACCCACGTGATCAACAGCTAAAGCCAAAAGTGAGTAGGTGTTCCCAGGGGGGAGGGATAAAAACACTGTGTTATCAACGACATCGGACACCAAGGGAAGTATCAGTCGGTTCTGGGGCAGAACTGCACGACAGAAAAAATCGGTATTAGAAGCTTTTAATATCTAAGTCAATTACTCAGGGCAAGATAGGACTAATTTCGTCACTTCATCCTCTCTTGTTCACGGCTATCTACTCACAAATGCTACTAAAACACGAAAGAAACTTTTTTGTGAGCTCACATCCCCGATAGGGTTTGCGTAATTCTGGTTGTATACCTAATGCTTTCTACTCGATAAAGACGATTGAAAGTGGATTATTTGTCCAAACGTTATTATTCATTGACTGAAGCTTAAAAAACATAGAACAAAATCATAGAGACTCACCATTACTGGCTGAGATTTGATAAAACACGTCAACAGACTTCACCCCAGATTCCTCGTCCAGTGTATCAATTTCCAGGGCCAACTTTCCAACCTCCATGGCTTCATTTATCACAGATATATTAGATGAGGGCATGGAACTGTCAATCTGGATCCATAGAAATCGAGAAATACAAGAGGGAATTATTAAGAGCGTTCAATTGATCGTTTGCATTTTTTATCGCCGTCATCTCTTGCTTCGTAGGGTGTCCAATCCTGCATCAATCCTGCAATCCCTCCCTCTTAGCTTTAGAACGACAAAAACAGTACGTTGTGCTTTTTCTGGCTTTTCCTTAACTCATCCGGTATTCACATCCCTCAACCTCAATGGCTTTATCAAACTCCTTACCGTGTTAAATATCGGAGGGGTGTCAATCGGTTCGTTCTTGTCGAAATAGATGCTTGCCTTTGCATCAATCCTTGCTAAAGATTGCGCGTTCTTCTTTAAGCGAACCGTAAAACTCACATATCCTTGTCCAGTGGTACCATTGTTTGGTGGAAGGAAACCAGTTAGAGGATCATCCGGAGTCTCACCTGTAAAAGAGAAACAATTTGGGACGTAAAAATTATCATTTGATGCCAATGCCAATGATTTTAAGCGAACACACTGTAGGGTTTCATTCCCGGAATCATAAAACCATGTTATAAATACACAAGCACTACAAGATGGGTTTTTAAACTCACTGATTTTAAAAAAACAAATGACCATACATTCACCAGTCTAAACCCAATTCTTCTGTTTTCCAGACGCAAGAAAAGTTCTGATCTCATGCTGCGTGTTTTTTTTCTTATAAACATATTTTGCCCAACGCAAATAATGTTCTTGTGAGATTTTACCGTCCCGTTTTTCGTCTCTTCCGTGAGAGAAATACGAGCGAAATTTTCATTTTGGCATAAATCATGGTCATGTTTATCATCAGAGGCAAGTAGTAGATCCTTTTGTGATGTGAACAACCAGCTACCTGTGAGAGGATCAAGGCTTTGAAACTCCCAGTGTGCCTCACGGGTAAGTACATTTATGCCAGCCACTACTCTTACATAAAGGTTTTTCTCTGATACAAAATTGATTGTTTCCTGGCAGATAATCAAAAACAAAAACAAAATAATTCATTATACATATGTTGATATTAACATTATCGATATAAGTGATGTATTTTCGTAATGTATACTTTAAAGTGTGTCAAAAAATGTTTGTAAGGGAACGCTAGAAAAATCTACCATCTAAGTAATGGTTGGATATTATTTAGTTACTGACATAGGCATGGGTCTAGGCATGGTCAATAGAAGGGGATTCCAGATTGCTTCTTAAAGGGGTTAGACCTATGGCCCTCTCGCGATTGACACCTCTTGGCGGAATGGGGCTGAGGAGAGGGAGGGAGGGAGGGGGGGGGTTTAATTGGTAGATGAACCACGAGAAAATAATGTCTCATTATTTTCCCTTAGATAAACTTATCGTAGAGAATTTCCAACAGCTATTGTGACTAAAGATTGGAGCTCTAAAGTAATATAGGACTTTTACTAAGCTCAACACACTTGGTTGGTTTCCTTACCTGAATGGAGGCTACCGACTTGCTTAGCCTTTTAGTAAAGTTGCCAAACCCAAACCCTGTAATTCTAAATGTGCGAATGTCCAGGTCTTGATCCAAAGTGTGCAGGATAATCACGTTCTGCGCAGGCGCGGTAGCATTTGCATCATTCTCAAACCTGATCTTGTAGTTCAGAGGAGTCTTTAATGAAATAAAGCGAGCGTCTCCATATCCGGGAGGACCAATCATGTCATTCTGTGACAAATCAAGGGTAAATAAAACACAATCAATCTTTTTCCATTAGGAAATGTCCATAAAGTTGCGGTGAGGACTTGGAAATTAACTTTGAGTTAAGCTACTGAAAAAGCTGACAGAATGAAAGGAAACGATTGCATACATGTATCACAACTGCATGCATACAATGAGGACGCATCGTTTTCTCTAGTGTGCGATCTGGCGAAATCAAAACATTCTTTATCATAACTCCTTAGTCATTCAAACAGAGCTTTGCCTGGGTAAGTCTTTACATGAGCGGTAACAGCGAAAGTCTTTAAAGACAACATCTAGGATACGCGTGGTTATATTATAAAGATCTTGATACAGTAAATGGTTGGAACCCGGGGGTAACATGTAATGATGTAGTTTGATCGTCTGGGTGCGGACGGGTGTTACCTCCGCAAATAGTTTGTGGAGACGTCATAACACGACCCATAGGGGACACTATGCGCACGTGTATTGCGGCAATAAAGGAAACTTAAGTATCTAAAATTGTGACTAGAAAAGACAATATTTGCTAATCAATCATCTCACCGGATCCCAGGACTGAACCCAGATGATTATCTTAACGACAATGTCTTTTCCCAGTGGTGGAATAATCAGATTCTTGGCAGTCTTATCTAATATCTCGTCTAGGTAATCGTCCACTGGGGCATTCCCTTCAAAAGAAAAGTAGCATTAACATGTGGAGGGTTTTACTTCTATGTAACAAATTTGTCACATACAATCTCACGGATAATTTGTTTTCAAATGTTCAAGGCTAGGATGCCTCAGTCATATCAACATTATAAGCACTTCAATGACTGAACAAAGAAGGGCAATTCCCCGAAGAATTTCCTGCAGTGTACGAAACGGGAAAGTTCAGTCCGAAAGGGACAACGTTTCAGGGCAGTGGCATAGGATAGTGTGAGAATAAGTTCATTAATTTTCAATTGTCGGCTCGCCCTGTCTTTACAGGAGACTCGTTTTTGATAGAGTAGCTCAGATTTGGAGAACTCTGCATATCTGGGTAAAAATAAAATCATGGCTACGTCTATCAAAACAGCGTACACCAAAACAAAAATTTATTTCCTCGGGCTCCTGCATCTAGGCGATGGACGAGTCTTTAATACAACATTATCAGACATCAACAGAAAATAAAAAGCGGTCCTGAAGCGATCAGAACTCATTAAAGCTTATGTGGAAAGTTTCGAAACAATTTCTTCACAGCAATATCTGGGGTGGACAGTAAAATCATGAGTACATCTACCTGTTCTCCATTTTTTTCTCTTGAGGGGTGGTAGGGCCGACGCGATCGCACTACTTACACCGCCCTCTAGCGCCTGTCGCCAATTTACATTCCCGACACCATTATCAATTCCTTGCTGAAGTGCTGAGCTTCCAAAGCCAATAGCAAACCCAACTGCGACTTCTGCGTAAAGGTAATTAAATATATACAGAAATTGTTATTATTAACATTGTTAACGTTAACTAGAGCTAGAGCTCATGAGTCACATACCACTTATGTAGGAAATAGAATGATGAAGAAAGCAACAATCTATACTTTCGTTTTCTTTTAAAGTATAGCACTTACTTCCTTTTTTAACGTATCCAGAGACGAGCCCTCCTAAGGCACTTGATACGACCCCTGAAGATTGCAAACATTAGAGCTGTAGTTCAATTCATCCAGCATTATTAACAATAGTCTGGCCATTACAGCGCTCTTCAGTTGATTAAAACCAAAGAAATCATAACAGCTAATCAGAAGAGAGAAAATTATCTTGAAGTGCCAATGAGAACTCAAAGTGAAACCGACCATTTAACGCGGGAAAACGCGGGCGACCGAGTCGTGATTAATTTTACTTTTGCATTCGATTGGTTAAGAGAGGGGCGGGAGTTTTCTGAACCAATAACAGAGCGAAGTACATCAAACTGAAACAAAGCAATCTTGGGCACTCAATTGAAATTGATCTTTTACGCGCTCGTAAAATCCAGCTGATTTTAAGTATTTTCAAACACTCAGAGTCCACGCGGTTGTACCAATAGGTTATAACCGTTCACGATGTTGTAGCTCACTTTTCGTCCTTAATTTTTTTTATTGGTGTCGCGTTAACTTTCTTTGCTCCCAACGCAGCTTATGCGGGCTGTAAACGATATATTTGGAAAACGATATCATGGTGTTTCCATTACAAGCCTGAAGATTTTTGATTGAATCTGTTCACTTACCTCCAAGAGTTACCTCCTGCCCTAGCATCTTCTGAGAAGCATAATAAGCAGCAACATTTGACGTTGCACCAACAATCGCCCCCACGGCTCCACTGGCTATAATGGCAAAGGGAAAAAATTTTCCTCTAGGATCTTTCAGCATTATAGGATTGTTGGCTGCGTACGAGTATAGATTAATACTTTTTCCTGAAAAACCTGAAATGAAAAACAGAATAAAATGACACTGTGTAATCAAATGGGATTTTTTCAGCATTCTTAGCCTTGAAATGATAGAAAAGACCTTCAAGTCTGGTTCTCTGACATCTCTAACAAAGTAATTTAAAATACATCGTTAAATTCTCCGCTTGTATCATTTAGCTTTAATGTTTTCATTTAATAAACACATACAGTTTCGCTGAGAAATCCATACCAAGTGGGTCGAAGCTAAGAAATCGTCCGAGCTGTGCATCATAGTGCCTGAACCGCATCCAGTAGACATTTCTTAGTTCGCGATCAGCGGTCACTCCCCATTGACCAATGAACTTGAAGTCCTGGGGCAACTCTTCAGAGGCTGCTAATATCCTACCATACGGGTCATAACTGTACCGATTAACTAGATCACCTTTGGGACCCAGTACTCCTACGACAGACCTGCAAAGGGGAGTTGACGTGTCACAATACAATGGCAATTCATAGTGTAGTGCTTCCCTTTGTCAGTAATATACTTGACAGGTCTTTTTCATTTTCAGGATAGCAAGCATCAGTACAGAAGCAGATTCAGTCTTCCTAATGATAATGAATCTTTTATCCCTAAACCGTTAGTTTCTATCTTCTCCATACTCTCCTCTGTGCATTTCTTTCGATACTGTTAAGGAGAATTTGTTGAACAATCAAAGCTTCTTAGGTTGGTGATCATTTCCTTTATTCTCATGATCTTAATGAATGATTCAGCAGTATAACTGTAAGGAGAAATTAGATGCTGGTCACTCTCAGGATTTTAAGGATTAAATACTAAGGTGGTAGATTATTAATACTCTTGGGAACAACACGTGTTCCTGAGTTTGACAACAAAACTTCACTTCACTTGTGCCGTAGCCTGGTTGGCCGCGGCCGCCACAAGTGAATTGTCAACCAGTTCACTGGGGCTTAAAACAAGGAAGATGAGAAGGTTTAACTGCCTCCTTGTACTGATCGATCCCTTTTGGAGTGTTGCAAATAGAAACCAGTCCAAAAGACGGTACAAATAATATTAGCTTTTAAGTCTTACCCCTGCGCGTCGAACTCGTAATAATATAAATCTCCATTCGTGTCCATCAAAGCAACTAATCCAAGATCTTGGCAGTGAATAAAATATGTCACATTTACACCGGTAATCTGCCAAAAAAAAAGTTAATTTATTGTGAAATTCAGAAAACTTTGGACAGAGAAAACACAAAGGAAATGCTACTGTGTCGAAGAAAACAAGCCAATCAGGTGCTTTGCTTTGATATCCTGATCTCCCACCAAATTGGCCACTACAGAATAAAACTGGCCTTTCCGAAGCATGTTCGTCATTTACAATCTCTCTCCTTCATCCTTGCAAAGGTTTATTCTCAGATTTTATCAGTCTACTTTAAGTCATCTCTTTGTGACGGACTCAATGGCTGAAAATTTTAAGACGTAATTCTAAATTTGCCACAAGCCAATTGTTAACTCCAAATATTCAGCTAAACGTCGTGACCAGTACAATGTCATGAAAATTTTCCACCTGGCCAACAATATCAGCTCCTGGATTCCCAAAAGGATCAATTAGGTATTGCACTTCATTTTGACCGCACGTTTTCTTGTACAAGTTTCCAAAGCCGTCATACACATAGTTACACCTGCAGTAACAAAAACAGTGAGTCGGATTTTTTTAAAGTCTTTTGGAATCGGGTGGGAAGAAATTTCAATAACGGCTGTTCACTTGCTGGAAGGAAAGTTTTGTAATGATTACTTTCGAAAACAATGAGTCGCATTTTACTGGCATTTGGAGACAATCCAATTTATTGCTGTTGTTTAGGGGGGGGAGGGGGTGTGAAGGAAGAGGGGGCATACACTCGAGGACTTTTCACCCTCCTTAGGTAAGCCCTTGAATAACGTTTACAAGTGCCGTTTGAGTGGGTTATTATTTAACGAAGGTAACAAGTTGTCTTCTATTTTGGTCAAGTTTCTCACCTTCTGTTTGGGGTTTCAGCTTGTAGCAATTTATTTTCAGTGCTAAACTTGAATTTGACGCTGTCTTTCCGTAGATCTCTGTTTGTCTTTTCTACCATATTTCCATCAGCGTCATACTTGATTTCATAATTTCCCGCCGAAGTGTACTGGTTAACTTCATTGACAAAATATAAAGTCTTGTTACCAGGCTCTTCTGAAACCTGCACTCGATTTTTTCGTTTATCGTAGGTGTAACGAACAGTTTTACCGTGTGGATATTTTGCCTCTATGAGCTGCGATGCTGCATCGTATTTGTAATGCCAGATTCCTGATGTTGTGTTTTCCTGAATGATTCGTCCTTGCTTGTCATAATTGTACTCAAAGTACGAAGAAATGCTGCCATTTGGAAAGTAATTTACCACACGCGACAGTTTGGAGTTAACTGGATCTAACACGTACTCGGAAGAAGCTCCGTTTCCAAGGACACGTTTAGATAACATCCCTTGGGAGTTGTATTCCAATTTCAGCAAAACGTCGGCCGTACCCGAGTCTACGCGCACTACTTCCGATAACCGGTTAAGCTGGTCATACTTGTAAACCAGGTTTAACCCGGAGACTTTTAGCCCCACGCGACGTTGGAATTCATTGTATTTGTAAATGATAATCTGACGGTTTGGATAAGTGACACTGGTTGGTCTGTTTTCACCGTCATAGGCAATATTGATTGTACCGATACCATTAATCGCTTGGACGATATTACCATCGCTATCATGTAAGAAATACGAAGAGCTAAGATCATCGACATCTTTTTTAACCTGCATAAACAGATAAAAGGTATCAACAGAAAAATTAACACATTCCCTCTGGCATACCCCAACATATGTTTTTTAAACGAGCCCAGACCTTGGGGGAAAAAAGGTATACTTCCCTTACCATTGGCCTTGTCCTGTTGAGCTAGTAAAACGCTGGAAAGTTGCTAACTGGAATGCTAAAAAGTTGCCAAAAATCCAAAAAGTTGCTACCTAAATTTTAAAAGCTGCTATACCTAAATTTGTTGAGATTTTTACATAAGCGTTAGTTAAAAGCTTTATTTTTCGGTCTTCACAATAATTACAAATGCCATCGGTCGAGAAAACTTGAAACTTGGCTTTAAGAGTTACTCGCAAATATGGGCGAAATTTAAGAATACTTTAAAGTTTAACGGAACAAAAAACATGGTTCACTTGACGTCTTGCTGAAAGTCATCTAAGCCGATAATCTGCTATAATCTTAAATAAGGATCGTAGTAGGCCTGCGAGACACTGTCAAGTGATTATTGTAGTTCAGTGAGGTTGATGAACATTCAGAAAGTTGATGATAAATCGTGTATTTAATTTATTCATTCATCTTCATCTCAACTAAAATTGATTAGAAAAGTAAAAATTGCTCGATTCCGCATGAATTGAAGTTTTATATGAAATGGTTGACTTTTTCGTGCTTGATATGTGCTCCAAACCTATCTTCATCTCAACTAAAATTGTTTAGAAAAGTAAAAATTGCTCGAGGTTGTTAGAACCGCAAAAAGTTATTATTTTTTTATGTGTTTTACTTGAGCAAAGGCCACAAACAGTCCGATTTGTGTTTATCAAGTGGTTTTTTCCACTTATCGGGCCTACTGAATATTTTCGCCGTGAACTTAATATTGCTTAATTCACGAGCAGGCTCTAGACATATTCAAGTGGCTTATAAAGAAAACACTACTTATCATTGTCTGACAGTCAGCTCAAACTTACAAGTTGGTTATTTTCATCGTATTCAAACTTGACTTCCTTTCCAGCTCTACCAGTAAACTTCACCAGTCTCCCTCTATCGTCATAGTCTGATAGTTCGGTTTTACCATCCGGGTATATGAATTTGATCAAGTTGTCCTTTTTATCGTAAATATTCTGATAAACGAGACCTCCTGGATCCGTCGTGTTCAAGACGTCCCCGTTTTGCCGCAGGAGGAATTCTGTATCATGGCCGTTTCCGTCAATAACTGTCATTATATTTGTCTTCACGTTGTACTTCCTTGTCAACACAATCTGAAAAATTGATAGCATATTCTTAGAACAAACGGCTCGAACATGTTGGTGTCAGTATGGTGTTAACGCCGTGGACGAAAGGTAGTAAATCCCGATGGATGGTAATTTCAGTCACGAACAACGCGGGAATGCTCAAGTAGGGCGTTTTCACGAGGTCAGCGTCTAATCAGAGCCCGTCGCATGATAAAGAAGCGGAAATTTTCTTGTCCTTTTTTACGGTGAGTACCTATCCTCTGAGACCAAAGGCTAGTTGGTCAAAACGGCACGTTTTTCCCCCTTGCCTAGCCGCAATAAAATGTCGTTAAATCTTCTGCAAGCATTATTACTAGTTCTTTTAATAATTTTAGCAACTCAAACGAGCGTTAAATAAATCCTTTACCTGGTCTCCTTGCTTCACAGTTTTAACAACCTCGTCATCATTTCTGACACTTTCAAAACGTACATCGCCAAGGCCAGCACCCTGTATGTCCATCATCTTTGCTTTCTCGTTAAACAAAAGCTCAGCTGAGTCTCCTTGTGGAAGTCTGGTCATGATCACCTTTCCATTCCAGTCGTACGAGAAATGTGTTCCATAGATGAGCTTGTTTTTCTTGCTAAAACCTGTTATGTTACTCAGGAGTCCATACTGGTTCCACGAGTACTTGACAGTGGATGAAGTAGGGTAAACAATACCTGTAAGATCGCCGTGGACGTTGTACGTGTAACGAGTGATTTGTTCACCAACTGTGACCGACAAAAGAGACCCGGTATCCCAACTGTATGTGTAGAAACTGCGGGTAAAATAAGACAAGACGTTCAATTTTTAAATATGTGAAAGCGTAATGTACAAATGAAAGTCTGCATCCTTAACTGACTTCTCCATCAACAGTGCTTTCAGGGCCAATACGAACAGACTGGACGCAAAAACTTTATTCAAACATAGTGTATAAAACATCCCAACTGGATAGAGGGAGACCAGTTGGCTGTATACAAAGCGTAGCCAAAGAGTTTAAGTGGGGGCAACTGAGAACAAATCCACTGGGTAGCAGGGTGGAGGGCCTGGACCCAAGACCACGTAGCCTCCGTGGTAATTCACATTCTCGAAGGTTTGACAAGGGAAGGAAAAACATTCTTACCATCTCTGTTTTTTATTCGATCCATCTTCATATTCAGCCTCTCGTACAAATCCTTTGTCGTTGTATTTCACAGAGATTTTTCCTCCGGACGAATGAGTGAAAGTCGAGGATCTGTTTTGTGAATATTCGACGGTGATCGTCTCATTAACTCTCTGAATCTCCTTCAGGTGATTCATGACAGAATCAAAGATGAACACAGTTGAGGTGCTGGAGTCGGTGAAGCGAACGTCTAAGTAGAAAAGAAGAGTGGATAATTTTATCGTGTCAGCTAGACTGTGTATAAATAGAAATATTAACAGTATTTTTTATGGTATATGTCGAAAGAAAGAGGTCTTTTGCTTGCACCAACGAAAAGATGGCGAGGCAAATAAGTAAATCTTCCTAACGTGCCATGGCAAAAATGATAATTTTTAAAGGGGAAAATTTCTAAAGGAACTATGATGCTGCTGTGGTGCTGGGGGTACTTCGCCCGCCATTCCTGTTTTCCCATCCATCCACGCGAGCTCAGGTTCGGCAGGAAGACTAAAACAGAGATCTGTCGCGAGTGGAACACACACCTTTCGATAATTCCGGAAATTCCATCCAAGAGGGCACACTGAAAAGGTATTCCTAAATTTTCGAAAGCTTATCTCGGAACTTCTCCGTTCCATTCTATTTTAGACCGGAAATCTTGAAAATTTTGGTTGCATGGAAAGAGACTAATGTCTACATGTCCATGAAGACATGAGGACCACGTCAGCACGCGTTCTAACTCAGCTTCCCGTCTCAATTCCTCCTCCTTTTTTCGACACTTTTCGGTGAGTCATGATCTCTGAATGTTCATCTTATCGTAATTTAGGGCAAAAAAAACATACTGTGAATCCCAACGTTTTGTGGGTGGTTGTAACTGTAAAAATAAATAGAAAACCATGATACAAACTCAAACCGCAAACGATTCTCACCTGTGTTGTTGATAGTGATCTCCTTTCCATCAAACGACCTGTAAAGCCCAGCTGTGACAACTTTAAACACCAGCTCTTCGCGTAATTGCACAATTTTAATAGTTTCAGGTGTAATTTGTGTGATCGCAGCCTCCCTTAGAGTTAAAGGATAAAATAAATTAAAATCCTAATGAAGAAAGAGAAGAGCCGATAAAGACAATTCAAAATAAGGCAACAACCACAAACAACCTCTGGGCATGATATCAGCATTACTCATGGTTATAGCTCGTTAGTGTATTTTGAAGTTTTCATATGATATGCTGAAAGACTCGGCCCTACTAAATACCACCTCCACTTATTAGTTGCCTCCTCTTAAAAGACTCCTTCCTATCATCGTCATCGTTTTCATCATAGTTAGAGTTATCATTAACACGTTTATAAACAGCAACTGTGGTTTTCTTACCACCAAGGGGCAATCCAACCAGCACCAAAAGCGCCCTTTTGTCTTCGTTTTGATATCAGCGGACTGTAGATTCTTTGTAGCAACAAAGGCAAGGCCAAATCTATAGCGGTCTGACCCGTTATGTCATCTTCGGTTAACAACGGATCGCCTTTAAAAAAAATACAGAAAACATTTATGCAAAATTTGAAATGTGCAATTTCGACACTCAAACGTACAGTATTTGAATAATTGGCTGAGAATGATTTAAAAAGTTAGCAAGCTCAAATTTACAAGCCACAAACAAGTAAATGTTTATCCAGACTTGTTCTTCTCTCTGAAGTATTTTTTTTTTGAAGAAAAAGATGATCTCTCACCCGTCAGTTTTCCGTTTGCAATATCAAGTTGGAACTGAATAAGATCATCCACCAAGTTGACTCTTCTTCCAGACTTGCTGAGTAAGGTACTGACCGCTGACATCCTGTGTTGGAATGAAGCGGCTGTCTTCCCAACAGCAATTAGAAAATTCTCCCAAACTGGAGCCCACAGTTCGCTGCTTAGAAACTCTGGTTTCAGATCTTCACTGCTGTTCAGATAAGGATGAGGCTTGTCGTTTTCATCTAACCTTTGAAGACTGAATGTGCTTTGTGTCACACCGCCTGCACGAGACTCGAAATCAAATACCATTTCCCCATGAGCCTTTGGAGGCAAAATACCGCCTGGACCTTGAAAGGGTTGGGCTAAAAACACCACAGTGGAAGAGAACTGGCCGGATGATAACGCTTTTTGAACAGGGCGGAGTTGAGCTTGGCCACCGATAACACGAACAGCCAACACAGGGCTAACAATGTCAGTGTCTCCAACATTTTCATAGGTGACCGTTATCACGCCTGATGAATCCACAAGCAGAGCTTCTGGAAAATCTGCATACGTTTCTAATCGTCCAGCTTCGCCACTTGTTATGACCAAAGAACCAGGCAATGTGGCTTCTTCTTTTGACTCAATGTTGACAAGTTTCACATGGAATGTGGTACCAATGGTTAGGTTTCCTGTGATGAAGGTCGCATATACTTCAATTGAGCTCATTCGATACACCTTTACTGCTTCGACAAAGTTATCTTCAGACGATGGATTTACGAGAAAAGCTTCCAGATTTTGTCCAAACAAGGCTCCCTCTAAGCGCAACGTGGCGTTTCCCATTGGAGCCACTTGATTTGGGAATACCCGAGTGATTTCAAATTTTGCAATGTGCGAACACAATCGTGATGGCTTGGTAATTGGCCCAGAGACGGACGTATCTTGTCGGCGGGTCATCAGAACGTAGTATTTTCCAAAGATTGTTTCGGGAATGACCACCTCTTGGTCGGCTGACAGGGCAAGCCTTGATCCACCATCATATTGGTAAGCATTTGCCGGTTTAGAGTGTCTGACGTAGAGGTCATGGAATGCATCATCATTACTGCTATTTATAGAAACAATGAGAGTCTTTTTATCTGGGACATTGTCTATGAGAAAAGAAGATTGTTCGTCTGGCTTTAAAGTGACATCCACGCAGCCGTCGAGAGGAAGAATTGGAAAAGTAACATTTATATTTTTTGACCCAACAGCAATGTTATTTTGGAGGTTTTGATCTAGAATGTTACTTCGGGTTTTCACGAGGCCGCGATATGCGCCCAGAGCTGTCAGCGGCAGCCCACTTGTTGTGGAGTATGACGTGTCTCGGTTTGAACCTCTATTGTAGGGTTCCAGGATGACATATGAACAGATTGGATGGCCTAATCTAACGTCTTCTATCTGCCATTTATCGTCTTCTGATAAGTAAACAGTATCACATTTATATCCTTCGGTGCGTTGACTTCCATTGTTCCTTATCCTCCAGTTTACTGTGACATCTGAAAGAAATGTTGGTAATTTTGCCTTGGTTATTAAAGTAATCATCATGATCAGCACTTTGGGAGAATGGAAAAATAGATGAATAGATAGAAACATGGCTGGGACTGATTATAAAGTTGGCTCGCTCAAGTTAATCACAGGATACGATTCAGTAAAGGGTTTAAACCCAAGAGTAACATTTGATAGTTTAGTCTGATCGTTCAGGTGAGGGTGGTCCACAGAAGGAATTTTCTCGGTGCTAGTGACTAACGTTTCTACACCTTGGCGGAAGTCGTTATCAGAATTGAGTAAATGATATTTTTTTTCGATTTTCTAAGAATGATCACATAAATTGATTAATCAGTTTTGCCGAGATATTATTTGCTGTCACTCATTGGGTAAGCGCATAATACGTCGTACGTACAGCCCACGCACGGAGTGATGAAATCATTGTTTTCTTTATTTTTTAATCGTCTTGCAAAAAGAGATGGCAGCATTTAGCTTTTCCACTTAGGGGTGTAATGTTTTAAATAGTTCTTACCTTGGCCATAAGAGAATTCTCCACCAGACGAGGAAACAGACAGTACCGCCAAGTCACTACTGAATGTCTTGTTTATTTTTATCAGCCGGTAAGCATCGTTGTTCTGTTCATCACTCTCCCAGATGGCGCTTTTGCTGTCCACTGACAGTAACAGGTAGTAATCCAAATCAAGAGTGTCAAAGGGAATGAAGACCTCAGCGCTTAAGGACACGGTGTCGTTCACGGCGAGATTGGTTGCTCTAACAGTGGCAAGTTTCCGATCAAATGGGTCGATCAGCACGTCCTGGCTGAGATACAGCGCATTATACCACGCACCCCATACAGGTGATTCCCCGGTGTTTGTGACGTTGAAAGTGACATTTAATGGCTGACCGCCACGCGTTTGCACCTTTGAGTCTCCCAGTGAGCCTTGCAGATCTGGTAACAATCCTTCTGTTATAACTATGGGCGTCAGAACAGTTGGTGTCACCGTTGGTAGCGTGACATTAGGCTGGGTGACATTAGGATGTGTAACGTTAGGTTGCGTATTATTGATAGGTTCAACAGTGTCTGGCCACGGTGTAAAAGGACTGTGGATGTCAGCAAAGCCATGAATGAAAGCCGATGAACGAAATCCATGTGGAATTGAAACGTTGATAGTTTTTTCATAAAACGATTTAGCTTTCAAGGCTCCTATGTGGGGAATATCCTTTAATTTCGTTCCTTTCTCTATGATCTCTGTTCGATTTGCATCCTTTCTGTCATAAGCGTAAAGCGCATCTGTCCATGATGTTTTCTTCGTTGCAGCAACTCCCACGTTCTTTACCTGAAACTTGATGGAGAAAGGAACTCCAAGTGTGATCTGAGACGGTAAACTTGAAATAATAGTCAAGATTAATCTGGGAGCCGGGGGAGGCGGAAGATTGAGAGGGTTCCTTGAAACACCGATATTATTTGAGGTTCCAGAGACTTCAGAGAGGGTCTTCTTGGAGTTTGTGACCACATGTAGGTAAAACTTTCCTATTATATTGTCGCTAATCTGTAGAGCAGCGGAAAGCTGGTACTCTTGCTGTTCATCTAGTTTAGCAGTAACGGTTTCAGACGCCATAACACGAGCATCTTTGCCATCGATGACGCCTTTTGAGGAAGAGATTGTAACGCTGTCCACCCAAGTCAAAGGCTCGCGCATCGAGCTTCCAAAGTTTGCCACTGACCAATACACCGTCAGGAAACGACGCTTTTCTTCAAAAACAAAAGATGTATCTACAACGGCTAAGTCTGGCAGTGGTTTAGGTAAAATTTCTGCACGAATCCAAGCTAAGTTGTTCATCTGCGAACCTTTTTCAACTATTGAGCCGTCTTCATTGACTTTCAAAACAAAATAATAAGTTCCAGATATATCAGATGGTAACTTCGTAAATGAAACCTTGGTGTAACTTTGACCAGGACTTATAGCTTGTCTGAAGAAGGCGTCAGCGAGTTTTGTTGAGTTATTTTGTACGGTTGGAGATTTTGACAGGTAAACCGCGTCTTGCCAGGATTTCTTCAGTGTGCTTCCTGTTCCATTGTTTTCAACAGTCCATTTCAACGAAACTTCAGAATCACTCAACAGGACTTCCTTACGGGACAACAAAGTAAAGTTTGCCACAACGAGATTAGGCAGAACTTGTGGAAATGTCACATTTCCAGAGGATCTGATGTTGCTCTTTAGGTCATTTTCTGTGACTGAACCATACGTATTAGTTTTAACGAATATAAACCGCTGACCAAAAAGATCCCTGTTTATGCGTATGGGTCCTGTATCGATGCTGTATTGTTTACCAGATCCCAGGTTGACTCTGTGAGGGAAATCTCCCAACCATATTGTATTGCTTTGCGAAAAATGAGCATGCGGCGAGATGTAGAGTGAGTCGAACCACGGTGCCTCGGTTGTTATTCCCTTTCCAACGTTTTCAACCGTAAAAGAGACATTCAAGTAGGCTTGGACGTCGTCAGCGGTTACAGAAGCGTTGACATGCGTAACGGTCAGGTCGGGTAGCCTGCGAGTGACATTCACCTGGACAGTTTTCTCGTTATTATGGTTAAAGATGAATTCAAAAACGTCATCTTCATAATCCGTGAATACAGTGATGTTGTATTGCCCAGTTTCCCAACTAGAAGGTATGAATTGATTCACAGTTCTAACGTACCACGAGGAGGGCGGAAACAGCCCTGAAAATCGGGTGACTCCAAGAACTTCATTTCTTAATGATGCAATATTTGTGATAGTCTGTGAAAATGAAAGCAAAATAGGATTTAAATGATCTATCCATTTGTGTACGTCAACATACCCACAGATATATATAATCTTGTTGATCTGTCGTTCGAACTTTTGTAAGCAATAATTCAGAGAACGATAGTCCACCTGTGTAATACCCGATGAAAGATTTCAGATTTGGGAACAGGCAACGCTCTCAATGAAACCACAAAGGGTTTCTACATGCCTGGTGATTTACTTTAAAGGGGGGAAGGGGGAGCTTATTCATCCTAGGGAGCCCTTTCAACAGAATTTTACTTTTCATTTTTCTTTGATAGATTTAGTTTTAGACATTACAATATATTTCATTCCATCTAATGTTTGAACCGGGAACTTCTCTTTGGTTATAGATAACTTGTGTTTTTCGAAAGTCAATAACTCATAGGCCCAACTAATCATGAAACTCCATGCTGCCTGGAGGAGTCATGGGAACGACTAAAGTTTGGTGTTCGTGGACTAAGAGTATTCATGGATTCCATCCAAGGAGCAAAGATCACGAGGCAATTGCTCACGGCACTGATGTGATGAAAAATTCGAAGAGGTAAAGGAACCCTTATGATTCCACCGATAGCTTCCCACTCACCACACGATCTCTCCACCAGTAGTAAAATGGTTCCCCAAGGCCTTTGTTCGAAACGTTAAAATGAACTTCCATTACATCTCCTGTGTAGTAATTTTCCAGTGTCGTGATGGAAGTAACAACCAGATCTGGGGGAGGGTTTAAGTGTATTCGCATCGCCTGCAAAATAACGCAAGATGTAAGTTTTATGTAATTTGTTAGTTAATCTTACCTGAGAATCATCCTTTCTAAATCTCAAATTTAGAAACTAAAAAAATACTAACTTCGATCGAGCTTGAACTCATTCCTCCCAGATGCTATTGGGGCACTAATTCCAGTACTATTTGGTTTCGAATTCTCTTTTTCTGATCAGAATTTTTAATGAAATGAATTTCATTTGCCTTCTTATTCTATGATTAATTTGGAGTTGTAAAGACAAACACGTCAATACACTTTCTCGAAGATAAAAAATCACACCCAATTGGACAGCATCTATGGGATTAGCCTTTCCTGAGGTCTAGTATGATTTATTTCATATCTGATGTGTGACACGTAGGATAGGCTATAGAAGTCATGAGAGAGCGTTCCTAATCACTCGATTTGGTTGGCCAATTACCTGCACTTTAAGATTGTCACCCTCATTATTGTGCTCAAAGACATGATTGTAAACGTCCGTTACTATCAAAATCGAAAAATTGCCATAGATTGCGTTGGGCAGAGTAATGAGCTGTTTCCGCTTATAGCTTGCACCAACAGACAGTGTTCCATGATGGTAAAATGTGCCAAGGATCCAGTCAGACCAGTCTGAACAGAAAAAGAGGAATTACAGAGTTACTTTGATTTTACAGTCTTGAAATTTTCATTTTCAAGAGGTTAAAATCATTGCAAAGCACAGGCTAAATGATACAGATATTTCATTTCTGTCTCTTGTTGAAGAGTACCCTCAAAATAAGTACGTGTAGATAGGATTTAAGGAAGACTCTAACCTCTTTTGTCATCCTTAGACAGGTAAACTCTATCATACCATGCACCATGGGCAGTTACGCCCACTCCAACGTTTTTCACTGTCCATGTTATGTTGATGGCTTTACCTATAGGAAAGCAAAAAATTATCTAGGTTTTAATCACACCCAGGCTGAACATACACAGCAGCTGACATTTAGGTTATAACAAAGCAGAACCATTCAATTATTTATTAATAATTTACTCAACTACTGTTAGAGAGTTCCTCACCTGAAAGCGATGGACTTGGGAGCACAATTTTAACAACTTTCAGGTTTGGTGGGGGAGTGAGCGCCACCTGCACCGGACTGTCACCTAACAGCAAATCGTTAGCACGGTTGATATCACTTATCTGCAACAAAAGGAAATTCAATGAATGTGCTATTTACATTCATTTCAATACCAATTCACATCTTTGAAAGAAGGCAAGGACGATTTTGCATATTGTTAAAAAGTAATTTTCTTAGTACTTACTCTGTTGTACCTATCCGTTTGAACGAAAACATAAAACACGCCATAATCGTCAACTCTAAGTTGAACTGTTCCCCTTGCAGTATAACCATCATTTTGAAAGAGAATCTCCTTGCGTCGTACAGTTGTTGCACGCCTGGGATCAAAATGTGGAAGTTGTTCTTAGTTTCAGAGAGCAAGATAGGTAACCATGAGAACGAAAGATTATAACCGCAACAATAATGATAACGAATAGGAAATAAGTGAAATAAAGGTAACGATAGTATTAGCGTGGTGCAAGAGATATAGATGATAATACATGGGCGCGCGTAGATATGGAATTTCTCTTCGAGTGTTCAACTTGATAACTCACGGTTTAGCGTAGCGAACGAGTGAGATGTCGCGTTGAACACGAGAAGAGAAATTCCATATCTACAAGCAATCATGCATTATTTTGTTTATCACATAAACCAAATAGCCCTTTACTGACAAGAAAAGCCGACTTAATTAATAAATGAAAATAAATGAATCGGCAATCCCCAAATAACAATCGTAGAGTGCGTTGGCGCTAACTCTTAAGATAGAAAAATACGTTGAATCATGATAACAAAAACAACAATGGTCGTAATTTTCAATTTAAAAATTCTCATTTATTGACTTTGTCTTTAACGACAGAAAGAAGTCTTTCAGGTAAACGGCCAAAATCGGCCAATGGCAAATCTTCCAGTTGACGATTTTCATTCTCAGCCGCGAGAAATGCCAACACCAAAGCCACTGAATACTTAACTTTCGGTTTATCTTTTGGTAAATTATTTTTTCCCCTTCTAGGAAAGTTTGAACTTCAGCGATACGGATTTTTTTAGTGTTTTAACCGCCACAATCCGAGAAAGTTCCGACAAACTACCTTGTATTGAGAATCGTGAAGGCTTTGCCGTTCAAGGTGAGTGACGTGCCAGCAGCTGATTGGCTATGTTACTGCGGCATTCCCACTTAGTGGTTTTTTTTCCCTTTACGTTCCTAATTGCATTTTTGTGTTTTTGCACGCACATTTTTCTTATTGTTTTCGCATTCTTTTCACTCACGGCGATTTGTATTCTGTATTTGTATTTTTCCGCATAATTATGCTTTGTTTTATTTCCTTCGTAAAAGTTTCTCAAAAAAATTGAACATTGGAGTATCAGAGTGCATTATGTTTATATCGATTCCTTCACTGCAATAATCTTTTAGTTTTTCCGTCCTTCATGCTCGCAAGTCACACGACGTTTGTAAGTGACTTTCCTTGTCCGATTTTATTTCCTCTGTTATTTTGCGTTTTCCTCTTCCTTCTACTTGGCAATAACTTGTAATTATTTGTTCCTTTTAGCAACCACGATCAACCGTAATGTAAATAAATTTTAAAGCGTTCACGTGTTGAAACCTGACTTTGTTGGCAGTCACAGGCTATATCAAAGCGCGTGAAAAAATGCCAAATTTTTTCACGTGTGTTATTACGGCTTCTCCTTGGGCCAGAAATCCCTGTATAACACCGCATTTTATGTGATAATGTAAATTTATTTTCTCGTACGTGGTGATGATAACGATAAAGTTATTGTTTACCAGCAAGAGCACGAGAGTATATGCTAATCATACACGATGTTACCAAAATAATTTGGCAAGAAAAACAGTTAAGTAAAGCGACTTTCTTGTTTGATTGGTCAAGTGTTTAAAACTCATTTCAACAGCTGCCTTTTTGTTTTGGTTATAAAAAGTCCGTTTCCTATAGATAATTAAATTCAATAACAATAAAATCAGTATTTAAAACCAACCTTGCGTTACGGAAGTCAGTACTTTTTCCAATGTACACTGCATCATACCACGTCTTAAATGCATTTCCCACCTTACCAATATTTCGAACTACCCACGACACTTCAAACTTCAGACCAGAAAAAGCGTTTGGAGGTACTATGACCTTCTCAACTTTAAAATCCGGAAAAGCCCTGGTTTGGAATCCCCAGATGGGACTGGGTACCAGAGCACCTGAACTCAGAACGTATTCAATTCTCCACAGCATCTTAGTGTCGGCGGGGTAGCCTGGGTAAGAGGGAGCATATCTTCGATAATAAGTCCTGAAAGAAGATTATTAAATTAGCCATGAGCTACAGAAACTGTAAAATAATTCACACATCAGTTCGTCGTGCTGTGGTTGTTCAAGAACTCTGTGGTTAAATAATTTTTTTTCTTTTGGAAAGCATTACAAAAAAAAGAAAGATGATTTATTCATTTATCAACATACCAGTGAGTTGGTGATGAAGGCTTTGTAGATCCGTATTGCCAGAGGTAGACGTTGTAACTAGCAGACCCTGGATACCGAGGCCACTCGAGCGATTCTCTCAGCGCCACATTAACCTGTCCATTTTTGGGATAGTCTGGCAACTGAAGAGCTAAGATCCGAATCTGTTGGATAACAGATACTTGCTTCCCACAGTCATCTGTAATCGTCCATGTTCTCTTAAAGGTCCTAGCGCAAAGAATTGTGGGAACAGAATCTACGTGTGTTATCGTGATTGGCCGATCGCACGGATGAGTGACATTAATGGCATCCCGCATATCTTGCTGTTGTTCGTCAAAGCTTCCGCAAGCAATGGTGACATTACCTTGGTAAGTCACTGTCGGTGGCCTGAGGTTGATGAGATTGATATTCTGTATTTTGGAGGCACTGTTACCTGCTTGATCTGTTGCGGTCCATTTTCTTTGAAAGCTGCAGCTACTTCCAGGAAGATCTTGGTGTCTTAATGTTATGTTCGATCCTTCGCTGTCGTTGACTGAAGGTTTGCCGAGGGTTGATGAGCTGAGATCTGAATTGCAATCCACTGTTTGAGAAGCTATGTTTGAGATAATCGGTGGCTGTAAATCTGTTTGTGAAGGTTGAGACGAAAGGAATAAAACCCGAATAAGTCAAGTTGATCAAATTATGGATTGTTACAAGGCTCTCTACAGAACTATGTCATTGATGCAGTTTTAAGACATGCAGTAAATGGCACTGCAAAAGAGACTTTATCATGTGAAGCTTCAGAAAATTGAGAACTGTTTCTTAATCCATGTTGTTAGATTACGGTGATTTTAACTATCTGGTAAACGCTTAGCAAGATGATATTGATATCGCAAAATTTTTTCTTAGGTCACAATGATTTCAGATGAGCTGTTCCTCTATACATTACTTTTCCATTGACATCCTTTCCACCCATTCCCCCTCCCCCCCCCCCCACTAATTTTGTTGTTACCAACAAAAGTGCAAAGTTTTTTTCTTTAACCCAGGGAGGATTGACTTACCAACTTTCCACTTATAACTAGTCGGATTTCCCTGGTTCCCGACGTCATCCGTTCCCCGTACATAAAAAACGTAGGTCTTTCCGTTCTGCAGATTGCTGGCCGTGTATCTGTTGCTGTTGCACTGTGAATATGTGGGATTGTTACCATGTTGACGTACAGAGCATTCAAACGAACAGGTTTCTCGACAGTTGAAGCTGAACGTAAATGAATTTTGATTGCTAACAGTAGCGGGCTTTGAAGTTATGATAACGATGGGTGGTGTGCGGTCTGAAAAATGAAATAAAGAAAAAACAGCAAAAACTAAGAAGGAATTGAATTTTTAATCTATGCATCGATCATGAATTTCGGATTGAGCTTTCTATGTCTTTCTTTCTGCGTCGCGTAAGTCACATTGAAAAAACTGCATATTCTCTAAGACATCATCTCTCAATCACGAAGTTGCTTCACTGGTTTCATACATAGTTACTTTTTTCAAAAGATGATAAACGAACCTCCTTTGATCAAATCGCTTGGCTGCCATAACTATTATCGTTTCAGTACCCTCATCAAGTGTTTGTCTCCATTTCAATAGAAAAATTAATTGTTTCAACATATCTACCAATCATGAATGTCTGGCTGGCGCCGCCGAGTTTTCCGCCAGTTCCGTTTACTGAACAAAAATCATTTCAGCATCCTATTCAAGCTTTTACCTCCATTTCAGTGGTTTTAATAACACGGGTCTCCACTCTCGACATACCTACAAACCATGAGTGTCTGGCAGGCGGTGCGGAGTTTCCCGCCAAATCTGTTAACTGAACATAAATGCTGTAGAAGCCCTCGGTTAGATTGCTTCCAGTCCACGACCAATTGCATGGCTGACCAAAGAGCAGGGAAGGAGTTTGCACTGTGCACTGAGCTGTAACATTTTCGTTTGCTGTCCAAGTGATTTGAAAGTCACCTCCAGAACGAGATGGAGCATTAATGAATGTTAAAACAGGTGGGGTGATATCCTCTGTAAAAAGACAAATAGTTTGATGATGATAGTGTAATAACAAGAGATTATAAACAGTTTATAATCTATTGACAATAGTCGTTAGCAATATCAGAAATAACAACGTACTTATCTTTATCCTCATGGTGTAAGGATCTGTGATGGCAGGCGACTCAGCACCACAGTAGGTAACACCTTTAGCCACACCTGCAAGGGAACCAGAAAATATCGTCAATATGACATTTGCTTTGACTTCAGGCTTGATTAAAAACCTTTGATGCAGTTTCTCAAATTTTAGCCGCTTTTTCTGCAACAAATGTTCTAAGGACAAAGTTCTTAGATCATGGAACGATTTGGAGAAAACACGATTCTCCTCCGGGCTTCAATAGGTACAGTTATCAAATTGATAATTCAGGAAAAGTTTGGAGAAAGTTGTATGGAGGCGATTTCATTGGGTGATAGGTTCAACATCTGTTACATAAACTGTATGATCATGAGATAAATCCAGTATCCTTACCATGATCCATTGTTAAATAGTAACTCTCTTTCTCTGTAAAGGTCAGCGACGTCGTGAACTGAATAGTCCGCCCCAGACTCCCAACTGGATATAACACCCCGGCAGTAATGGCCACGTCAACACTGAAAACAACTGTGCCGTCAGATCGATGGATCCGGATGTGGCTGCTTCGTGTAGGACGCACGAACTGTAATAAACATTTTGACAGATTCAAATCATATTTCAGCATCAAATACCACAGAACCTATAAATTTCAGCCGGTGTTCTATTCTAGGTTTCAATCATTATGGAACTCCCAACCTCCCTCAGATAATACTTCAAGGCACCTGTTTGTCAAAAGCGATGGTCCATTGACTTGTGTCGGGAAGAACTTCTCCTTGTGGTGAGAGACTAGCAAATTGTGGAGGCGCAACTAGCAAAAAAAATAAATAAACATAGGCAAGTTAGGCGTACAAACCATGTGATCAACTGAAATTAGAAATTAAAATTTCAATCCTCGTCCCAATCTGAAACCTCACAGGGGCCTTGTTCGACGGCCTTGAGCGTGGCTATGGGCCTGGTAAAGCAGACACATCGAGTCCTCTTCTTTGAAGTCAACGACAAAAAAATGACTACGCGAAAACTGTGGAACCGTTTTCGCCATGAAAAAATTAGAATTAATTCAATGACAGTCTGTCACGAAATGAAGGAGAAGACCTGGTAGTCTGCTCAAAGAGAAGCGACGAGTGATCGCAAAAATTCCAGTTGGCCAATCAAGCGGTTAATCGGGAAATTCCAGTGGGCCAATCAGATTAATCGAGAAATTCCGGTGGGCCAGTCAAGTCAATCGGGGAATTCCAGTGGGCCAATCAGGTTAATCGAGAAATTCCAGTGGGCCAGTCAGATTAATCGAGAAATTCCAGTGGGCCAATCAGATTAATCAGGCTTTACGTCAAGTAACGGTAATGAATTAAGATAACTTTTACCTCCAACAAGCAGATCGACGCATCTCTGTTCAGTTGTTACCCTAAACACAACATATAAACAAAATTGATTGCTGAAATTCTATAAGTAAATTAAAAGGTTTACAAATGAAAGAAAGAAAACCTTTCACAACTCTCATAAGATAGCAAGCACACCACTTTTTTAACAAAATTGATTATTGACATTCTATGAGTTAATTAATCAAACATTAAGATCATGAGAATAAGGTAAATTATAAGCTCTTGATTGTTTGACAAATTCTCCTTGTAAGTATCATAAGAAATGTATCGAGAACAGTACGGAGAACTTGCATTCTGATGTTAGGGGGTAAAGGGTTAAATCGTATGTATTTCTTTCTATAATATGAACAATGTTTTATGTTTAACCGTGAATACAAGACAAAAAGACCAATGATATGAATACCCGGAATCCTCCAATCCCGTGAAACAAAACAGTTTGGTCTCTATCTCTGATGACATCGGTGTCCACGTGACATTAACGTAGTATTCCTGTGGTGCATACTGAGCCACAGGAGACTTGATGAATCCCTGAGGACTGTTGGTAGTGACCTCCACAATTCTGGAATGATATTGCAAATACAGCAGGAAAAAATGAGAACTATGAATATATTTCCCTCAAGTTGCTTTAATGCTAAGTTAATCGCTTTTTGAATGCAAGCGAACGTTCATTCACTCGTCGAGAAAATTTAAGGGACAACTTCCTTTACATTTCACCTGCAATTTACGAGATAGCCCGCGCAACTAACGGAACCTTTAGAGCCAGTACATCTACTTGGACTGTCTTTTACTTTTTGTTACCTTTTACCTTTTTGATGGTCCACCGGCTCGCACGATGATACGATCGAAGTATGTTCCTCCAGGAGGGATTCCAATACACGATCCCTCGGACCGCGTGTATTCCGTGAACTCCGGGCGTTCATCACACGTTTCGTTTGAATTGAACACGTACACCAAAAACTGCAACGGAATGCCACTCAGTGGCTGTGTGTCTGTTGGCGAGGCAAAATCTTCGATCATGGCAGCAACAGCGTAAAAGCCTGTGTATTCCGTTGCACTGTAGGTGATTCTGCATTCGCGCTGTATCAACAGAAACAGTGAATGTGTCAGAGGAAAAACAGTGCAAAATATCATGAAGAATGGAGAAACACATGTATAAGATAAAGCGACACAAAACGCTACATTCTTTCTCGGGGCACCGCTACCCAGCAGACCAAAGAAAAAATAGCTTTTGTTTTGTTACGCATGTTTTCCGGCACGTTTTGTGGGAGATTATAAATGATCTTTAATGCCGTAACTGATACGACTGATTTTGAAAACAAAGATCTACCCGACCAAAAGTGAGTACATCACATAATCAAAAATCATTTCGCAGCGCAGCCCTCGGAAAGGAGGCTAAATCTGATTGATAACATACAAGTTCAGCTGATAGAAATGAGACAATAATCGTACGTAAAACATGTATGCATTTGGTAACCCGTATCCTCCACATATTCCGCCACACTCTCCAGCGTTACTTTTCGCCCAACGACACCGCACCTCGTCTTTGTCATCGTCGGTCACTAGATAACAAAAATGTAAAAATATGGTTTTAGTATTTGTGGCGAAATAAAGATGTGATTAAAAGAAGAAAGACGTTCTGAAAAGTTTCATGCAAAAAATAAACAAAAACAAAACAAAACGAAAAGCAAGGTTTCACATAGTAAGCACCAAGAGAATAAAAAACAAGAGGGCCTAAAGGCTACAAAAAAACTCAAAACAAGATCGAGAACTAGAAGAACAAGATGAAGAAGAATAAAAAAGAACGACAAATTAAACAAAATCGAGCTTGTTGTGAATATGTAAGTTAATTATATTTTTTGTGAATTGTGTGTTGAAAAATAGATAAAAAATGAGGTATGATTTAAAAGTGATATGATATTATTATAAGATACAAAAATGAGATCTGTAGATAATCAGTGAATTTTTTCGATACTGTGAATGTTGATATAGTTTTTTATTGACAACTTGATGCATACATTATAAATATGTGAGTTAGTTTTGTTATGTTGATTGTATGTTAAAAAAATGGAACCAAAGTAATTTACTGTGTTAGAGGAAAATCAATCCTTTCAATAACTCCACAAAACCCAATAAAGGCAAAAGATTCTTCTCAATAGAATATTCAGACCTCAGAAGAGCACAAACACTTTATCAGCAAGAATGCTTTTGAATGTGATTCTTCACACAAGCAAAGTCAATCTTTTGTGAAGAACGATCAATTTAAAAACGAATATTCATTCTTGGGTGAAGGACAAAAACTCTCATGCGGAGACTCAGAAACTGACAATCTTGGGAGGAGAGCAGTTTTTCTTTTCAGAAGAATACACCATTAAATAGTTCTTAACGAAATAATTTTGTTCTTATGGGAAAAAGCTAGTATTCTTCTAACAAGAATCAGACATACACGAGATTCTTCCTATAAGAATTCTTAACCTTGGGAGAAGATCCACAGTTCTATCCTCGAGAACCGGATTTCTTCTCCTCAGAATTATAATTCTCTTCCGGGAACGAAGAATCTGAAATGATAAATTCTTCTCTGAATGAGACATGAATCTTTTGGAGAGAATTTAATTTCTGTTCAATAGAATTGAACTTTAGGGTGATTTCGAGTGAAAGGTAAAAAGGAGATGGTATGACTGGGGAAGGAGAAGTCGGTAAACTTGCATTTGAGTTATACATCCTAAGGTTTACATACCTGGGATAACTATAGAATGGTTACAGCCGTATTTCAAACGAACAATTGGTGTCATTGTCGCCACTGGCGACGTATTCAAACGTCCAGTGTCACTTCTTTTAGTAAGGTTAACGTACATTCCAATCTCCCATGAAGCTCCTGATGCATGCACGAGAGCAATCCAGTTAAATCCTGAATAGCTGCAAAAAGCAAAAAGAATAATCATCGATTGAATATCGAGAATTTGAGATTGCATTTTTGTTTACATTTTTGGCTAAACTTCGCTCTGATTGGTCTACATAATTGAACTCAAAATCACTGACAATCTTATTTCCCCCGCCCTTCCAGGAGTTAACTTAAATTCCCCATTGGCTCCTTTGATATGTACCTTTCCTCTGACTGGCTACCAACGATAATAAATTTGTTTTAGATTCTGCGACATCTCATCGAAATGCCCTCTAATCAGTATCTGATTCCGTATTGGTACACCTCTAAAAGTCCTCTCCCCTCCTCCTCCCTTATATCAAGCAGCACCCCTCCCTCTTTTAAAAAGCCCCCAGTCTGGGACTTCAAGTTTTTAATAAGTACTCCCCTCACTGAACCTCACTCTCAGTTTGGACTCGGAAAGCCTTGTCAGTGATTTTATAGATGCTTAATGATCACAAACCTGACTTTATAGTAGCGAGATGATGTGACGGGAAACGTATATTCAAAGCTGTTAGTGCCAGTTGTCCAGTCCTCTTGTACACTGAAATCCGAGCATTTGAAGCGTAAATTCCCGACGCTGCCATAGCAGCCGGATCTGCACATTAAGTCGCCATTGATGCCGATCAGCCAACCGGAGTTTATTGTATTTTGGTCACAGAATGTGTTCCCAGAGTAGGATCTTCGCCAACCCATCCGGAATGTTATGATCACCTGAAAATAGATTTAAATTACTACAACATTAGTTTAAAACACACCGCTCGGTTGGCTCAGTTGGTTTAGCGCTGGGGTGTTGGGTACGAGAGAGAATGAAGGTTTGAACCTCAGACCAAACCAACTCTAGTGTCTTGAAAGAGATAGGAAAAATGTTTTGCATTTGAGATCTCGTCGGTTAAAAAGTTTCTGGAAAACCTTTGAACTCAAACACTTGCTTAAGGACCTCAAGAAAGAACTGCAGGGACTTTTTCAGCCTTCAGAAGACGGAAAAAAACAATTGAAATTTAGCAACATGAATTCTTTCGAATTTCGAAATCAGCGCTTATATATGGTATGGTCTAAAACATGATCTCAACAAAAAGTTTCATTAACAGGACGAAGACCGTTTAAAATAGGAGATCGAACCCCACGATAAAGAAACATGCGAATTCCGTGATACCTAGAAGAGACAAGACCGAATTGACAATACGTTACGATGAGAACAGAAACATTTCGTCGGCAGTATGTGGTAACATTGCGAACTAATGCGATTCAAGTTACCAGAGAAATGACCTTCCGAAGTTGTTTATTTTAGTTGATGCGACTGACAGCCGTATGTGGCGACAAAACAAATGTTTTATATGGGGTTTTTTTTTTTTCAATTTTCATATATTTCTCAAGTTAAAAATTCACACTTTCGTTGAATAGAACACTTGGCTTTTGAAGGCTACAAAATAGAGGGTGGTTATATCCGTGTAAGTGTTTAGATGGTTAGTCGAAATCATATTGGAAGAAAACCTCTTAAATAATCTTTAATTAAGCCTAAGTGGTTTTCACTAGCGACGCAAGCTAAAGCGCAATCAAAACTGCTCTTATTTCACAATGAAAACGGGTTCGACGAAACCATAAACAAAAGTGCAAGCACAAGCGCAAAGATCAAAATGTTTCATTTTTCAAGAGCTTGTGTTTTTGCATGTCGACGTTTGTTTTCTCTCGGCATAATTACTTTTTGGTTGCCCTTCTACTTGCTTCTGCATGTGTATGTCTCACTAGTGAACTTCAATCGTTCTATGGTGCAGAGTTCTAAAAAAATATGTTTGTCACGACCTAGAAATGTCCCTGATTCCCTCCTTGGGTAGGCCCGAATGAAGAGGATTTAACGAACGGGACAGAAATTTCGTATCTTGCCACTCAGCAAAAACTCCTTGCAGACAATATTGAAATTCATTATGGAGCCCTGAACAAGCTTACCGACGTGCTCTCAGTTTTGCTTGATTTCACCGCCTTGTGCGTGAATGATCCACCTCGAAAATGTGAGCATTTTGTTCTGAATACGTGTAACAAAGACACACACACGAGGAGAAACTTCCTAGCGACTTCCGTGCTAATAAAACCGTGTGGTAACGAAGATATGATTACTTTGTATAAGCAGGGAAGGGGCGATTTCTTTAAAATCCAGTCAAGCAACTAAGTGGAAGATGTTCTTTTCATAGCCGTAAAAGGTCTATAAGGAAGGAGGAGAAATAGCAGGCGGCAAGCAAAACGCGAAGAGAATATTTGTTATTTTTAATAATTCAGTGTGATAACAAGCTCAATATCTGCCTTTGAAGTGCACCCGAGATGTCATAACCGAAACAACAAATCGACGCTTCACTACTTGTAATGGGGCACAGACACATTTTGATTTATGTGCCGTGAATCACGTTAGGCTCGCGATAACTTTTGAGGACTGCATGTTAGTAATAGCTGGATTGTTTGTTTTGTTTCCTATTTTGAAGATAATGGTGTTATAATCGTCTAGGTGTCTAAAAATTTTTACATCAGAACCACGACGAGTTACAATTTTAAAAATATGGTTGCTTTTTGGGGAGTAATTGGACAATACGAGTGACGCTCCAAACTGAGGAAGCTTCAAAGATTACGAAAAATCAGGCTCTCCTTGAGCCAGGCAGACATCTCAGACGTCAGTGACGTCAGTGAGCCAGATGATAAAGATAAATTCACTGCCAGAGCAAAGAACTGAGAGTAAAGCTGCGAAGTTTCGATCGTTTGCCTCTTCTACTCGATGCCATTACTTGGCAAACTAGCCTTCTAGATTTGGGAAGGCGGTAAGTGAGATATAGATGATTAAATTCATCGCAGCGAACATTTCCTCTTAAAAGCCATGCCTATTTAATGAGCATGTAATTCGAATAACGCTAATTTTAAGCTTGAATATTCATTGAACATAATTTCTGAGAAAAGAGGGGTCATGATTCGCCCCGTACTTTATCACCACATCGTTTCAACCCAAAGTTAAGGTGATAGACAGTCAGACATACTAACTCAAATAATTTGGTTTCTTCCCGTTAGATTTGGTAAGGCAGTGAGAAACATAAATGATCTAATGATTTGATAAACACAATTGACTATTGCTCGCTGAAATGAACCTTTCTGCAAGCACAAACAATATTTAGATTCCGAGAAGGAATCACCCGGCAGGTTGTTTCATTTCAAATTTGAGAAGACAGGTAATGAGGAAATACTGTTTATACTGGCTCAAATAGTTAGGGTTCTCCCCTTAGATTTGGAAATACGTTAAGTGAGTAATGTTACAGACAGTTTATTATTTATGGTTCGCTGTAATGAGCCTGTACGTTTCGAGTGAGCGGCATCAAAATATTTAAATTCCGAGAAAGAACTATATTTAAATTCCGTGAAGGAATCATGAATCGTCTCCGAGTTATGCTTCATCACCTGACAGATTGTTTCATTCAAAAGTTAAGATGAAAGACTCTGAAGAAATGCTGTACAAACTGACTTAAGCAATTTGTCTTCTTTCCCTTAGATTTGGAAATGGGTGTAATGTTGCGCACATAGTTGATTATTTTTCGAAGTCGTAAACCTGTCTTCAAGCGTGAACAATATTTAAATTCCGAGAAAAAGGGGTCATGACTCACCACTGAGTCACCACATCATCAGATCGTCTCATTCGTAAAGTTAAGATGATATGCACTGAGAAGATATTGTATGTACTGCCTCAATTAATTTGGTTTCGACTCAGCAAGAATTCAACGTAGTTATGGGAGTCATCTGTGACGTTCGACCGTTTTATTAACATCGAAGGTTTTGTAAGGAAAAGCTGAATTTGTAAGGGCGATTTCTAGAAATGATGAATTCATATTTGGCGTGCGCACATCCGAGAGATGTGTATTTGGAAATGCAACTCTTACCTTCGTGCTTGCAGGGTTACTTGAATTGACGGGCTTATATGTGAATGAGCCGCCTCGAAAATGAGTACATGCTGTCCTATGTACGCTCACAAGGAATACGAGCAAAAAAGCAAACTTTACAGCGAGTTCCATAATCAAGCAGTTTACAAGGACATCTTTTGCTACATGCAGCAAATGTGTGCTTGAGGTTGAAGTTGAAGGAGTGGCTTCTTCTCAGAAAATGGATCGAACTTATCCTTCGACATCACCTGGTAGTCTTGCATGCTTACACAACTCTCTCTCTGTGAGTGCTGATTGGTCAAAAGAAAAAGGATTTAACCTTATTGGTTGACTCGCAAAACTTGAACCAATCATATGTTTTTTCAGATTCTCTTTCGTGACACTTGACGAACCAAATGTTTGCGGAAGTTTTTGATCTTGCGGGTTGGCGGTTTTCTTTGTTTTAAAAAGGAACAATTTTTTGCGGCTCGAAATGACTGAAATTTCGTTGATTTTTAGAATTTCTTTTCTATCAGCTAAACAATAATAAAATTATCTAATAATCATTAAGTCAATATGTAATTGTATTGATTCGGAGGAAGATAACTCGAGTAGTCAGAATATTGCTAGAGAAAGCGAGGATTTACTGCTTCTTACTGGTTTTCTTCTTGGGATGAAGTCGACCAGCTACGAGTAGCGCGGATCCAAAATGTTTCATTTTTCTTGTGCTTGTGTTTTCGCTTGTCGAAGTTTGCTTTCTCTTGGCATAATTACTATGTGGTTGCCCTTCTGCTTGCTCTTGTGTATGTTTCGCTAGTGAACCTCAATCGTTCGCAGAGCTCTAAAATTCGTTTGTCACGACCTAGAAATATCGTTGTATCCCTCCTAGGGTAGGCCTGGATGACGAGGATTTAACGAACCGGACAACAACTATGTATCTTGCCGCTGTGCGAACACTCATTTTGAAATTTATTTTGGAGCCCTGAATAAGCTTACCGTCGTGCTCTCAGTTTTGCTTGAGTTCACCGCCTTGTACGTGAATGATCCGCGTCGAAAATGTGAGCATTTTGTACTGAATACGTGCACAAAGACACACACACGAGGAGAAACTTCCCAGCGACTTCCATGCTAATAGAACCGTGTGGTAACAAAGATATGTTTACTTTGTATAAGCAGGGAAGGGGCGATTTCTTAGTAATTCAGTCAAGCGTGTGACTCGAGGAGACTGAGTGGAGGAGATCCTATTTCGTAGCCGCACGAACTCTATAAGGAAGGAGGAGAAATAGCAGGCGGCAAGCAAAACGCGAATAGCATATTTGTTCATTGCAATAATTCAGTGTGACAACAAGCTCAAAGTCTGCTTTTGAAGTGCACCCGAGATGTCAAAACCGAAACAACAAACGCACTTCACCTCTTGTAAAGGGCACAGACGACCGTGAATCACGTTAGGCTCGCGATAATTTTTGAAGAATACGTATTGCTAGGTTGTTTGTTTTGTTTCCTATTTTGAAGATAATGATGTTATAATCGTCAAGGTTTTTAAAAAATTTTACATCAGAACATGACAACGAGTTAAATTTTTGACAATATGTTTGCTGTGATTGGAAAGTGGTGCAGGCAGACAGATGCAATACGAGGTAGGAGCTCCAAGTGCATCGATTGGAGCTTTCATAGATTACCTCCGTAGAAAAATCAGGAAATTTCTCTCCTTGAAAGCCAGGCATATACATCTTCAACTTTATGTGGCTTTCGTCCTTACTTCGGTCGTTGCCTAGATAATGTTTCATCTCAGAGACGTTTCACACCGCTCTCCCCCCTCAAAGCTCGCGAGGTGAGAAAAGAAGGTAGTTTATAGGAAAACTGTTCAGTGTGCTGCGCATCAAGACGTCAATGAGCCAGATGATAAAGATAAATTCACTGCCAGAGCAAAGAACTGAGAGTAAAGCTGCGAAGTTTCGAACGTTTGCCTCTTCTACTCGATGCCATTACTTGGCAAATTAGCCTTTCACGTGCCTAAAGTCATCAAAGTTTCTTTCCTCCTAGATTTGGAAGGCGGTAAGTGAGTAATATGGCTGAGACATAGATGATTAAAATTCATTAATGCGAACTTTATCTCTTAAAAGCCATGCCAATTTAATGAGCATGTAATTCAAATAACGCTAATACTTTTAAGCTTGAACATTCATTGAACATAATTTCCGAGAAAAAAGCGGTCATTATTCGCCCCGTACTTTATCACTACATCGTTTCAACCCAAAGTTAAGATGATAGACAGTCAGGAAATGCTGTAAACTGACTCAAATAATTTGGTTTCTTCCCGTGAGATTTGGTAAGGCAGTGAGAAATGTTACTGATTTATGATAAACACAGTTGATTATTGCTCGCTGACATGAACGTTTCTGCAAGCATAAACAATGTTTAGATTCCGAGAAGCAATCACGAATCGCCTCCGAGTTACTTTATCACCCGGCGAATTGTTTCATTCCAAAGTGTAGACGACAGCCACTGAAAAAATACTGTTTATACTGGCTCAAATAATTCAGGGTTCTCCCCGTAGATTTGTAAATACACTAAGCGAGTAACGTTACAGACAGTTTATTATTTATTGTTCGCTGACATGAACTTGTACGTCTCAAGTTAACGGCATGACAATATTCAAATTCTGAGAAGGAGTCATGAATCACCTCTGAGTTATTCCCCCACCACTCGGCAGATCGTTTCATTCCAAAGTTGATATGACAGGCTCCGAGGAAATACTGTTTACATTGACTCAAACAATTAGGTTTTTCCCCTTAGATTTGGAAATACTTTAAGTGATTAAATGTTCCAGACAGTTTATCATTTATGGTTCGCTGTACGCACTGTAGCCTGTACGTGTTATAAGTCAATGGCATGACAATATTTAGATTCCGGGAAGGAACTATATTTAAATTCCGAGAAGGAATCATGAATCGTCTCCGAGTTATACTTCATCACTCGGCAGAGCGTTTCATTCGAAAGGTAAGACATAAAGGGTTCGAAGAATTGCTGTATAAATTGACTCAAGTGATTTGTTTTCTTTCCCCAGATTTGGAAACGAGAGTAATATTGCAGACATAATTAACTTTTTTTTCGCAGACATGTACCCGTCTTTAGCATGAAAAATATCTAAATTCCGAGAAGGAATCATAAATCGTCTCCGAGTTATATTTTATCACCCGGCAGATCGTTTCATTCCAAATTTCAGATGAAAGTACAAACTGACTCAAGCAAATTGTCTTCTTTCCCTTAGATTTTAAAATGGGAGTAATGTTGCACACATGGTGGACTATTTTTCTAGGACATAAACCTGTCTTCAAGCATGACCAGTATTTAAATTCCGAGAAGAAGGGGTCATGATTCGCCACTGAGTCACCATATAAGCAAATCGTCTCATTCCCAAAGTTAAGATGATAGGCAATGCGAAGATATAGTCTGTACTAACTAAAGTAATTTGATTTTAACCCTGCAAGAATTCAACGTTGTCAAGGGAGTCATCTGTGACATTCGAACGTTTTGTTAACGTCGGAGGTTTTGCAAGGAAAAACTAAATTTGTAAAGACGATTTCCAGATATGATGAATTCATATTTGGCGTGTGCACATCGAAGAGATGTGTATATGTTTGGAAATATAACTCTTACCTTCGTGCTTGCAGGGTTACTTGAGTTGACGGGCTTATATGTGAATGAGCCGCCTCGAAAATGAGTACATGCTGTCCTATGTACGCTCACAAGGAATACCAGCAAAAAAGCAAACTTTACAGCGAGTTCCATTATCAAGCAGTTTACAAGGACATCTTTTGATGCATGCAGCAAATGTGCAGTTGAAGTTGTAGTTGAAGGAGTGGCTTTTTCTCAGAAAATGGATCGAACTTATCCTACGACATCACCTGGTAGTCTTGCATGCTTACACAACTCTCTCTGTGAGTGCTGATTGGTCAAAAGAAAAAGGATTTAACCTTATTGGTTGACTCACAAGACTTGAACCAATCATATGTTGTTTCAGATTCTCTTTCGTGACACTCGTGGAACCAGATGTTTGCAGGAGTTTTTGACCTTGTGGGTTGGCTTTTTTCTTTGTTTTAAAAAGGAAAAAATTTTTGCGGCTCAAGATGACCGAAATTTCGTTGATTTTGAGGATTTCTGCTCCATCAGCTAAACAATAATAAGATTATCTAAGAATCATTAAATCAATATGTAATTGTATTGATAAGGAAGATAATTCGAGTAGTCAGAATATTGCTAGAAAAAGCGAGGATTTACTGCTTCTTGCTGGTTTTCTTCTTGGGATGAAGTCGATTAGCTACGAGTAGAGCGGATCCAGGACATACGGAAAGGGTTCGGATAAATGGCTACCGAAAACCGGAAAATCCTATGGGGGTCAGTGGGAATGCCCCTGCATTATGTTTTTAATTATAGGTATTCAAAAAAGTAATTTCTGGTGTTTTTTTTTTAAATAGACAATAAATTTGTACGGTTTTTAGGCGTTTTTCAGTTCGGTGTATATCCAATCCAGAGCGTGTGAACTTATGTTAATGTTCCACTTACTTTCAATTAGAAATTTAAGATAAACTAGATTTTATTGTCAAATTAAATGCGACCTGAGGTGAAAGCGCCATTTTGAAGCCGGCAAGACAACTGAAGGAACCACCACTGAAACTGATAGTGTTCGCGATAGTATTTCTGATTTCCGAGATGTTTTCGATTTTTCTATTGTAATTGCAAATTTTCAGCCTCCTTATCCCCCTAAAAAGACTGCAGCTTGGAAATTTGCCTTGTTTCTCTATGAGGGATATCTATTAAAATGTTCAGAAAGATGTGTTTGTGGTTGATTACGAGACAACGAACTGTTCAAAATGAAGAGGTTCTGCATCCCTAGAAAGCGGTCCGAGTACGCAATTGCCTTTTTCACCCCTCTCCCCCTGCCTCAATAAGGTACCCTGGAACAGAAAAATTGGACAGATTATCATGAAGACGCCAATAGTGAGACCACTGGAGATGAAGGGATCAAGCTCAGTACAAAAACCTTTAAAGCTAATGTTCTTGAAACTAGCGCAAAAGCGTAGTACGACAATTAACATCCTTATCACCAAAAAAGACAGCAAATTGGTTTATTTATATATAACTTCACAAGTATTTTCATAATTCATTTCCCCTTTCTATTCTATTTTTCTTCTCGAGAGGCATGAATATGGCTTGGCGGTTTTTTTAAAAATAATCTCTTGGTAAGTATCAGTGACCGGCTCGAAAGCTAAAAAATGTACTTAAAAAACCTGGAACAAATTCAATTGGGTAACCTCTGTAAAATTCTTCACTTCTACATTAGCTTGTCTTCTATTATAAATAAGGTTCCTAAAAATATGTAAAAAGTGCAACAAAAATCAGCCTGAGTAGCAGGCGCTAGTGTAACAAAAGTGCGGTTTCCAAGGAGCGCGTTGGAGAGAAAAAACGCGCGATTGAGCCCCTGATCGCCTCGGGCGCCCCCTTCTTTCTGGTGCCTACTAAGTAAACCATACGTCGGTCTGAAAAGCTAAAATTGTTGAAAAAGGGGGTACAGATATATTTTTATAGCATTCGGCGAATTGACCACGACGTTTTCTATAATATCAAAAGCCAATTTTGCTCAACTTTGTAATCAATTCGATTGAAAATTTGGTAAAATCTCTCACTGACACAAGTAAATATTCACGGTTAAGCGCGAAAACAGATGGAGGTACAAAAGTTCAATTTTTGCCGTTTACCCGTTTGTTTCTAAGCTTTCTACCTATAGGGATGTCACTCCAATGAAGTGTCCTGGATCATGCGTAACGAGTTACCAATACTCTGCGTAAACGATCACTTTGAGTTTCTTGCAAAAAACAGTGAATACAAGTACGTCCCAGACTTATCCCACAATATAAAACAGCTGAAGTGAATAGACAAATCCCGAAGTTTTATAGCAGATCCACCGTTCATTCCAGCAGTTGTGAACTTGTCACGCAACAAGCTCTGTTCCCCACCGGAAAAGCATTGCATGACGGGCTCAAATGACAGCTGGGAATTAAAGGAGAATGCCCCCCCCCCCCCCCCCCCCCCCCCCCCTAAATTTTGTTCACAACTTCAGTGATGTCTTTTATCAAAAACTCTTTGAATCCTTTAACCCTTTAACTCCCAAGATCTCAATGCTAATTCTCCTTACTGTCTGTCATACAGTTCTTGTGGTGTTAGTTTGGAGAAATTGATATTGGATCAACTTATAATCCCCCAATTGATATTTTTCTCCATTCTCATCACCTGTCTGCTTGATATTGTATTGATATTGTAAGGAGAAATCCTGTCTTGATCACTCATAGGAGTTAAAGGGTTAAAAACTTTTTAACAATTTGTGTCAAACTTGATGAGAAAGAATCAGTGGAGTCTGAGTACAAGCTAATGACCAAACCAGAATCTTTGATCAGCTCCTGATCTAAGGATCTCTGTGTTATGCCATGTCAAAACTAAGAAACTAATGAAACTTTGTTGTAATATAGAATGTGTTGTATGGATAAATATTCAATGCATACCATTGTTTTGATTGAATGTCATTATCCTGAGAAATTAGTCATGGAAATAGCCTATCAAAAGAAAGGCATTTTCTTAAGGTGTTCATAAAAATTCAAATTAAATACATTTTAGTGGCCTTAAGTTAAGTGACTCACCTTGATTAATTTTAGTTTTGCATCTGATAGGTTAGGCGGAGGTCAAGAGAGATTTCTTTACCCCTCAACCTTTGCAATCCTGGATTAGTTAGTACATTACTCAATCAAACATTTCTCTTAATGTAAATAATCTCAACAAATTATCAGCTCAGTTGATTCAGGAACATTATACATAGTTTTGTTTTCTTCAAACAACTGCTTAAGTTTTTCAATGTAAATGGAGTGGAGATCATCCAGCTGATCAGAAGTTGGGTTTGCAACTCTTGTAACTGGAATAGGAGTTCCAACTAAAAAAAAAACGCCAGAAAAAATGTCAGAAATTAACCTTAACCATGAGTGACCCAGAAAGAATTTCTCCTTACAATATCAATAAACAGTATCAACCAGACAAGTGTTGAGAATAAAGAAAAATGTCAATTTGGGAATAATTAGTTGATCCAATACTAAATTCGCCAAACTAACATTGTAAGAGTTGTATGGTTGACAGTAAGGATAATTACAAATTTGATCTGGGAGTTAAAGGGTTAAGATATTTTCAAGATCTACATGTATAATGGAGAAAGATGATGATTCTGTACTGATTGATTACCAAATGGGAAGACATGTTATGGAATGTATAGAGAACACAATGGAGAATATACATACTTGATCTTAGAGTGGATCAGAGTGTTAAGGGTTAAATGGCATTGTTATGTATTTGTCAACTCTCATGGATTGTATAGTGTCTCCTGGATACGTGATAAATATCCCTGTCTCTATAAAGCTCAGTTAATCTCCCATCAAAATCAAATTTGTCTATTTATCTGTAAACTTAGAAAATCATTTAATTTATCGCCTTCAAAAGGAAATCTTTCTAGGATGGTTTTAAAAAAGAAAATTTTTGCTTGCCATTTTGGATTAAGCGCATCTATTTCAATGATCTCCATTTAAGGAAAGGGGACAAGGAGGTCTGTGAAAATCTCTTGCAGGGAGGTATGAGGTGGGGCCAGTGGGGGTAGGATTGGGGATCTGTGATTCAAAATCAAACATCTTGAAAATTTTGATTTCCAAGGGGCTGGCATCTCTTTATTGATGATTTAGTGGTCCAAATTTGTATGAGGCTCAATTTTTCAAACCCAAAAATGGGATTTTTGCAAGTAAACAGAGCATGAAACACTCCCTATCATTGTTACTAGTCCCTATCACTTCATAAAAAAGGAAAATCATGATCCCTAGATACTGTTTTGGAACTAAGGACTTACCAACAACATTGACTGGTCTCCTGTGAGGCAGAAATCCAAACGTGTACTGGAAAATACCCCGACCAAAAAAAAGCACAGGGGCAAATGCAACTTTTTTCTGAATTTTTTGTTGAATATCTCGTAGCCAGGAACCACGAGGGTTCTTCACTTGATTGAAAAGATCATTTTCTCCAAAAGCAAATACAGGAACAAGAGAGGCACTAAAAAATATAGAAAGGAAAGTCCTTTTAGAAGATGACACAACAAGTGAGTGAGCACTAAGGTCTAGCTAACTTTGGTGTTTGCTCTCTAAAAGCTAAGTCTCACTTTGAGGTAGATGTGGAAATCCTATTTTAAGGAAAACTAGAAATACCTTGGGAAAGTATGATGAGCAAAAATGAGAAGGTAGTGGCAAGTCAAGTTGTGGAAAACCTAAAAAGCTGGTATTCCTTTGGTGCAGGAGGGAGAAGGTGTAAAAGAAAGGGTCTTTTTTCCAAGGTAATTAGGAAGAAATAATTGCGAAAACTAATTAATCACAATCGATAATATCTTGAGTCTAGTGTAAAAATATTAAAACTACTCCGTGAAAGGTTTCACTATAACCCCATACTCTTCTAAGAGAAAGCCTCAGTCTTGAAGGTAATCATTATTTTGACTAAAGTTGGTATTTAGCAGTGAATAGACAAAGTATGTTTAACCCTTTTAACTCCCATGAGTGACCAAGACAGAATTTCTCCCTACAATATCATTACATTATACACTAGATAAGTGATGAGAAGAAAGAACGAAAAATAACAATTTGGGGATAATTAGTTGATCCCATACTAAATTCTCTGAACTAACATTAAAAGAACTTTATGGTTGTCAGAAAGGAGAATTACAAATTTGATCTGGGAGTTAAAGGGTTAATGGAGAATGGGTCAAACAGAAATCTTTTCCTACACTTACCCAGTTCTCAATGCAAGCTTGATAAATCCTTTTCTGGGTTTCAGGATTATGGTGTAAGTGTCAGGATGGGCATCAAATGCTTCCTCAGCCCCACCCACGACAATCACCACTGAGTTACCAGGCCCTTTCTTTGTGAGAATATACTCACAGCTCTCACGAGTGACGTTGCACATACCACTGCTCATAATGTAGTCTCGAAATAACGGTGGTTTGAACAAAGCTTCAGTGAAAAAAAAAAGCAACAACAACAAAAACAAAAAACAGCATCACGTTACGGTGGTTCTTCATTTTGTTAGCAAAATACAAAATAAAGATGTCAAATGAAGCAACTGTTCGCTGTCAGATTTTTAACGCAGTTTGAAAATTTTAACGTGACATTGGCATTATGTTAGTCACGCAAGCATCAACGCAAAACCATTTGCGTGATATTTTAAAGCCCGGTCACGAGAGAGGGATTTTTCTAGGCTACTGAGCAATGATTTTTTTGTGATTCACTCACCCATTAGTGGTAATAAATGTGGTATTATTCCGGGAAAGGTATTGCTGAAATCCGTAGCTTCGGTGGCAAAATTACAAAATGCACCCGCGCATAGAACTCCATGAGGATGGTAGCCAAATACATAGTTTTTGCTTGGATCCAGTTCGGTCGTTTTAATCAGCTTGATCGGAAAATAATCTCTGAAATATTTCCACACTCGCGCTTTTCTTACGAATTCTGATCGCCGTCCACCGTGATCGGGAGTGCGTCCATCGATCAGATAGGCCCAAGTTAAATAAATTATTGCGATCGGGTAATATGACGTAAAGAACAGGCCAAGGATGATTACTGTTCCTAAGAGTGCACCGAAATAAAAAGAGTAATAATACAGAGCAACAGCTGCAGTTTCCAAACGTCGGTGGAAAGGGATGCGAAGCGGAGCGAATTCAACGTAAGGCATCGTTAATTCCTCGGGGAGTATATGACTTGCAGGTATCGTCGGTGCGTTGATCGCAGCGGAAGAAAATTTTGTATCTTCAGATCTTATTCAGATCTTATTTTCCTGTCCCGATCTTTGTTCAGAGTTCAAAGAATACGCCAATTATATAATAACACACGACTATAAACATGCAAAGGTCTTAGCGTGCTTCCTATCTGTATCACGTTTCACTGCTAACCTTGATCAAACTTGACTTTGAGCACGTGGTTTTCTATCCTGATTAGGAGAAGGTTGACGTCTACAGTCCACATGCAATATCACACCATAATCGAAGGTCAAATTTCAAATTCCATCTCCTCGGTGCGGTGCAATCATCTACCAAGTGTCCTTAGATCCCAATTCAAAGGAAGAAAAAAAGTTGATGTTTAAGCGGCAGGGGCATTGTGCCAGTCAAAATGAGCGAGTACTGGAAACAAGACTTTTCATGAGACGGGAAGAAGGACTAAGTTTTCTGCCGCTATCATGGAAGATACCGTCCTATCATTGAACAGGAAAATGTTCTTATTCAGAAATGGAGAGACAAAGATTACGTAATCGCTGTGTTGTTAACCCTTTTTTATTTTCTTGAACAAATATAAATAAACTTATAACACAAATATGACTCTATGATAGAAAATAGTTATATTAACGATCACTCTTCTTATAATCAAAAGTAAAAATAATGTTTTAGAAACTTTTTTGATAAATCTTCTGTTATAAAAATCAAATATATTATTTTTAAATAATAAAATGAGATCCAATGTATTTTAACGGCTTATATGCCCAGAATGGGACAAAACTGATTACAGGTTTCTCCCTTACAAAAATTCATAACTCTAATTTTGAGTTGAGTTTAACTTCCCTAGTAAATTTTATTTCACTCTTCCATATAAATTTCATGAAAGGCAAACTAATATCCATAGAACACTGGGTTACAATATATCCATCAACTTCTAGGTTGAATATAAAATTAAATGTGACCATGGCCTTCCTTCAGGATACTGTGTGAAAAAGTGTTCATAATTCTTACTCAAGCACAGAAGTCAAATCATCACCACAGAAAACACAACTATGTTGATATCCTGGACTCATACACCACATCTCCAAGACCATTTGGGAACTCACATGTAAAAGTAATAGATGGCTGAGTACATTACTTAGAGTCTGGTATATCTTATTTTACAGAATATAATTTGATTTAAGAGTAAATAGAGCTCTCTGCTCATAATAAGCTGCTTCACAATCCCATCTAGACAATTCGCAGTTTAACACTTCTTGGCAGGCCATATCTGTGCTTCTGCTGGTCAAAAAGGTTAATAAGTCCCTGAACATATTTCTTGTGAAGTCTGTTTATTTGTTGTCCACTTGGATTTGCTACAGCTTTCTTTACTGGTATTGGTGCACCAACTGCAAAAAAAAATCAAATATGAAATTTAAAAAGTAACTTCTTAAACTTTACTGTTTCATATATATGTACTTAAGCTCAATAATTATGTATTTTCAAAATTATATTTCAGCTTAAAATTAGGGGCCTCCTGGTGGATTTTTACATCACTGAAGACTGGAACAGGAAGTTATCAGTTTTGTCATTTCTTGAATGAACTTCCAGTATCCTGAGGCTTGGTTACCACAGCTCTCTCAAGTCCAGTCTCCATGAGAAGAGGGGAGGAGAGGGGGAGGGGAGTGGGTGCAAGCTGTTATCAAGCCTATACTGTAAGAAGTTCTTAATTATTTTTCTCATTTCGTTTCTTAAAATGCCCCAAAATTCAATTGACATGTAAATTAACTTTGAAACATACTATTGACTACTCAAGTCTATTTTAGCCCAAATTCAGACATCTATCTAACTATCTTTGTGTTTTGTCAGAGAAATTAATAATTCACACTTACCAACAGTACATATTGGTCTTTTGTATGGCAGAAATGTGGGCAAGATACGTGAGATTCCTCTTCCAAAAAACAGTGGTGGTGCAAAGGACAGTATTTTCATCAACTTGTTTTGAAAAGCTCGCAGTCTTGAACCTCTTGGGTTGTCAACTTGATTATATATTTCATTTTCACCAAAGGAAAACACAGGAACAAGATATGCTCTGAAAAAGGAAAAAAAATAATGGAAAATATAAATATGGAACCAAAGAGATGTTGACACATTGCTTGTACATCCACCCCCCAATCCACTCAAGGAATTTCTCCTCATTCTTAGCACATTTTGTTTCTCAATTGGGATGACCTCTTTCCAAAGTCCTATAATCAATCCTTGCCCTTTTGTACTCTGAGATTTGTTAACATTGAATCAGAGTGAAGAACTTTGTATTTTTACTACAAAATTCTAAAAATTAAGGTAGGCTTTGTTTTGTGTTAATATTGACACCTCCAAAACAACAACAAATACACCACCACTTTCCATCTTAACCCAAACTGTCCAAGTTTTCTCCTACTAGTGGTAAAATCTTTCGAGACTCTAATATCAGTTTCAGGGTTTTGCAAATGTTGTTTTTCATTTGTTGATTTAACTTATACAATCAGAAACTACAAAAATAGAGCATGCCACTGTATGACCGGACATTATCAGTCATACCAAGACAGTCTATGCTGAATTTGAGAGGAAGAAACTATTTTTAGGTTTTTTGAGGTCTACCACAGAAATTTAATTTTATCATTTATCATTGACACGTGCATTTCATTTTAGCAAGCCTCAAATGAAATGTCCCGCATGGTATGTGGATCTAAGTGAATAAAACTTAAGTCCATTTTTCACATCCGCTTACCCTGTCTGCAAAGCCAACTTTGCAAATCCTTTCCGGTTTCTTAGGGTCAGAGTGTAAGATCCTGGACGGGCATCAAGAGATTCTGCTGCTCCACCAATCACAATCACTGCAGCATTCCCAGTCCCCTGCTTAGTCACTATATGACGAATACTTTCTTTGGAGACATCACACACTCCACCTGCCATTACAAAGTCTCTCCACAGTGGAAATTTGAACATCACTGAAAAAAAAAATTACACAAAATTTATGAAAATGTAAACATTGGTGCAAACGTGATGCAATTTGGTAAGAGAAACACTAGAGGGATAGACTTATGCAACATGATATAAGTAGGTTCTTATAAAACTGGCACGCTTTCATCTGATGACAGTCACTGTGTGGTCTCGCAAATTAAAAAAACTAACATTTCCTTTTGGAGACGTGAGGCGGTATTCTCATAAATAAAATTTGCTTTTAACGAATTCACCGACAGCAAAGCTAAACTATGCTATCGTCCAATCCATTGTTGAAATAGGGGTAGAAGCTGGACATCTCAAACGATAAACAAAGAGAAAACAAGGTTATGTAAGATGCATGTAACTTGAACACTAAAATAACACTTCGTATGCGAATATGGGATTTCCCTTTCAAAGGTTAATCTCATTACCTCTTACGGCGTATTTTGTGAGGTTAATACCAAATATAGACAGCAAGGAATGGATAGCACGAAGTTACACATTTTGGTTGCGTTGCAACTTAAGTTTTGATGGCAGTGTCATTACAATCTTGTTGAATTTGGCGAGCTGAGAAACATGACTCTTGAAATAGGTACAGATCAAGGTGGAATTTCTTTACCCCGAAGTGATAAAAAGTAGTTCCCCTCTCAATTTTTGAGTATATCTGCTGAATCAATAAAGCTTCGGAGTTTAACTTGAGCGTTATTCTTCGTGCTCTTTGCCTGTCTGTTTTGTTGGTTAATAATTTCCTAGGCTTCGGAAAATCAGGCAAGAGGCACGAAATCCGGCAAGAAGCACGAGAACCTGTCACACTATCAAGAAAAAAGTGGTTAAGTTTCGTGTTACTTACAAGTTAGAGTGAGAAGATGTGATTTTATGCCCGGAAAAAGTCTACTGAATCCAGTGGCTTCTGTAGCAAAATTGATCCAAGCTCCACAACACATGATTCCATGAGGATGGTATCCGAGAATGTAGTTCCTTCTTGGATCCAGCCGCTTTGTTCTTACAAGTCGTGCGGGAAAGTAGTCTCGAAAATACTCCCAGCTTTTCAGCTTGCGAAATGTCTCGGACCTTCTTCCTCCTTTCGAGGATGTTTTCAAATCAAAGAAATAAGTCCAGAACAAATAAATGACCATGAAGCCGTAGACGGGGGTAAGGAGAACGTAAAACGAGAGAAGTATTCCTATCGTGTGTCCAAAGATGAACAACCCGGTCATCATAAAAACAACTCCAATTTGAAGCGGCTCCTCGAAAAAGGAAAAGGAGAACGAGAAATCCATCTTCTTTCTTTGTCTTGTGGCCATCTTACTAGTAAAGGCAAGCGAAAGTGTTTCTTCTCGTGAGGAAATTTCCCTTTATGAAGCATATAATCGATCTTTCTCTCTCTGCTGGAGTTTGAACTTTGGTCAAATGCACTCTCAACAGAAAATTTTGTATTTTGATCCGGACGGAAGTGGCGGTTTGTACACAAACAGGTGTCAGATATCAGGTGATCAGTCTTCACGTGTTGCCGCCTGTCACGCGTTTGTCAACGTAGAGCGCGTGATAGGTCACCATATTTGGAGTGATAGCTACAATGGACACCAGTCCTTCCGTGTACTGAGACGCCTGACAAAAATTAGTCCGTTTCCGCGTCGTGAGTTCAGCTGGAATCCTTCGATACATCTCAGTTATGAGCTTCCTTCCTGGGACAGCAAGTCTCATCAAAGAAATAGATAGTACGATATTCGTGTTTTTTTTTTATTTCCCCTCTTTTATACTAGGCTGTTTTTATTCAATCTGTTGAACTTAATTTTTGTCTCCATGTTCTCAATTCTTCACAATATCAACAAATTTATTGCTTGTACTTTCATACACTAAAAGTTTGCACTATTAATTTTTATCAGAATTTCAGTTTACTGTTCCCAAAATGTTTCCAAGCTTACGTTTTTCGTTTACACATGTGGAATTTCCTAAGATTCTCTGGCACGTACTAAAGGAACAAACACAAACTTCTCTCTTTAAACTAACACTGCAACTTTTGAACAGAAAGACTTTTGGTTGTGCTGAGGGATGGAAGAACACTCATTGGATATTTGAGGTCCATAGATCAATTTGGTGAGTGTACTGGCAACAGTGAAATTTATATTGTTATCATACTTATTTTCTTTAAGCAGAAATACCTTTGATGTTTGCATATGGAGTGTTTTAAAAATGGTATAAACAATAGTACTTCTTCAGGCTAGGCTGTGGTTGTAATCAGGGTGTGATAACTGTTATAGTATACAGTTCTGTTGATATTTTTTTGTGTAGTAACTTTTGGTATAAAGAAAGCTCTTTTACATGGTAGATTCCCATGTTATTGTACCAGTGCTACTAGGAGAAGGTATTGAGGTATAGGAAGATGTTAACATGTGAATCTACCACTGAAATGGAAATTCTTCCACAGAGGGAAGGGATAATGATAATTTTTGTGTTAGATTTTAATAATCCAATGAAACAGTGATGTAAGAGATAAGTTAGGAAATCTAAAGCACGAGATGTTTTAATGTGGAAGCCTTAGCTCTCACTTCTAAAATAATGTTTTAAATTTGTGATCAGTGTGATTTTGTCTCAATCGAAGTCACCGGGAAGCAGGTTCTAATGTGTTTTATACAATGATAATTTTACAGCCAACCTTTTACTTCAAGACACCATTGAAAGAATTCATGTTGGAGGAAAGTATGGGGATATTCCTAGAGGCATATTTCTTGTAAGAGGAGAAAACATGGTTCTAGCTGGAGAAATAGTGAGTCACTTCAAGTGAAGAGTGAAGTTAATTTACAAGTTGTTAACAAAAAACATAATTGGATCAGAGAAGAGGGGTAACCAGTACAAATTTACTAATATTTGCTGTTATAGTCTTACAGATTTCAGGTATTTAAAGTAGGAACTTAACTTAGGTTTCTCCTCTTCAAAATGCATAGGGAAAATCTTGATTTACTGGTTGAGGGAAGAAATAAATTTGTTTGCTTTTTTCTGCTCAATGTACTTTTTTCTTGCTGTGTTTTGTAGCTGAAGTTGATTAACAACTCTTCAAGAATGTAGATGTGATATTTCTTCTCATTTACTCCGACAAATGCACCCAGCTAGCTTCTCACATCTTTATTACAAAGTACAAAAAAACAAATTTGGCAATCAACACAGAATTCCTGCAATAAAAAACTGTATTTATTGAAATTATATTCCTACCTAACTGGCTGTCTAATTTTAATATTAACCTCTTTAAACAAACGCCATTTACTGTTCGATGTTTGTCCAAAATATTTTGTCAGATGTTATTTTTTCTGTCAAAATCTGAACAGTTTACTAAATTTTAGTCCCCTTTGTAGCAGTTATTTGACCTTGTCACCCAAGGCGCACTCTTCCTCACCAAGAGAGAGAAAAAGAGTGTGTTGCTTGACAAGATCAAACAATAGCTGCAATAGAGACTAGCTGAATGTGTGCTGTGCATTTATTTTTTGTTATAAAAGGATGAAGAAAAAGAAGCTCAGTCTGAACTGGAGGAAGTGTCAGTACCTGATATTCTTGAATTACAAAGAGATGAGCAACTCGCTAAAGAAGAGCAAGAAAGAGTGAAAACAAAAGCCAAACTGAAAAGAGGCCTGCCTGTCAATGTATCTGATACATACCTCAATCATGATGATGTTTTCAACTGAGTTTCTTTTGAAAAATAACAAGACTAAGTATGGACATCCTCTCTGAATATTGTTGAGCCAACAGTATCAAACCAGGCAGTTGCTAAGCGAAATGACACATTTTCATCTTGAAATCATCAGTTGGTGGACAAGAAGGTTTATCTGGCCTTACAGGCATTTGTCAGAATGGCTTTATTTTCTCTGACTGATTAGGAAAGGCTTGACAACATTTATTTATCATAGGTAATATATTTGTGGAAAGCTACCTGTATAACCATGTTGCTAGCAATAAAAAGTTGTATGCATATCAAAAGGATTTGGTGCATAAAATGCAAAAATTTCACAAATAAACTTGCTCCATAAATATAAGCTGTATTAATTTTGATATTGAATTGTATCCAGATGAAAGGAAGATAAAAATAACTTGGTTGTTTTTAGGAAACACACATTCAACTCCTTTTTGGTTTGGTAATTTATCCCATTAGCAAATGTGTATTTCTACAAGAAACGTAAAATGGAAGTTGAAAAAATCCCTGCAGACTGTCAACTGCTCTACCTCGTGCCTTTGAAAGCAAACTAGATTTGATTACAAAATGTGCATATTTTAATTATCAAGAGGGAACTATAACAAAATTACACCAAAATCATTATGGTTTTTTCAGTGGCAATAAACATCATGCGGAGTTGTCATTTCTTTATTTTGAGGTTTGATCCAGTCTTCTCTATGGTTCAACAAAGCCTGTTGAATTTCCCCACAGGTGCTCTGCAGTTAGGACATGTGTGAATGATGTCTTTACAGGAGTCAATGCAAAAAGGAATGAGGCAGCAGCCAAACCAACACCTTTAGCGATCAAAGAATAATATTCAGAGTCAGTAAGAAGACTTAGGAAGGAATCTATTCGATTAAACACCAAATTCTTGAAGTTGAAATTGTGAGAAATGTATGGCAGATAGAATGGAGAATTGATCTTTAGATCAGGAGTGAAAAGGTCAATTGGCACTATATGTCATGCTTGATACATTTAATCACTTTAGGTTATATTAAAGTGCTTTAAAAGGATGAATTCAAATAATGATGATAATGAGTTAGGCTGGACAAATGAATGAAGATAGTTAAGGAGGGTGAAGATTGCAAATAACAAACTTGAGGTGAGCAGTCTAAAGTTTTCAAGCACAGATTCTGCTTTGCCTTCATTTGAAAGATCTAAAGCTCATTTCTCACCCCATAAAACACAGCAAACTGGCTGCACAGTAAGTTAGATTTCCATCCTCTTTTGTTGTAACAGTAAACACTCTAGTCTGGCAATATGGGCAACAAATGTCCGCGGGGAATTCTCCGTACACTGGATGAGCAGGAAAAAGATTATAACTGCGTAATGGTTGGTTAATTGTAGGGGTCTGGTACATACTGGCGAAGGCTTCTGTTGTTTCAGTGATCCGGACGAAAGGAAGAAACCCGCTTGAATTTTAAGTCTGTTTCTTGATTTTTTGCTGACTACTAATATTTTAAAATGGTAAGATGGAAATAAAATCTTTAAGAGACAAAGTTGCCTGTTGAATCAATACAGCTGGAATATTAATGAATCAGTCGGTGAATCGTCAGTTCCGAAATTTGCTTTAGCGGTACGAGATAAATGGAATATTTCAAAACGAGACGAACTGCGAGGGAAGGGGAAGATTAGACCATTTTAAAAGTACGAACATTTCTAGGGAAAATAGCTTCTTTTAGTCTTTAAGTGAGGTTTACTTTGAAATATTTTCTTCTTTTATCGCAAAGATTGGAAAAACAATAAGTTGTGTTAATTGTTACATCGCTAAATCTCAGGCTGATGTTTGCTGCAAGTACAGTGGTCGTAAACACTGATTTACATTTATCACAACGGATTTAAGAATGCAGTAAATGAATGGAGGCTAATTTGAGAACTTCAGTTCATCAGCAAAATAGCCATTTGAGGAAAATTTTAAAATCATTCCTTCCAAAGCCTTTTATTAGAGATCAAAGTAAGTTATAGACAGAACTTCTTTAAAGTTATCAGGAGAAAGCGTAAAATTGGTTAAATCAAAACGACAGTCTGCGAAAAAGGAAAAAAAAAACAAAAATTTCATCAGTAGCAGTTGTAAGAAAAAAGTGAGCGGAAAGTCATGAGGAATTTCAGAATCATGATTTCATATAAATGTGAACAATGACGTGTCGTTCAGAGCGACGTGACAACAAACTCTATCGCGTATTTAATCAGCTGTTTTGCAGTATTGTAATAAATTGGTAATCAGGATCTACACATGTGGTTTTCTTAGTGGACAAATCCTTCTTTTTCTCAGAGTAACACGTAATCCTACAAAGATACAAAACCTTTTACAGTAAACAAGTACGACTTAGTTTGAGATTATTGGTCCATTTCTGGACAACGAATCGACTGAATCACTTGATTTCTCGTTTTCTCTGCTATATCGTCACAGTTTCTGAAAAGAAGAAAGGTAACAGCTGTGTCACAGGAATTAAACACTGAAAAAATCTTCGCTCTAAACGGCCACAGCAGTATTTTACTGAAGAAACTCATCGACTCAAAATCGTCGCATCAGAAAATGTTTATACGACTTAATCTTCTCGCAATCGTCTTCTTGAACACTGTGCTAACTTCAGCAAAGGAGGATTCATTCGTCAAGGAACTCACTCTTACTAATTTTGACCAGGTCGTTGACGGGAAAAAATTTGCGTTCGTGTTTTTCTACGCTCCTTGGCACGAGCAATGCTTGAGGCTGTTAGAACGGTATGAAGAGGTTGGAGATACATTTTCAAGCCGTGAGGATGTGGTTATCGCCAAAGTAAATGCTTATGAAGAAATTAAACTGGCCACACGGTACTGGGTGGATGAATACCCTGCGTTTCGTTACTTCATAAAAGGAAGCATAACTGAAGAAACGTAAGTAGATGCAGTGTTTTGTTCGATTTATTACAAAATGTCTTTAAAGTATTACGCCAAACATTGCGCGGGGACAAAGAATAAAATCTGCAGCTGGGTCCGAGGTACAAAGAAATTTTAAAGAAGACGCTTTTTTTGTTATTTTTTTTAACATCGTCCTAAGAGGTCACATTTTGCCGCCATAACTTGGAAATAAGACAATTGTGATATAGTTAGAAATGGTAATAAACACCACTCACGAATTATAACTCTGCGGAAAGCGTACCAATTTCGTTGGAATCCAAAGAGATCCTTACTTGACATTTATCGAAGTTTATGTCTATTATATTCTAACAATAAATGTGACTTTTAGCAAACATCAGAGCCTAATGATCTGACTTTCTGGTTTTTTTTTTCAGTTATAATAATGGTAATCTTCCTGCCGATATGATTCGTTTTATACGGTCCAAATCCGTCCTTCATCTAAACACAGACATCTTCCAAACACCAGTCATCGATCTGAGCTCTTCAAATTTTGAAAGAATTGTCAAAGACAGGGCGCGGAGCATCATGGTCCTTTACTATAACGGCAACTGTGAACTGTGCAAGACTTTACAAAACACGATTCACGATGTCGGTGTCACGTTTAGAAACGAGCCGAAGTGCCTGATTGGCCGACTTGATTGCGACGCGGAGCCTCAGATTTGTGTGCAACAAACAATTCCGCATTACCCGACTTTCAAAGTATATTCCCAGCATAACAAGGACGGGATCATTTACGAGCCTGGGACCTACCAGGAAAGCTACAGCGAGACAAACATAACTTCCTTTATGAATGCCTTGTGTGGAACTCAAAGGAGGCTGAAAGGACGACTGAACGAAAAGGTAAGTTTTTAAAGCAGTTGAAATTAAGGTAAATTTTACAGCCGCTACGAAGCTCGTTTAGTGTCATTGCAAGCAATTTTTGCATTAACCCGCTGTCCAGAGAGACCATGCCCTCTTGCCAATTGATGCAAAATAAAGAGAAGTTAGGATTGTAGAATTTCTGTAATCGCAAGGGACTTTGCTTCGTGGTCGCGCAAGTCTTCTTGGGTCCCCTAAATAAAGGCAGTTAAGGAGGTCGTATGAATGATCGAAATAAGATAGGTTTCTTATAATGAAATAGTAATCAAAACCACAGTGATTTTTAGCTTTCACTGAGAACAGACGAAAGATATATATAGTGTTGTTTGAGAAAGGTTTATTTACCTGACAAGAATGAGACTCATTAATTCCTTGGACTGAAAATTTGTGGCTATACTTAAAAAAAGTGTCAGAAATTCAAGAATAAAATTATGAAATGGGATATAGGACTAAAAGAGGCAAATTTATTTTACTTGAAAATTGCTAATTCGCTGGAAAACTTAACGCGCATCTACTTGAAAACGAAAATGTTAGTCCCACCCTCGATTAACCCAACTTCTTAACTTAAATTACTATACGCCCTTAATAGTGTTAGCCATCTGGAGCGCCATGGAGTTTATTGAAATTTGCTGTTTAAACAGGCTGGCCTTTTGGATGACTTCAACGAAATAGCGGTGCAGTTTATGAAGGACCACAAAAGGCGAGAAGAAATATTGAGAGAAGCTAAAATAAAAGCCCTTAAGCACAAGTTCCAAACCGAGGCTCATTTTTACATGTCTGTTATGACTCGCGTAATGGGTTACGGAGCTGGTATCATAAGCGAGGAAATTGATCGATTGGAACGCTTGATCGCCGGTCCATTGCACCCTAATAAGGCAGATGAATTTGAGAAACGCAAAAATATTCTGAAGCAATTCCAGGTTTTGCATTTTGAAAGAGACGAGTTATAACTTTCTTGTAACTTTTTGCGCCGCTTTCTTGCGTTAAAAAATAGGTACTAAGTCTTTCCCATTTATACAATTAAAAAAGGGAAATTAGAAATAGCAAATTGCAATGAAAAGTTTGGAGATGGTCTGATTAATTGAACATTTTATGGTTTTGGCCTGTTTGAAATCTGAAATTAGACATCCTTCGGAACCTTGAATAGCACATTTTCAATGATCAGTCTGCTTGTTTGTTATTGTTACAAGATTAGCCATACCTAGTTTACAAGATGCTGATATCGGTACAGTTAAATACATTTCTGAGAGGTATAAGAATCCAAAAATAATGAACAATAAAACTTTTTTTCACAATGTCTCATAGGCAGACTTGGCAGTGTGTATTACCTCGAACGTTTTTGTTCTTAAAAATATATTACATGATAATAGGCGCAATCATGAATATTTAAACTTGTAAGGCACATAAGCTGCGGTATATAGTCCTTCATGAAGACTCATAAGGCTTATTCCGGTTCCAAAACACTTCTATTTCATGTTTGACGTCTGTCACCTCTTATATAGTTTCAAATCGTTTTCTCAACAATACTCAAAGGAGATATATCAGGAGTAAAAGAGTAAAGAAAAACTCTCCTTCGATTTAATTGTGAACTCTCTTTGGCTTCTGTTTCTGTTTGAAGTCACGCAGCTTTTAAAAGGGCCGTTAAAACTGGAGTATTTGTAGTCTTCACTACCGTCGTCACTCTGCGAGCTGATGTCATGAACGTGGTCTAATAAATGTTTTCAAAAATACCAGAATCCCACCAAAGCTTCTCTGCCTCAAAAACTCCATGTAAGCACGTCTAGAGCGTCCCTATGGAAATAAAAGGGTTGTGATGCTCAAAGTTCGGGGAAAGTAACCAACCTCATGAGGCAAGTCTAGAGAATTTTTTTTCGCGGTTTTTTTTCCCAAACAAGTTTAAAAGTTCTTTAGTCTGCCACCCACAAAAAACCCGTCACTTTTTTGACAAATAAACCTTTCCAATTTTGTCAAAAATATATTGGAGATTGAGTGCCAGAAAATAGAAATTATATGAGTTGTTGATTTTATAAAATCATTAAGTTTACCTCGTGAGACGTGAAAATTTTGGAATCAATGCCTTAATAAAAAGGTCTTTTAAATTGCGCGATAGCTAATAACGCTTTTCACAAAAACGATATGGAATAAAAATAAATTGCATCCAACAAGAGAACGAACGAAACACGTCACTGACAACTGCAAAATTTACCTTGATAAGACTTGGCGTGAGCTTCATCCCGGTCGGCTGAGTCTGGAAGGAAGCATGCAGACGGTAATGTTAAAACGATGCCGAAATGTCTGCTAGAGATTTAAGCATCCGCGCCGGTATGTTCGCTTCAAGGTCGCAATTTGTCTGTATCTCAGCCACAAAGTCAAGGCGAGAAGTCTATTCACTCCTATGGCACTTAAAGTTAACAGAGCCGACACTGCACACAGCAAAATGCTTGTCACAAGACTTGCGGTATCTACGTACTGATGAACACCCCTCAAATCAAGCATTCCGTGAACAAGGATTGACATCCAAACTGTAACAGCCAGCAGCTGGCTAACAAGACCTACGTAAAGATCAGTTGTTGCCAAACAACGATGGCAGATGAAGAGAGGTTTCCTTTCTGAGGGCAACAATGATTTTAATATTACTGAGGAAAGCTACTATGGAGAGGAAAATGTTTATCGTGGATAAAAAAAATCAGATGTTGGTGCCCTTCTGTTGCGTTTGGTATCACCATTATTCTGTATCGGGGAAATCAAGTGGCGAATGGTCAATCTCGAAGAAGTTAGTCTCAATATTTCAAGTTCAGTGTTCACTTCTCCATCTTTTATCTTCCTTGTAATTAATTAATTTATTTATTCTCATAATTTTTAGTGTTTTTTCTATTTTACCACACTCTTATTTTGTGATTTCTATCATGCTGTATATAACTTCTATGTTTATGAAAACGACTCATTTCCAGCAAGCTAACCTGATGAAGAAATTTCCAGGCCTCCCCTGCCAAAGATATATGATGGTGGATTGAGAACAACTCGTTCATATGACGCACATCGAGGGAGTCTGTCACCGAGCTGATGAGAAAACAAATTATGGTCGATCATCCCAGGGTACATAATGAATCCTCAAAACTAACCATTCAAATCTCTAGTTCACCGTTAGTTAATCCCGTGTAAAGACTGATCTCCTATGCTAATGAATGACTTGTTTATCAAAGGTGCCTTTTAAAGCATCACTAGAAAATTAACAAAAGATTCAGTTTATCTAATTCGTCGCCGATGCTATCGTTACCCATTGGCCAACGGAAGGGTTACAGGAGGTTATGTTCAAATCCAAATCCAAATCCAAATTCCCAAACGTACGTTTACATAGGGGAACGAGACTACAAAACTATATAACACCTCACTATCTCTGCGCATGAACTAAATGTCTCCTTCTTTCACGTACGAAAATCGTCCTATGTGTGTCAGTAGTGGTAAGATATTCAGCGAGTGTGGGATGTTACAACTTTACCTTGGCATGCTGAAACAAAATGATTTGTCTCTGTCTATAAAAGCTTTGTTTCTCCACAAACTGTCACAGATATCTAAGATATACTGGTTAAATCTCTGGATGCTTTGAAATCCATCGGGGAATCCCAAAGGAGAAACCTGAGAGATCAAAATAAGAAGGACTTTAATCTGAGATAACGCTTTTCCACAATTTTGAAGACAAATAGGAGTATTGTGGCATAGTCTGCAAGCTAAGCACCATCGTGATTAACTTTAATTTCCTTCCATTACCTGAGACTCTCCTTGTGTTATCTTCAAAGATTCAAACTCCTTCTTGAAGCTGAAAGGTTTAAGTGTCAATAAATCAGTGAATTTATGTGAAAATTACAATCCCTGGATTTCCAAACGTCAAGTTTTTTTTCCTAAGCATTTGCTTGAATATACTCTGAGAATAATTTTGCATTCAGAGGACGATTGAGCCACAAAATACCCTTTCATGGATGCTAATAAAGTTAGTTAGAAGTGTGCTCAGCCTGAACACAGCCATGAAGTTGGATGTTTATCGGTAAAACTTTCCACACAAAGTAATGAAATGGACGAGGTGAAGACAATCGTTAAAGAGACTACAGTGGCAAATATTTGCCCTTACTTGACAATGATTTGACACAATCTTGACAAAGCCATGGAATTACTAGAAAACAACATTCTGTAGATGATCCCAGAGGAAGGAATAAGGACAAATGGCAAAGAAAACTGTTGATGGGAAGTTGAAACCTGAAAAAATGAAACAAGGTTAACAAAATACGATCGGTGTTCGAGAAGTTGAGTTAGAGACTTTACATCCGGCTGCTGGAAAGAGCGGGACTCGAACTGGAGCTCTGACCCTTCCCCCCGACACCAGCCAAAGAGTCGACTACCCCGACCATGTTCCGACTTCCAAGGTTGATTGGTTTCTTAAACTTTCTTAAACAGACCAACTGACAACTTACCAGTTCAAAGAAGTTTAAAACCCAATGCTGCAGCAGCGCATGGTCTTTTTCGACCTTAAAAAGAAGCAAACAAAGAAGCAAATGTTTCAAGAGAATGCAAACCCTTAAGTTCGGCATGTGACGCGATGGGTTTGTCTCACGCTTGTTCCGTTTGAAAGCAATCTCAAATCACCGTCGCATGGAGTCGTTTCACTCACCTGTAAACCCACTACACAAACCCTATCCACAAACTGTATGAAATCATAAATGGTCTTCAGAGGATCAAAAGCCTCAACTTCGTCTTCAACAAACAACGAGACACTGAAGAGAAGAATAGAAAATGGTCAAGAGATCTGCGCCCAATGAACCGCTAATTTGTGCACTTAAGTCAGCTTAGTAGTGCCCATGGTCAAAACAGAGAGCTATGCACTAGGCTGCACAATCTGATCGAGAAACTGTCCGTAATCTCTTTCGCACCCAACCTTTAGGATGTCACGAAACGCTCTTCTTTCAAGGCTGCATCGCGTGACAGCCTCAAGAATGGCTAGGAACGTGTCTGGTTTGATTGTTTTAATGTCATTAGTACTCAGGCCACTCCCACAGATTTCAAACGTCAAACCTACTTGGCCAGATCACGTGCTCTTTGGGAACGCTCCTCTTGAAGTAATTCTTGTTGCCGCGGCAACTCAACCGCTAAGAAATTCCTCAGCAGTTCAGTGAAGCAGTAAATAACTTGACACTAAAAAGAAACAGACCACAAGTTAATTCTAAATATAATCTGGCGAGACTAAGCCAAGAAAGAAAAGAGAAACGACAAAACTTTCTGAATTTCTTACCTTCACGTAAATTGGTGATGAAAAGAAAAGTTTTCTAAGCGGTTCAAGAACTAAATCATTCAAACCTGAAAAATATAACATCCTATTCAGCATTTACTGATGGGAACCAGATACATCTTTATTTCAAAAACTAAGAATTTCTTAAGCACTCAAAGCTTCGACAAAGCTGGCTGCACGAGTGTCAAGGTGACAACGGAAGGAAACCATATCATCTGATATATGTCCAACTGTCAGCGGTAAAGCGCTGGAATAGTCGCAGGTGAGCTTTTCACCCTGATTGATTAAATAATTTGAAAAAGTTAACTAAGCGATCACATTACCCAGACAGTGCAACGAATGTTCGACTCACGTTGAAACGGCCACATACTAAGATGAGTTACGAGCTGAAGAATCAATGGTCTGAAATCCAGTCCGTTCCATGTAAAAAGGAATCGAACCAAGAAAGCTTCCACAGCCGGGACAGATTCCTAGAGAAAAGACAACATTGCCTCCGTAAAATCTACAACGTGGGGGATAAATATCTAAAAAAATATATACAGTAAATATCTAACGAACCAGACATCGCCGTTTCCAGTCGAAGGGCAGAATCATCACGACTAAAATAAAAATTTCAATCTTTTTTATAAAGGGGTAAGTTTCTAAATAAACTGTGGTGCTGCGTCGGTGGGAGAGTATAGCAGGTAATTTAGTGCTAACAACTGGTTTGAAAACGTAAATTAGCCCTTCGTCAGAGCGATGGATCGCTCTGACGAAGGGCTAACGCTCGAAACGTCAGCTTTTTTACCCTTTACGGTGGCTAATTTACGTTTTCAACCCAGTTGTTAACACTAAATTACCTAATCTTTTTTATAACTTACTTGGAGGAAGCCTGTGAAGTGGTTTAAATGCTGCAACAACATCCAGGTATAAGAATCAGATTTTGACGTTGAACTGTTAAGTAACTCTGTGGAAAATATAATTTCATCATTCAAAATATAAGTATTGGTATTTACCTCTAGTCCTAGTTTGCCAGGTGAAGTGTTAAAAAAAAAATGACTAAGAAACACGCATTTCTCGTGCGATATACAAATTCTGGAATCTCACTGGCTACTGTTAGAACGTACGGTTTCAAGCTTTCACGACTCTTCTTTCATTTGTAAACATTTTTGAAAATTATTTTTAGGCGACATCTGTCCAGATCATCTTTTCTTAGAAATCTTTCTTTAATTGTTTCCGTCATCACTGCTATTTCGGCCGAGAAAAACATTTTGAATCACATCCTTTCACTCTTCGATTTTCCACTTTGGTACTGTATTTCCATGTTCCTTCTACAGCCAGCACTGAAGTCAGTCTCAAGGCTTAAGTCTCTCCGGTGCTTTTTCAGGGCACGAGCCGATTGTCAGCGCGTGACTGAGGCGTAGGTATCATACACAACTGATAGCCCTTTATTAAAATTCTTCTAAGTTTTTAATTCTGCTACTTCTCAACAGAACGATAATCATTTTTTTGGATCATAGTTCGTTCGTGTAGTTTCACAAGTACTTTTGTCATATTACCTTCGCACAAGGTATGATTGACCCAGAAGTTGAATCTTTGTAACACGACAAAGTCTGGATTACAGCTCAAAACGTGCTGCAGGAACGGCGAGTTGATCACTGAGGCTACCTGACTCGGAAACTGGCATCAAAACAAAATAACATCAGATTCTTCATGAATTAAATTACATATAATGTGGAAAGGGAAGATTTGCAAAAAGGCGCGCAAAGATGCAATGAATAAACTAAAATTCAGTTTTTCTCCTCTTTATGTAAATACTAAAATCCGTGCTCGAGGGCATCAACTTTCGGTATATATTACACCCATTTCGAAATCACTGGTGGTCCCTGTAATCTGATTGGCTCTAATTGGTGCAATTTATTCACAAATGGCACCAATTTTTGCTTTAAATCGCATCTTTTTCCCAGCCAATGAGGAGGCTACACAAAAAACAAAACAACCAATCAGATTTTAAGGCTTGTTTAAAGTAACTGATCAAATTTCAGGAAACTGAAAGACAGAGAGTGTCATGTGGCAAATTTTGCAACTCTTGTTTGCAAAACTCTTACTTCTCCCCTCCAAAAATGGATGAATTTAGTTTCAGACTGGCTCAGTACTGCATCAATAAAATATTTGAACTGACCAAGTACTGTGTTTGGGCGATTTCAAAATGGATGTAATAAAGTGGTAATTGAACCTTGTGTCGTGCAATTTTGGTCTGAAATCATACTTGTGATTTCAAATCAAACCCGCGCTGCGCGCTCGTTCGATTTTGAAATCACGCTTATGATTTCAGCCCAAATTGTACTCCACTAAGTTCAATTACCATTATTAACAAAATTGAAAGAACAGGTTTTGAAAAACTGGTATCGGTTACAGCAGAGGCGAGTTTATGTTAATAGGGTAGCGAGAGGATTTGCACGCCGTGAGGTCTTAACAAAACCAGAGGTGACAGTGGCATTCATTTGACTTTTAAATGTGAATCGTTTACCTCTATTTTTTCAATGTTTGCAAGTAGATCCTTAAAGGAAAAGAGCTGCTCGATGGAAGTTTTCTTTTCATTTATCGTGGTAGTCTGTAGTTCGGGAATGATGTTTCCGGGAAGTTTTCGTCTCTTTGTCACCTGAAAGTACAAATCACGAAAATTTTACAGGAATAAAGTAGGAAGATTCAGTTTTCATTGGTCGGAAGTTTTCTCTTACGAAAAGAAAAACCAGAAGAAATACTGAAAAAAAAGACACACGGAGAATGATAACAAGTATAGAGTGATTCTTTTTGTTTGCAACAGTCAAGGTTTCAATGTTAGTAATAATGATGTGAACAAGAAACAGTACATTCCACGTTTTTTTTTTTGTTTTCAACTTTTGACATGGATTAACATCATTATTAGAACATCATTAAAACTGTTGGGAAGAGCTCTTTAAATTAGCAATAATGATCTGTTGAAGACTGACGGTGGGGGGTGGAGTTACTTTACTCACCGCAACACGATTAGATGTCCTCACTGGAAGAAAAAAACTTTCCACTGGTTTTCTTGCATTATATTTGAGCTGTGAAGGAAAAGGAGCAAACAGGTGCTAGTTAGCACTAAAACAAAGAAGTTAGCTTCTTCAGCAAACACATTTATTTTTTGATCTGGAAACATAGATTACTTTAATACGTATGCGTTTGTGGTGCTTAACGAATGAAAAGAGTGATCAGTCTGTTTGTCCGTAATCTGGGATTGAAAACTTTCAATTTTATTTTCAAATAAAGGTTTTTAACATTTCACTAGGTACCTGAACTTTCTTGATTGCCTCTTTCCAGGATTCATCGGTTTCCTTGAACCATAATCTCTATGAAAAGAATTCGGGACAATGCAGTGAATTCCATAAGCATGAGTGTAGGAGTGTTCTAAACACGAATTGTGGGCAATCATCTTGTTGTCATGTGTGAAAAATTGTGAGACAAAACCCTCACCTAAACAGTACTTTACAGGGGCAAATACATGTAAACTTTAGAACTTCTATAAATCAACCAAATATACCTTAGTTGAAGCTGTCGCTGTCATGGTGAAAAGGTTTGGACAATGTATCTTGTAAACAGAAAGTAAGGCAGACTGATAAGGCTTCACTCCCTGAATATAAGAAACAAAAACAGTTCTTTTAATATTTTAACATCAGCTATGAGGTCTTTGTGCTGGTAAGGAATAATTAATTTCATTGTATTGTTAACCTTTTTACTCCGAAGAGTAGTCATTACGAATTCCTCCATGAAATATTTTAATACACTTTTGAGCAGATTAGTCTAGGAAGGCAATGAGAAGTAATAAAAATATTAACTGAGAGATGTCGTTTGATTTAACATGATATTCTCAAATCTGAGGATAGAATATCATATATGCCACAGTTATTTCACAAATATATGACAAAAACTTTATATATTATTACAGATATGCCATGCTGAAAAACTCACCCTGTGATTTTGTAGATCCAGCAGTTTTCTGATCCTAAAATTCTTCACTAATTGAGACATTGATAGATTAAAAAGATGATACTGAAATGAGTTATGTTTAGTGTGTAAAACAATTATTTGGGAACAAGGGCAGCGGGTTAGTAAAATGCTGATCTTAAAAATGAGAATTTAAAGTTTGTATCTTCATTCCTTATGCCATCATGTAATTTTCTTTTTACTAATAAAACAGATTAAGAAAGATTAGTTTAATATGTATTAAATTATCACACATTTTATTCTCCAAAAACAAGACTTAATGGCCATAGACAGCTATAATTCCTTTCAGCCACTGTAACAAACAATTATTTTGATTCTTTACATTCATGGTGAGAACTTCACAAATCTATTTCTCACCGTTCTCATTGACTATTTTGACAAAAAAGCATGCTAGACTGGGAAAATGTCTCATCAACATACTCAAGAATCAGTATACAGTTTGTATAACTTAAGAAGTGTATTTTCCAGTGAAACGTGTTGAGACAATAAATATCAACATGAGACCAGAGTAAAAGGTGGGCAAAACTAACTTGATCTACTTGAACAATTTTGTTACAAAGATCAAAATAAATGCTTGCAATTCTGGTCATAGTAAGCCAGATATTTCACTCTGTACATCAAGACAAATTTAAGTATTGCATTTCATCGAAACAGGAAAGACTTCTACAGAAATCTACTTTCTAAACATAATATTCATATTAAGTTTTATCGTCCATATCTTACCATCCTCCTTTCTTGTCAGGTAATACAAGAGATGGCATAAGTGAGGACACTGAAAACAAGTCCATTTTAATTTAATAAATTTTTAATAAGTTTCATCAAGAAACAAAATCAGAGAATGCAAGAATCAGGTACATTTTAGCTTTGCCTCAAACACCAAAATTTATATTTAAAAATTATTTTACTCATCATTTTTTTCAAATTCAGCATTACTGATTTTTATATTTACAAAACATACAAAAAGAAAGTATTTACCATTCAAATTTCAGTTGAAAGGCTATTCCTAGCCAAAATGTTCTTGCCATCAAATACTGACTGGACCTAAGTAAACTTTCTATCAAAACGCAACTATGATGCCAAATTCTTTGAAGAGAACCTGCCCTAAGTCTATGGCAAGGATATATCTAACAACTGAGCAGCCCAAGTGAGAAGAGAGAGAACTCTTCATAATACAGAACAACAGGACAGAAAATCAGCCAAATGAGCTGTTATAAACTAATCAGTTTAGCACTATATTGTACAAGAATTCTGTGAAGCTTACCAAAGTTTCACTTTCCAAAAGGAGAAAGAAGATTCCATAGAGAGAATGCACATCTTTCAGATCATCAATGAAGTTAAAGATGAGTATAATCCATCGAACTAACAAACTCTAGAGGACAAATACTTGTAAAGACTGAGCTCAAAAATAATGTCCACTAAATAGCATATTAAGTGGTATTTTAACAGTCTATAATCTAAAAGATAGGTCAGAATAATGCATACATTACTAGTTATTCATAAAAAAGGTTAGAAACTACAAAATCACCTAAAACCAATTTTTGTTCATCAAACTGTCGATTGAATAGAGAGAGTAAGTTTCTAAAGAAACTGTGGTGATCTGTTGGTGGAGTGTCAAATACAAGATAATTTGGTTTTACCAACTGAGTTAATATTGTAAATTAGCCATGGTAACAAGTTTTTAAAGCTGATTTTTCGAGCATTAGCCTCTCTTCAGAGCCCTCCTAATTATATCCAAAACTCACAAAGTTTACACCATTAAAGCATGGATTTACTGTAATTGTTACTTTATTATCATAAAATGTACATATTTCTTTGGTACCTTTATCCTCATAGATAGATGGATATTACAAATCCTTGAGGCTATGATCACGACTGTTATACCAGGAACTGATTTCTGTGGAATCAGGGATCTGACAAGTCTTGAAGAAATACTATCATCTGAAACAAATTAAATACTAAGTAAGAACTTAAAATCATCAATAAAAAAATTTATTTTCAAATTTATTTTTCTTATTCATATCTTTGATTTGTAATAGGTATAAATTATTAACCAATCATCATGACAGTATTTTTGTTATTATCAACTAGTAATTTAATGAATTTAAAATATTGATACTGCATGATCAGGTATTCTTTCAGTGGTAAAGTAATATGATAACAAGTAATAACAATTATACCATTCACCTCAGATTTCTCAAAAATTACTTTGAAGAAGTCTGATCTGTATCCTGCTGGCTTTGTTTGGGGATTAAAGTAAATCATCTGGAACAATTTTTCAGATGATTTGGAAATTCAAATCCAACTAGGTTAAATAATTCCTTGAAAGATGAAAATATTATTTATAGACTACAACACAAACGTAAATAATATCTCCTTTACAAGAAAATGTAAACAAATTATTCCAAGCCAGCTGATTCAGATCATTCTGACTAACCATATTTTCCACTAGTGGCTATCTTGACTAAATTCACAAGTTGATCAGGTGGAAGACCATCGCTATGAGCAACACTTTCAATCCTTTCAACTGCTAGGGAAGTCTCGACTTTCGGATCTAGAAATAAAACTCAGCTGATGTTAAGATAAAAATTAACACTTTAAATTACATACCAATAAAAATGAGATATTAGACATTCGCTTACCTCCATTTTCTAAAAACTTGATGGCTTCTTCAGCTTTGAAAATATTTGATTCATCGTCGCTCATTATTGATTTCGCAAAACTAAGGCCTGGCAAGGAGAAATTTATCAAGAAAATTAGCTTGTCGATGATCACACAGCAAGTTCCATTTTGAAAACAATCTTCTTCGACAGGCGCGCCAAAATTCAAACATACAATCCCAGACACCATTGCAGGATAAGGCTTTTCGCGAGTTGAACTCTGGGTAAGAATCAAAATGGCGGATGAGGATGACAGAAGAGTACACATTTGTGTCTTGGAAACCTGAAATATTCATTCAAGAATGTCTTTATATCGGCTTTTTATAGGTTTCAGTAACAAAATACATCAGCTTGATTTCTTACTCAGGGCAGTCAAAGTGAAAAATCTGGTACGATGCGGCTGAGAAGTATTATCATCGATCACTTGGCGGTGTTTGGGATATTACTCCTTGCAGTCAGAGGTACCGGTGACGCAGCGAGAAGCACCTTTGCAGCTATCTCCAAAGATGACCTCACTCGCTGGAATCCTTCAACTTGCCAGTATGTAAGCCATCTATTCAAGGCGAAGCAAAGGGTGGTAAACAAGTTAGGTAATATACTGGGGAATAAAATTCCGAAAAAACGTCAAGAACTCACGAACGCTCAAGTAAAAGCGATAACAATCTTTAAGAACGAGCTGAACGTTACAGAAAGAGCAGTTTTTGATGCAATTAATGGCTTGAGAAAACTACTACTGGAGGATTATAAGTCTGTAGTCCACATGAAAGAAGCTATAAAACAACGACTGGAAGCTCTCAAACTTTTGGCTTTACAACAAGAAGATCAATTTAATGCAATCAGCGAAGCAGAAAAAGAATTTTTTTCTGCTAGTAAACATGCAGATTTGCAGGCCAATGGTACACGTCTGGAGAAAATTATTGAGGGTATTTTAGATGATGTTTCATTTGCAGCTGATAAACTTGAAAATGAACTTGACGAGAAAACGTTTGAGAAAACAAGAAATGCTAAAGGGGCATCAATTGAAGCCGTTGTGAGACTGAATGCGGATGAAGAAAGGCAAGACAGTGATAATGAGACATTGGAGGCTGATCCTGGTAATGAAAATGAAATGAGTATTCTTGTTGATTCTCAAAGCAATCAGTTTGTTTTAGCCAAAGCTAAAGATGCAACTGTTCCACATGAAGATGTCCACTTCATCAAAGATATTATCTATATACTGGTTTTGTCATTCTCTGGATCCTGTATTTGTACACTGGTTCAGCTGCCAACAATGTTTGCATTTGTAATTAGTGGTATGCTTCTAGGACCATCTGGATTAAATATGATCAAGGTTTGATTAGTAATTATTAATATAATATTACTATAACAAAAACATAACAAAGAGGATAAAAACAAAATACTTGAATTTTATAAACCAAATGTTAATTTTTAAGCTCATAAATGGACTGAAGAACTGAGAGAAAAGCATCTTTCTTTAACCCTTTCACTCCCAAGATCTCATTAATAATTCTCCTTACTGTCTGTTATACAATTCTTGTGATGTTAGTTCAAAGAATTTGGTACTGGATCAACTACTAATCCCCTAACTGATATTGTTCTTTATTCTCATTGCTTGTCTGCTTGATGTTAAATTGATATTGTAAGGAAAAATTCTGTCTTGGTCACTCATGGGAGTTAAAGGGTTAAGAACTAAATTTGTTTTTCTAAATCAAAACAGACAATATGTCTGTGGAGTTGTGAGCCCCCAAGTAGGGACACATATGCTCCAGCTAATGATATACAGAAACTGCTGGCCAGAAAACTTGTCTATATAAAGAGCTATCTGCTTTTACAAAAGGTTGAAAATTGAGGGTTTATATTTATGAACACTGCCTGGGTTGACAGAATGTAAAATGTTCAGTTTTGATTTTAATGAAAAATGGGTTATTCTGCATTATGACAGGACACTTCAAGAAAATAATGAAAGAGTAAGTTAATTTGTCACAACTAGATTTGTTGACGCAAAGCTTGTTGAAACTTTTCAGCAAAATGAGATACACTTAAAGTATGCAAATGAAGTAAAACTTGATAAGTAGCCAGGGAGGATTATTTATGAAATACTGTTTAATTTTTTAGTATGATTTTCAATATGGGGTCTGATATTAAATATTTTCTTTTAAACAGACAGTTGTGCAGGTGGAGACACTCGGTGAATTTGGGGTCTTTTTCATTCTGTTTGCAGTTGGCATGGAATTTTCTCCAGACAGAATAAAACGGGTAAAGTAATTTTATTTTTTGTCTTGGTTTTTTTTCTGTGCATTTGATAGAATGAGAGTTATTATAAGTTACTGAAGTGTTGTTTGTTGTAGAGGAAGTAAAACATTGAAGAATTTCTTAATCCCTGTAACCCCTAGAAGTGATTAACATGTTACTTCTCCCCATAATATGCACACATTATCCAGCAAACAGATAATGAGAATACTCAAACTTATCAGGTAGAACTTGTTACCTTTATCTGAGACCAAATTCCTAGTACTTATTTACTAGTAAACTGAAGTAGTGAGAGGGGAGAGGTAACAATCTGATCACATTCATATAACTTCACATCTGAATACTAAAAGGAGATTAGTGCATTTGAATTCCCTTCTTGAACAAAGTGACACTTTTCAATTAAATATGGTAAACAATCTGGCTTATGTCAAATACCAGATAGGTGTTAGTTTAGGGACTCCTTAAATTATGAACTTGTTGACTGTTTTTCAATACTTGTTCATTTATATTTCATTTTTTTAGGTATGGAAAGTGGCAGTTGGTGGAAGTTCTTTAATCATGGCACTGATGATTGTCTTTGGTATTTTTTGGGGAATTTGTTTTGGAATTCTCCCCAGGCAGAGTGCATTTGTAGCAGCATGTCTCTCTCTTTCCAGTACACCACTTGTGGCAAAATTTGTGGAGAGCAAGAATAGAGATACTTCTTCGAAAGGTAGTGTATTTGGTAACAATTTTATGGTGAGGCTACTGTGATTCATCTTGTCGCTTGTTTGTGCAAGTCAGAAGTCAGATGTTAGACTCTGTATAGCCAATCACTTGGGAATTCTGTTTCACTGCCTTCATGGCAAGCCTCATGGCAAGCCTCAAAGCATCCTAAACATGTGACATCTTATGGTGTCCTGATTTTTTAATCCAAGGGGGTAAAAAATTTATGTTCACCAATGTGGCTATGTTTTGAAAAAGGAAAAAATTAAACCTAAAACACACTAAAGCAAACTTTTAAAATTTCTTCAACAAATTTTAAAATTATTAATGATGTTATTTTAATATGCAGAACACACTAATGGAGATGGTGACTACACCAGTTCTCTGTTAGGAATTCTTGTCATGCAAGATGTGCATTTGGGGTTGTTAGTTGCACTACTTCCTGCACTCGCAGGCCATGGGAAATCAGCAAATACCAAAGCTAGCACTATTGCAGTGCACAACATCATCAGTGGGCATGACAGTGGAAATTCAGGTAAAAATATCAGACCTGTTTTGCTCTTGGAGGACTCCTGTGGTATTTAAATAAAACATGATGAGCTAGTGTTTTTGGAGTTTCCAAATTGTTAGCAATGGAAATGTATCAATTAAAACTTTTTTTTTGCTATTTTTTAGATGACTTTACAAACACCATAGTGATGTTGTTTGAGGTGTTGCTTTCCTTTGTCATCCTCATGTTTGTGTGTTTCGTGATTTCTAAAGTTATTGGACCAATATTAAGGTAAGTATTTGTGTAGTGTCTGTAACATGAAGCCACAAGGAGTGTTCTTATTATCCTTTGGGTTAAGTAATTTGCAGCCTGTTATCTGCCTGTCATGTTACTCACTCTGACCAAATGTTTGGCATTCACCCTTTAACTCTCTGGATATGATTGCTAATTCTCCCTTTAGCTGTTACACATTTCCTTGTAAATTAGTTGCAAGAATTTGGTGTTAGATCAAGATAAAAACTTCTACCTGATACATTTGAGTATTCTCATTACCTGTTTGCTGGAGAGTGGGTGGATATTGTAGGGAGAAGTTACGTGTGAATCACTTCTGGGAGTTAAAGAGTTAAGTGAATGAAAAGCCAGCAGATTGGCTGCACTAGTGAGTGAGTAACCTGCATCTTGTAAACAAAAGATAATGGTGTAAAGAACTGTCAAATGACTTACCAGTTGGGGTAGATTCAAACATTTTCACACAACCCACACCTCTATATTAGCAGAAGCAACATTTACTAATGATTTTAAACATTACTTCCAGGTATTTGATGGAAGTTAAGTTAAATGGGATGCGAGTCCATTGTAGGTTGACCCCCCCCCCCCCCCCCCCCCCCAGCATCTTATCAGGTTTTCCTTACACTTTACTGATGCCAATTTATATTCCTGGGTTGGGCGGGTGGAAAATAGTGTCCAAGAACACCACTGATTTGAACTAGCCAGGGCTTACACCCAAACCTCTCAATTTGGATTCCATCAGTGAATTTATCAAGGCACTATTTTGTCCATGAACCACAAGGAAACCTTTCTCAGTAATTCTTCTTCTTCTTCCATCAGACTTATCAAAGACAGCGGAAGTAAAGAACTGCTGCTTTTAGCGACTGTTTCAACAGCCTTTTCTCTGTTGATGGTAAGTGTCAACTTAATCAGGGGTTAATGGACAATATAGTAACAGTCTCTCAATCAAATTTATTTCCTCATTTAGTTTTTGTCTGATGAGTTGTTTATCATGTGTTGTTTCACTGCAGCTGTCAGAACATTTAGGAATCTCCATGGAGCTGGGCTGTTTTGTGGCTGGTGTTGTGTTGAGCTCAAACGGAGAACATCTTGTTCATCAGGTCAGCATCAATATTCTCCTTACTGATCGTAACACATTTCTTGTAGTTAATCTGAGAATTTACTTTAAATCCAATTAATGACCCCATGTAGCTTAAAACTCGTCAAAATTTGATAACAGTGGTGTTCAATATTCAATATCATTGTCAATAAAGTCAGACGTGTAAATCAAGTGAGGCCAGGTATGCTACGATAATTTAGTTTTCCGAGCTTTCGTTGATCTACGGCATCATCATTATTGTCAATGAATTATTATTTTCAGGTGAACGAACTTGTGGAGCCTCTGCGCGATTTCTTCTCGTGTCTCTTCTTCGCATCAATAGGTAAGAACAGAACTTTTTCGGTACATCAAGGAGACGTCATAATTTTTGAGTCCTTTTATTCCGATGTAGAAAACCTCCGTTTAAACAAAAGAAAAGCGCAAAATGATAGTTTACCAGGGTAAATGAGTATCAAATAGAAAAGATTTAACCAAAAATTGACGAGGATGGCAAAAGATGGGAAGGATCGACATGGATTGAAAATGACGATGTTAAAAATTATATGCAAGCCTTGGCGTCAACTCAGGGAGGCTTTAAGAGAGTCCCTTAATAGGTGGGAAGGACCCTCAGAATGTTTGATACATTTTATCTGAGAATGATCATCGTTAAATGCAAAAGCTTCTCAAGAGATAGTTTGGAAATTGGGAATTAGTAATTATTTCTGATCGCTGCTTTTATTCCACCTGCAGGTCTACACGTTTTTCCTACGTTTGTGCTGAATGAATTTCCTCTCGTGTTGACGCTTACCCTTGGGGTTGTATCAGTAAAGGTGGGTACCCTCCCCTCCCCCCCCCCCAGCCCTCTCACGTAATGCCGTACCCGACGGCATTACCGGCAGCCACATGCACTACGTGCAATACAATTGGAGTTCCAGAACTGAAGAATTAGAATTTGAAACACAACGCTTCCATGCGATTCTGCTCGGAAAACAATGCTAATTCTTTTTTCCAGACAGGTGAGTCTGCCATCTGAACAGTCTTCGAGTGACCGATAGCTTGATTGATGGCCCGGAAATATTATATCATAGTATATTTTATATTCTTTTCCTTTGAGTTCTCAATGGTTTCTTGCCATGTCGACATTTATTTTGATTGGCGGTGGTTATTGGTTTGATTGTGGCTTTACGACACTCACTAGGAAAGCTCTCTAATTTGACTCTTGTTTTCATTGCAGTTCGTTGTTTCTGTATTTGTTCTTCGGATGTTTTTATGTGAGTCACGAAGCACAAAATACATCGTTGCTGCGGGACTCGCTCAAGTCAGTGAATTCTCGTTCGTTTTGGGAAGCCGAGCAAGGAGGTTTCATCTCATTTCTAGAGAGGTTAGTTTATTTTCCTCTTTGTATAATTTCTGAGGAGATGTAATTCTCTCTGTGCGATATTGCGACTGAGATAACAAGTTTTATGAACCCTCATCCTTTTTTTTCAGGTTTATCTGATCATCCTCAGTGTCACAACAATTAGCCTCCTTCTTGCTCCTTTGCTGTGGAGAATTTCTTTGTGGAAATTTGGAAGCAGAAAACTATGGATGAGTTCCGGCTCAGAGCGGACAAATAAACGAGCTGCCAGAACAATCTAATGTCATGGTAGTGTTTATACGAAACTTCTTAAGCTTGAGCCCGACAGGAAGGGAAGAGAGAAACCTCGTTCAAAGTGCGTTTGAAATGCGACTTGCCCGCGTTTGCAAGCTAGGCTACAGCTTCCATATTTTCGAAGATTCCAATAAGCCAACAGATCCTATATAGATATAAACGTTGAATAATATACTGAAATGTATTATTTTTGATTATCGAAATAGCTGATGTATGAATATATGACCAGCCTATAAAATTGATCGATAGTCCACAAGATGAGAACTATTAAATTCTGCTCCGATTGTTAGTTTTATTTGCATAATCCCTTTATATCTTCAGCGTAATTTATTTGAAAAAAAGTTTTAAAAAGGGCGTTATTTGGAATCAGTTTTTTGATACAGTCAGATAGAAAATGTCTTTAATTGTTTACAAGAATGGTTTTACCGGATTTCCTAGACTTTCAAATTTTCAAACAAGGGAGAATGGGGATAGTCATTACCCCCGGGGAATTTTTTTGGCTGATTTTTCGTAGAGCCATGGAAACGATCGATTTCTAACTTAACGAAGGCAGCACACTTTGAACTCAATGATTCTGTAAACCTTCGGGGGAAAAAACATGTGTAGAAACTATTTATGAAAATACTAAATAAATGGTGTTGACTGATGGTAAACGAGTTCAGTCAAGGGATTATAATCCCTTGTTGTCGTAATTTTTCAATGCGATCAATAAGCAATCAGGCGTAACAATGAACCAATCGAATTTTTAATGTATATACTTTCGAAAAAAACAAGATTGTGAGATGAACCTGCAATCAAAGATGCAAATGGTGAAGAGAAATATTGATTTGATGATACGAATTTTTCAACTAAACAACCTACAAACGATGATGAGGCAGGGAAGGGGCGAATTTATTGTAGGACAAACTCCTTTTAGGAGGGTTTTCCATAAGCTGCTGCATATAGTGTGATAGGCGGCTGGAAGAGGAAGAGGCTAAGGACGAAACACAAACACAAGAGCTTTTTTTTTAAATCTTCTTTTTTTTTTTTTTTTTTTTTTTTTTTTTTTTTTTTTTTTTTTTTTTTTTTAAATCTTTATTAAGTCATAAGATAAATAATCACATATCCTATGTTACAACATTAAAAGAAGGTATATATATAAATTACAGAGAAAATCAAGATAAAAATTATAAGACTAGATTATGTTTAAAAATTAAGCGATTAACAAACGTGTTTTTGAACCTATCAGTGTTTATTTTAGGATGGTGACTTGTCTCTTTCCTCAGATTGTACTTGGTTAATTTCTTTTTTGGCATTATAGCTCTTAAAGGGTGTATTGTATTATTAAAAACATTCTTGAAGATACGCGTGTCCTGTTGAACTAACAATTCATAAACATTAATGTGATCGGATGTATACTTGCGCTTATAACATCGATCTAAGAAACATTGGATTGTTGTTAATTCGGAATTTACAGCGCCAAATACGGACAGCCCGTATAATATATTTGGTAGAACCAGATTTAGAAACAGATGGTCTATTTCGGCCTGATTGTACCCTTCTTTCCTTAAAGATCTTAAAATGAACAGGCACTTGTTTGCTTTAATTAGTTTTTCCCGAATATGTGTTATGAACCTACTGTCTTCCTGAAATGTTACCCCTAAAATAGTAAGCTCTTTTGTCTGTGGTATTCCAGACACCATCGGAAACTCTATTGTACAACCTTTCTTGCGGAAAATGATTTCCTTGCACTTAGATGGATTGCTACACATACCATTACTTCTAGACCACTGGGAAAACTGATTAATCAGTGCGATAGAATTGTCATTATCACCTATCACAGGCGAGATAATGGTTGTATCATCTGCATATTTTACCAGCACGCTCTTATTGTCCAAGTGTATCTCTAAATCACTGAGAAAGACATTGAACAAGTGCGGCCCGCTGACACTTCCTTGGGTGGTACCTTTGTTGACACTTTTCCATTTTCCAATAAACCCATTTCTAATGACTCTCTGCTGCCTGTCTTCCAAAAAGCTTAGATACCAGTTAACTATAAAAGGATTTAGGGGGAGTTGCTTCAATTTGTGTGAGAGGAGATCGTGTTTCACACTATCAAAAGCCTTGCTGAAATCCATAGCGAATAGGCGTACCGCTTTGCACTCTGGGATATCAAGATATTGATTGACAGTATGTTGGATAGTCAGTAGAGCATTGGTACAGCTCCCTCCCTCTATGTATGCAAACTGTGAGATCCCAGAATGTTCATCGAAGGTCTCCCTTGCGTGTGTTCCTAAGACAGCTTTCTCAAAGCACCTTGCGATGACAGGTGTCACATTTATTCCGCGGAAGTCTGATATTCCCTTAGGTATATCAACCTTCGGCAAGGGGTACAGGTCTGACTTTTTCCAAGAGACAGGCCAGGCGTGTGTTCTAAGAGACAGATTCCAAATCCAGGTGATCACTGGAACGAATAGCTCGGCGTGGTCTTTCCATATAGTATACGGGATGCCATCTGGTCCGGTTGCTGTTTTCTTTATACGCATAAGAGAATTCAGGACTTGTCGCTCTGAGATTTCTGGGACTTCCTGATCTTCACTAATCTCCAGAGGTGTTGGCTTTCTGTAGGCGTGGTCAGTACATAGGTCACCAAAGTAGTCATTTAACGCGTTGAGTTCGTAGTGGCCAAGAGATAGAGAAATCACCGGCTTGCGGCGCTGAGATGTTTTATCCACTTTTTTCCACCAATCCCGAGTTCCAATAGAGGCGATAAAGTCCCTTCTGTTTCTGAAAATCACTTCAGAGATCCTTTTATTCATAACTTTAAGACGGTCTAGATTACTGAGTGATATGCGTGATTTGGCTCGTATCATCGATCGAACGAGCGGAGTCATCCAGCCCGGGTCTCTTGAAGACATGCGCACTGTTTTCAGAGGCATGCAGCTATCAGGTGCCCTAGGATGGTATTTTCGAGCCTACCAACCACTTCATCGACATCAGTTTCCTGTATCATATCATCCCAGTTTTCCTTCGCCAACGCGATATACAGATCACGCTTTCTATGAGCCCTTTGGTCACGCACGTATACTTTACGGCGGATAGGTGGAAGCTTTATACCGGGTGGTAAAATAACTCCCATGTGATCCGTCTTGGAGAGCATGTGAAAGGGATAGCACTTTGAAAAGAGATCCGTGCGGTTCGTGAAACAGTTGTCCAAACAAGAATTCCCTCTGGTGGGGAAATTAACCAGAGCATTCCAACCAGACATTTCTTCGAAGCGTTTGATATCCAGTTTGTTGACATCGCCACCGCACAACACAACTGTTTGTGGATGTTTGTCTAGTATATTATCCACGGTATTTACAAGATGATTCATTAGATCGATCTCTGCATAATTAAATTTTGGGGGATGATAAACTCCACATATTACAAATCGATGTCCCTTGGGAAGTCGCAGAGTTATACATATAGTCGCAGGCTCAACAGATAGCTGTGAGAAGTCTTATAGGAAGCGCTAGTAACAGGCTTCTATTGAAACCACTGCTTTACGTTTAGCACCTTAAATTGCCTGCAAAGTAAAAGAGCGATAGAGATGAATTCAGGTTAACATCCCAACAGACTCGGCATAAAATTGTGTTCCTTGCAGCTTTTGACTATCTTGAGAATATGATTTACGATACTAGTCTTCAGCTAAGCTTCATACCCGAATGACAAAAATATACTCCTCGGGGGGTTACGATCTTGATAGTTCACAACACCAGTCTATTTGAGCTCACCTTTTTGTCTGAACTACGAGCGCTGTGTGCTGCGGAGCTTCAGCGGGCCTTCATCAGAGTTTACAGCAGCCATTTGTCTCATAAGCCATAAATGTCAAGAACTAATTGCTGACACTGAAGACCATTTAAGAACTGCTGGCGCAAAAACCCGTGAGGTGCGACCCTTTTTGCGGTGAACCGGTAATGACTCGGTTAGAGGTCGTCTGTTCATTTCCTCACGTTATCTTGCTGTGTGTACTCTCTTTAATAGATCAATAATTTATCTCCATGACATGGACCAATCATATTCGGTGAATTATTTCAGTGTTCGGTTATACTTGAACTCGAGCTGAGCGAAAGCAAATCTAACGATTACTTTGGTGATGGAACATTTCTCCCTAAATTAACAGGAACCCATCGCATAAGTCGTTAACATGCTTGTGGTTTGCCGTCGCGTCCACAGTACTTTCCGAATAAGTGCTTAATTGCCTTGAATGTTCTCGAAAAGAGAATGAACAATTGCTGGGCTCTACATCTTTAAATTCTCTGTGTTCAGAAACTAAAAGTTAAATTATTGCCGAAGATTATAGCGGGTGTAGTGGTGTGTGCGATATGAAACTTTCCGCAAGGACGTTTACTGATATATATTTAAACCTGTAAACCTATTTTTTGGAATGGAAATTGCAATTCATAATTTAGTATTTTTTTGTTTGCCACATTGAAATGTTCTCATGAACTTTGATTTGAATAAACCAGCAACCTTGCTAAAAAAAATATCTTAGGGCCAAAATTATTTGGATAAGATTATTTGCCTCCAGGCCACGTGCAATAGATTCCGCCGTCGAACCGACTAAACCAACTCATCAATCACATTTTAGTGATAAACATCAAGCATAAGAGGGTCGATTGACCGAAAAATGCTCAAAATGGCCTGTAATATTGTCCCTAAATATTTTACCGGCATCAAATGCGATCTGTCATCGGTGATAATGGTTAATACTTGACGATCAAATTTTGAAAATGGTGAATTTCCGTTTAATATTAGCTCAATGTCTAAGTTGAATCAACTCTTATTTTAAGCAGTGCTTCGAAAGCCTGCCATACGAATGTTTTATCCATGCGGAAAGGTTTATTAATAACCTTTCAGCTGGCCCGCCAAAGGTCAACTTATGAAGTCTCGCTGGTACTAAAATGGTAGTAACAATTTTGAACAGGAGCCTTTGACTGATGAGCTCCTGTTTGGAATTTTTATTCTAAATGTACGACAAAAAGTAATTGCTTTTTTCCGTCGTAACGCTGCTAAAATTCTTTTTAAATCAAAAGATGCGATAAGGGCAACGTGAGGGCAATCAAAAATATGATATGAATAAAGAATATGTATTGTTACCATTTTGGAAAAAGGCATATATCATATGATACGTAGTCTAATTGCGTAATATCCAGTTCAATAACTTGGAAAAGTGCGAAAGTTTTAGATATTAATTTGCTTAGGGAAAGGCGTGTCGCAAAATCGCGAACTTTGAAAATATTTAACCTCCAGGTTATAACAGTTTAAGTTAGTACATAGTATTAACCAAAAGTCAATCAAAAAACGAGAGCAAGTTTTCAGGTTTTACAATATAGCTTCTCACTTTTGCGTTTTCCAAGAGAGAGGCAATGGCTGAAAGAACGGCATATTACAGAACACCCTTGAAAATTAGAAGAGCTTGTATTGTTTGAAAATGCTGATTACTTCATAAACGTGCTTCTCCAATCATGATTGCTTACATGCTTGCCCTAATGTTCAAGTATATTTTCTCTGAACTTAAATCGACGTCTTGCCTCTGCTTCAAAAAGGAGAATTTCTCATTGGAGTAGTTGTCATCGCTGTAGATAGATCATAGAAAAAAAAGAGAAATCAAACAATGATCAGCTTAGTAGAAGAGGGTTAGCAACGGATAGGTTCGAAAGCCAGGCATTTTGAAAGTAAAGCACATCTAAGAAACTGAGGCAGCTTCATCTGAGGACATTTAGAATCAGAATTGGCATAATTTGGAATAGGAGAAGTGCGGACTTTTTAAATATATTTTGGAGCTACATTGTTTTTTGCCATCAGTTTTCGTGTTGTAAGTATTTTAGTTTGAGACTCTCGAACATACAAAGTGTTGCGAATCAATTTGTCCAAAGTGTTCCTTCCTCCTTTTAACTTTTTTTTCTTTTTCTTTTTTTTTGTAATGCGAGAGAACTGCAGAGAGGGCTTTGTGGGGGGTAATTTGAATCGCAAATTACTAAGGCCAAAACATAGCATTAAGAGATGTTCTCAAGATGATAGATGTACGCCTCACCTTAGCTCCAGGCAATACAGTATTGAGCCGAAACAGAGGCAAAATGTGCCAATTCCGTGATAACTTATTAAAGTCAAATGGTTAAAATTTCGGCAAACTTGTACTGATGTTTGTTTTTGTACCTTTTAGACATTGTCTAGCCTTCAGTTTTGCTTTTCGACGGAAAAACCGGTATTTACAAGCTTTTCTCTTTCGTAAAATTCTATTGGCATTTCCTGTCGACGTTTCGAAGCCAAATATTCTTCAATTGGACTAATGCCTCAAGAATGAATTTAAAATTAATGATGCGATGAGAGGATTCTTTCAGTTGCGTTTCAGATTATCCAATTAATCACCACAGCGAAGAATAATTGATGCCAATATCTCTCTCGTTTTTTCTCGATACATTTATTTATTTTTCCTTTCCATTAGTATTGACAGCAAATCTTTTCGCTTCTTATACTCTCCTATTCGAAAATGCCTACATAAATTTAAAAAAGCTTAAGTATCGATTAAAGGAAGACTATTTAACAGCACATTTGGAAAATTGGCCGATTTCTAGCTCAACATTTTTTACTTTCAGGCCAATTTGAGGCATTCATAAAATAATTTGAAGAAATAGGCGGCTTAACTTATAGCCTCGCCGCGAATGTCGTTAACATGATAATTTGTTTTGTTTGTTGACCAAAGATGTATTTGTATTTTCATGAATATATCACCATTGGTGACATTTTTCTGGATAAAACATCTCGTGACTGACGATGAATGGATGATGATTATATGCGAGTGTTGTTCTTGAAGATAACTGCTACTGCATTTTCGAATCTTTAGGGTTGCTGAACTACCGAGAAAGTCGATAAATTTTCGTTTTCAACTGTGGACGTAAGATTACCTCACTGATAAAATTTGATGGACGAGTGAATAAATAATGTGAAGATAAGTAATTTATTCCGGAATCAAGAAAACTATTTTTGGAAGATTTTGTAAATAATGCGACGGATTTGGATATCGATGAAACCGGCAAACCGCGCTCCTTGCATCTTCTTGGTGAGCCTGGACCAAATATGGAAACAAGCTCTGTGATTGGCTGCCTCGGTCACAGAATAGGACGTCATGTCTGAGGTCGCTCGTGAAGCGTTAAGATGGAGGGTCGCCATTTTTTGACTTGACTTTGTAGGTTGTTTTCGGCTAAAATGTGAGCTTTTTCTCCGTAATTTTTTGCATGGAGATTTTCACATTGTTGGCCTATATCATGTTTTCTTTGGAACGTCTCTAGCTGATTCATGGCCGAGGGAGTCGACAATGATATGAGCGAACATCAACGCGGACAGGGCGCTCCGCATGGCAAGGAGGCGGTTCGCTCTTCTGAAGTAGAGGTTGCCATCTCGTCTACAAACTCTCAAACTAGAGTTCAAACTCGGCCTTCATCAGTGGGAATTAATACGGGACCAAATCCCGCTCACAAGAAAAAGAGTTCTTTTCAAATTACCAGTGTCACCGAAAGCAAAATCCCCAACCGTGGCGATAGCAATGGATACGATGGCGAACTGAACGAAAGCGATATAGTGGATGAAGTCGAAGTAGAACTTGATCCTTTTGTAGATCCAGGAACTGCAAATGGCAACGGTGGATCTAGGTTCAAAGTAGTTAAAATTCAAAGAAATGAATCCTTTGTACGCGGTAGATGGAAATGTCACGATTATCCTGATGCGGAATCTGCTCAGAATTCTTCAGGTAGTGTTTCTGCAACGGGCTCTACTAATATTTCTACCCATGTGTCGAAAGACAGCGCGGACAAAGCAGACTCTTTTTCGAGCACAAAGATTAGCAATGTAAGCAATTCTGTTGGAAATCACCCTA